CAAAAATCATTTTGGTAAGGGTGTTAGAGATTACTTAACACCTTAGCACTGTCTGAAAAAAGGTCTCTCTGTATTTAGCATCAAATTCTCAAGTCTTAACTATATTAACTATACATGTTGGCTGCTGTTTTTTTGCTTTTTTGTGGTTGTTGTTAAGTTTGTTCAGTCGTGTCCGGTGGTCAGGTGGTTAAATGGACAGGTAGCTACTTAAATTTTAAAACACCGTAATTTAAGAAAACAGTATGGTATTGTACATTCACTGCAATTTACTGTAAATACATTTTACAGTGGATGTATATCTTCGCTGTTGTGTCCAAGATGGTTCCCATTTGGACTTCTCTTCATAATTATGATAATTAAACTGTTGTTAGTTGTAGTTTGGCCTGAATACACTTTTTGAGCTGGAATTAATGTACAATTTTGTTACACAGTTTGTGTTTAGACAAAACTGAGACTTCAAGATTGCTGCTACTGTTGTTTATAGCTTCATACTTTTGTCCACTTAGCAAAGTGCAGATGTTGCTAAGTTCGTGTTTATAGATAATAGTATCAGATAGTATAACAGTGTCAGAGACCACATAATCAAGTCTATTAGGGATCACCCCCCTCTGATAATGTGTCCTGAAGGTGGGAGAACCTTTTGAAAGACTGCATGTGATACTTTGGGGCGGATACTTTGGGGTTCCCCCGTTAGCTGGTTAATGCTCAGAGGCTGAATATCACATTGTATTTATTAGCCTCTACATCAGTGCATTGCTTTATTGCTGTGGGGGGAGATTCTCAATGGTTGTATGACAAATTTGCATAATGCATGCTGGGTACTGTAGTAAGAGGACACTGATGAATGAAAAAATGAAAATGATATTAATTCTATTAAACTGATAAGGCTGAGGGATGCAGTGCTGTGCTAGAATACTGCATAACACAAGTTTTTGCCTGTTCTGGTGTTTATAGAACATATTTTGGTGGAGATTTGTGTGATTTACATAACCGGAAGTGAACTGGATTTTCTCCTTCGTAAGTGAGCAGCCAAGTCAGCATTAGTAGAAGTGTTTTTATTGTGTTTACATGCTATTTGTTTATTGTGATAGTTGTACAAGATTGTTTGATATGAAGGACGATGCACTTGTCTGTATTATCTTGTCTTTGTGGAGAGGTATGAACTCCCCTTTCACCACTCATTGCTCGCTAGCAGCTCAACGCAGAGCCACAGCATGTCACACAAAAAAGAGACAACAGTGTCCTTGTTAAAGGAGCACTATATGATTCTGGAGAACGATTGTTGATATTTGAACTCAACAGCAAAATGAACACACCCCTCACTTCAGTGCTTGTAGAGGCCAACATGCTTTTTTAGATCTTTGTGGTCATAAAACCCTTCACAAACATTGTACACATAAATACCATGATACAACGTTTGAGTGAACAGCGATACAGCAAGTAATGTAACTAACGTTAGTTCGGTTGTGGCTTAGCAAACTGTCACTACAGTTTCTGCTGTGAGGCTAACCAGTTGCTGTCACAAACATTCACAAACGGGACAAAACAATACTGACCTACTGATTCTGTGAAACAGCAAAAATGAGTAAATGTTACCCACCTGTCCAGCAGGAGTGACCTCAATGAACTCTCAATTTCAACTCTCAATGAAGCTGAAGTCAGCTTCTTTTTCACCAGTTTCTTGTTCGAATTTTCCCATTCCACCTTAAAAGGTGCAGCAGCGGGGGCTCCCGAGTGGTGCAACCATCTAAGCGTTGGCCCTCTCATTAGGAGATCGCAAGTTCGATCCCTGGTGATGCTACAGCCATCTGTGGTCGCGAGTCCAAGATAGCACAGTTGGCCTCTCTGGGTGGGTAGGATGGCCCCTCCTTCTCCCCCCATCACTCAGCGCGATGCTAGTCAGCACAGGCGTCTGTTAGCTGACGTAACAGATCTGGCAGTTGGCGCTTTCCTCCAAGTGCGTTCAACTGTCCAATGACGTTGCATGAGCGGCAGTTCGAAAAGATGCGGTGGCGCTTCACAGGACTTGGAGGAAGCCTGTGTTAGCCTTCACCCTCCCAGCGTGGGTAGTATCGTGTGATTGGGGGAGTCCTAACTAGTGGGTGGAATTGGAGACGACTAAATTGGGGAGAAAATCGGGAAAAATCCCCCCCCCAAAAAATTGCAGCAGCTAGACTACATTCCAGTGCCTCAGCATCTTGTTCAGATTTTCCTGTTCCACCTTAAAAGTACGGCAGCTAGACTACATTCAGGTGGCTCAGCTTCTTGATTAAATTTTCCCATTGAATCTTAAAAGGTGCAACAGTTAAGACTAAATTCCGGTGCCTCAGCTTCTTGTTTGAATTTTCCTGTTCCACCTTAAAAGGTGCAGCTGTTAAGACTACAATCCGCCGCCTCAGCTTCTTGTTTGAATTTTCCTGTTCCACCTTTAAATGGTGCAGCAGCTAGACTACATTCTGGCGCCTCAGCTTCTTATTCAAATTTTCTCGTTCCACCTTAACAGTTACATTCTATATATTCTGTACATACCATTTAAGGTGGAATGGGAAAATTCTAACAAGAAGCTGGCAAATAGGAAGCCAGCTTCAGCCTCATAAAAAGTCAAACATTAAGAGACATTTTACAAGAAACTGTTCTACTTTTGTGGAAAAGTTTCCTGCCTGAGATGCGAGAAAAGCAGCTATAGCTGAGCTAAAGCTTAAAGCAGAGCAAAGTAAGTCTGTGTTTTCGTTAATTTTCTATTTTTAGTCTACACTTCTACATCAGCACATACTGAGACATATTTACAGCCAAGATGGTAAAATGGACCTAAAATGTTGTGGCTCCCAAGGTGGTTTGATTTTTGTTGAAAGGACATAAATGGCTCTTCTTAACATTTGGGTTGCGACCCCTGGATTAGCATATATGAGCATGGCCGTCGCTGAGGTAGCAACCAGAACAACAGCAGTATACGTGTATGTATATGGATTATGTTAAGTGAAATATTCTGAGGTAAAATGCCATACTTACATTTAAATACAGTGTCACAGACATAATCTGGAATTTTAAGAAGTGGGGAGTGAGATGGTGTCATTTAGGCATGCGATCTGCAATCATGGTGGAGTTTATGCTTCCATTAGCAGCTCCAGTGTGAAACCAAATGCATCTACATTTGCAGCAAAACTGTACATTTCACTGAGCTGTTTTTTTAACTGCTGCATTAAACGAGCAGCATTTAGAAAAAACTGTTGCAGAATCAGTCCTTGGAGGAGTGTAAGCTGCAGAAGTGATTCAATTTAATCCCTCAGTTTGAGAAATGAATTCAGCTCAGACCTGCAATGAGCAGACGCTGCAGCTGTATGTGCTTATGGCGCAGTATGTGTGTAAAGGGAAATGGAAGACTTTATCTTCCTATAGCATGAGGCTTACCTCGCTGTCACTAAGAAATGGTTGCCAGGGAGCCATGATAGCTAGGGCATGCTAACAGATTGGACGCAGCCATGAGCGTAAGAGCCCATTAAACTGAAGGACAGACACACACACACACACACACACACACACACACACAGATGTAGGCACACGGTTGCACTCTTTGATCTGAGCTCCATTTAGTCAGTGTGTGTGCATGCATACAGTACAGTCGGATTTCTGGTGTATGCTGGGAAGCTGAAAGATTCCCAGTGTCACGTGTGAGCGTATGGAGATTCCACATCATTCTTCATTCTTTTCACACTTTTAGTGCATTTTGTATGAGAACACAGGACCGCAGCATGCTTTTCTAAGAAAAACTCAAGAGATGTTCACATAGTTGTCGAGTCTCAAGGTTTACCCTTGAATGTAGCCTTGAATGTAAATCTCACGTGCTTTCACATTTTCAAAAATAAGGTTCATTTTACAGAGGTCTTTTGCGCTACTGGTCTCATCTGTGTATTTGGATTACACTGCCAATCATTATTGACCAATGCGGTCACTTCACATTAAGCACTGAAGTATAATAAGAGTGAGTGAGCGAATGTGAGTGACTGAAAGGTGTGTGTATATGCACTCGAGCCAAATTCATGCTCACATGACCCACACTTCCATTTTCAAGCATTCTGAAGGCTTTTTGTTTAACAATAAGAATATAAAATATTCTTCCGCAAGTTACCTGCAATTCCACCAGAGAGGTCGCCAAATCCACAGAACTTACAAAGTGCAGCTTTAAAGTAGTGGGCTCATAATGGTGCTTTTTTCACTGACTTTTTTTAAATAATTGGCAGTACAATGTGTCCTTTAATGTTCAGTGATGCACATTTCATACTCTGGGACCCAAACATTGCTGTGTTGAAAATTTCCCAAAATGAATTTCTATGCAAACTTTTTTTTCTTTTGTGGGCCAGATACTTGGGGATGGACATTTTGCAGTTCTTAAAGTTACCTAGTGTTTGTTTGTTTTTTTTTGTTTTTTTAATTTACCTTTTCGATTTTTTGTTAGGCTACTTTTACTTAACAGTCTTAAACACTGGAGTTAATGTAGCTTACAGCTGCTAATTCACCAACCTTTAACCCTAGTAGCTAACAAAAATCAAAGATAGAGATTTAAGATGGACATTGATAATTGAAGATGAATTAACTTATTTGCATTTAATATCACTCCAACTGGTTTCCTGCTAGAGATGTGAAAAAAGTTTCCTGCTAGAGATGTGAAAAAAGTAGCTATAGCTGAGCTAAAGCAAGTGATTTCAGATATAAAACAAGCTTATGTTAGTAGAATCTGTCCTTTTATGTTCAGTGATGCACATTTTATACTGTGGGACCCAAACATTGCTGTGTTGAAAATTTTCCGAAACAAATTTTTATGCCAATTTTTTTTGTGGGCCAGATGCTATATATATATATATATATATATATATATATATATATATATATATATACATATATATATATATATATATAAAACATGGAGCTCATTTGGACTATTCACCTCCTATGACCTAATTTAAGAAACACCTAACATCTCAAACTCTCTCTCTTTTTGTCAGGTTTGGACGACTGTTTGCTGCAGTATGTTCGGACATTTGAGCGCGAGCAGATCACGGGGGAGCAGCTTCTGCACATCACCCACCAGGAGCTGGAGGAGCTCGGGGTCACTCGCATCGGCCACCAGGAGCTCATCCTGGAGGCGGTGGACCTGCTCTGCGCGCTGGTGGGTGTGAATGTGTGCACATAACTGTGAGGATGGATGGGTGTATGTGTGGATCCATAGTCACCAGCGATGGTCATAGATTTTTCATAAATAACATTGATGTTATGCATATTTATGTATATTTTATTAGAACTTCATTCTGGATATTAATTTTATTAGAACTTCATTCTGGATATTAATTTTATTAGAACTCCATTTTAGATATTAATTTTATTAGAACTTCATTCTGGATGTTAATTTTATTAGAACTAAATTTTACATATTAATTTTATTAGAACTTCATTCTGAATATTAATTTTTATTAGAACTTTATTCTGGATTTTCTGCAGCTTGTACAGCTTTATTAGTCAGTTCTGAATCATGTACAGCTCTGTTCATCACTTTTTCCTAATTTTTTGCAGATTTCTGCTTTTTTATTTGTATATCATATAAAATCTGTAGAGCATCAGCATCATATTAGAATCATGTTTATAGATTAATCTTTAACAATTTTCATATTATTATGCATGTTTATTATATTAAACACTGACCGCACACTTGTATATGTAAATATGTTTGTGTGTGTGTGTGTGCATATGTGTGTGTGTGTGTGTGTGTGTGTGTGTTTCAGGAAGTGTTAATGATGTGTTTACTTTGCTCTAATAACACTGCAGAAACGAATCACTTCACTTTGCACTGTGTGATTAGCACCCAGCAGGAAACACAGGAGACAAACACTCTGAGAACTGTGTGTGTGTGAGTGTGTGTGTGTGTGTGTGTGTGTGTGTGTGTGTGTGTGTGTGTGTGTGTGTTATTGGCTATAAAACGAACGAGAAAGAGAGAGAGGAAAAAAGAGTCAGAGAGAGGAGAAAGAAATAGAGAGAGAGAGGAGAAAGAAATAGAGAGAGAGAGAGAGAGAGAGAGAGAGAGAGAGAGGAAAAAGAGTCAGAGAGAGGAGAAAGAAATAGAGAGAGAGAGAGAGGAGAAAAGAGTCAGAGAGAGGAGAAAAATAGAGAGAGTGAGAGAGAGAGAGGAAAAAGAGTCGGAGAGAGGAGAAAGAAATAGAGAGAGAGAGAGAAGAGAGAGAGAATTGAATTCATCCAAACCTTTTATTGATTCACACGGTGATGACATGATGATAACAAAACAAGAAATGGGGGGAACAAAAAAAACAAAAAAGGAACATTGCGGTCTAATATATGAGAGATAGAGAGAGATAGAGAGAGAGAGGAGAAAGAGAGAGAGAGAGAGAGAGAGGAGAAAGGAAGAGAAAGAGAGAGATAGAGAGGAGAGAGGAAGAGAGAGAGCGAGATAGAGAGAGAGGCGAGAGAGAGAAGAGAGAGAGAGAGAGATAGAGAGAGAGATAGGAGAGAGGAAGTGAGAGGGAGAGAGAGATTATTTTGAATGGAGGGAAAAAAATCAATAAAAGATTTGGAGATAGGATACTATGCTAATTAAACGAGACTTCGCTGGGTTGCCACGACAACCACAACTGTGTTAGCGCTGGGGTCAATGATATTACAGAGTTTCTCCTTGAATTAGCAACTGCTAACAAAACACAAACACTCGTGAACACAGTGTGAATCATTCAGAGCATCTCGAGACCACAGAGCTGATTCCTGATCCTCAGAGCTCAGAAGACTCACAAGGTCATCAGGGATGATGGGACGAAGTCTGACCTCTCAGTGATTCCACTCAACTCTGATTCTTTAGGAAATGATTCAGTGAATCATAAAATCTCAGATTTAACCACAGTTCTTAGGGGTAAAACCGATACCTGGATTACGAAGCCCTGATAGTGAAAACTGCATCAGTTTATCATGCAGGTTATGCAGAGTGTATGCCTTAAAATAGATTTCAAAGTATGCCTTAAAATAGATTTATTATGGATAAAAATCACAAGTTAGCCCTGTTAAAAGACAAATTACAGTAAATAGAAACACTTGAAATGCCAAATTTGTTCATTAATGAAATAGTTATATAGTTATTATAGTTAGATTGATTTTCTAATTAATATAACTATAATAACTATGTAGGAACACAGCGACCCTATCTGGATTAATTTTGGTCAAAAAATGAAGCAGACTTTATTCAACATTAATCAGTTATAGTGGATTATAACATTATATAAATTAGATATATTATTGCTTTAATAATTCATTTTATACAGTTCATTCAGTTGATTAATTATGAATTAACGCTGTTTCAGAATTATGGTCTGGAGACGGAGAATCTTCGCTCTCTCTCCCACAAACTCAACGCCTCGGCCAAGAACCTCCAGAACTTCATCACCGGCCGCCGCCGCGGGGGTCACTACGATGGCCGAGTGTCGCGACGACTGCCCAACGACTTCCTCACGTCTGTGGTGGACCTGATAGGGGCGGCCAAGAACCTGCTGGCCTGGCTGGACAGGTAAACTGACCAAACCCAGAGCAGATTCACCTGAACTGTATTCAGATGAGCTACACTGCAACAAAAGGTAATGCACTGAATTTATTTCATTTAATAAATAAAATAAAATATATTACATCAGCAGAACTGTTGATGTGCTGAACTGTATTCATTTGGAAACGATGTGCAGATTTAAATCATACAAATTCAGTGCTTCACTTTTCTCAGTGTAGAACTCGATTAAATTCAAACCAATGAAATCAAACCAAACAGTGGTGAGTTTTCCAGAAATCCTGTAACACAAGCACTGTTGTTAGATGGCAGTGTTAACCAGTCAGGTGACTCTCTCTATTTGAACTCTCTCTCTAAAGTTTAGAAGTTTTAATGCTGAGTTAACACTCCAGATTAAATTCAGACAGAACTAAACTGAACTGACAGCTCGGCTGAGTTAGAGTGACTGAGTGAACTGAACTGAACAGACTGTATTGGATCAAACTGGATGTGTATAATCTAGTAAACAGTTTCAGTCTGACAGACAGCCGGGCTGATTACAGTATTGATAGTATTGACGTTTATTGACCGCACATTTAGCGATGCTAACAGGCCACACTGCTTATCTCAGAAGGACTGGAGCTGTGGGGGTCAATAGTGACCAAACCTTCTGGAGATCCACTTTTCTTCAACTGAATTCGACCACAATCAATCTGATCTAATCTAATCTAATAATAGATCTAATCTGACTAGAATTAATTCAGATACTACTATAAATTATTCAGTTACTACTATAAATTATTCAGTATCTACTAAAATGTATTCAGTATCTACTAAAATGTATTCAGTTGCTACTCTAAATTATTCAGTTACTACAATAAATTATACTATAATTATCTACTAACAATTGTTCAGTAACTACTATAATTTATTCCATTACTACCATGAATTATTTGGTAGCTACTATGAATTATTCAGTTACTACTATAAATTATTCGGTTAATACAATGAATTATTCGGTTACTACAATAAATTATTCAGCGGCTACTATTAATTTTTAGATATTACTATGAATTATTCAGGAAATACTATGAATTACTCAGTATGATCTATGAATTACTCAGCATCTACTGTGAATTATTCAGTTACTACTTTAAATGTTTGGTTATTACTATCAATTATTCCATATCTACTTTTAATTATTCAGTAACTACTATATTTTATTTAGTTACTACTAGAAATCATTTGGTTACTAGAATGAATTATTCAGCAGCTACTATGATTTTTCAGATACGACTATGAATTATTCAGTGACTACGGAGACTTATTCCAATACTACTATACATGATTCAGTAATGACTATGAATTATTCAATAACATCTATGAATTATTCAGTACATATGTAGAGTGTAGGCTGGTTAGATGGAGCTGTTTTGAAATCAAGCCCATTATCTCACTTTTTAACGCCTTGGAGGAGTCCTTGAAGCTCAATAGCGTAACTAGCTCATTTTCAGCATCGTGACTGTATCATTGTGTACAGTCACTTCAAGGCCTCAGCTCACACCAAAACACAAAACCCGTAAACCCTGAGAGCTACGACTCAGTGTTTACGAGGGCCATTTCTTAAAAATCAGACACAAGCCCACACAAGGACACGTCCACTTCACCCAATCAGCTCTGAATCTGCCATTTCTATACAGATCAGTGGGAGCAGCACTTTCTGTCTGCACTGCTGGGACTCATTATGTAGTTCCTAAATAATTTTCTCAATATTTGAACAACAAATGAAAATGTAAACTGTGTCTCAGTTTGTGAACAATTCAGTGGGAAGGAGTGCAAGTGGAAATGTTATGACCCACCCCAGAGGTGGGGTTACAGTTACAGTTAGCAGCTGCAAAATTAGCTGGAACAGTCTGGTAAAGTTTGAGACGTTTGGACTCATTTTTCATATTAATGTTTGTTATTTACAATAAAAACTTTTATTTTCTTTACAATAAAAGTTTTCTTTATTTTCTATTTTCTTTACAATAATATTATAATGTTTTAAACATTATAATATTATTGTAAAGAGCTATTCTTTGATGTTTTATTTGACATTTAACATGTATTTTGGGAGAAAATAGAACAATAACAATAATATGTTACCATAGTAACATGCTTTTTTGTCAAGTTATCTGTCCCAAGTTATGATATGAGCTATGATCATCACTTTTGAAACATGGAGGCTAATTTTATTAAAAGTTCTTTCTGGTTATTAATTTTCGTGAATAACCAGAAAGAACTTTTTCTTCTGGTATTTATTCCATTGCATATACATACACACATTTTCTAAGCCGCTTTATCCTTCTGGGTTCGGGTTGGAAGCTGGAGTCTATCCCAGCAGTCATCAGGTGGGCACATATATATGTATTTATATTGCTATGAGGTTCAACTTGATTTTCATATTATTTATAGAAGCTGACTTGGACTGACTAAAATGTGTATATGTTTGTATATTTTGTAGCTAACTGTGTTCAGCTGTATTTAGTGCTTAATAAAAACCCTCACCCCTGTGTGTGTGTGTGCGCGTGTGTGTGTTCTTGTTGCAGGTCTCCGTTTGTCAGTGTCACTGAATATTCGGTGCTGAAGAACAACATTGTTCAACTCTGTCTCGAGTTAACCACCATAGTGCAACAGGTGTGTCTATGTGTGTGTGAGTGTGTGTCTTTGTGTGTGTGTCTGTGTGTGTGTGTGTGTGTATGTGTGTTATGTGTGCATTTGCCTGGTTCTTTATTTTTGTAGTTACATAAACTGGACTGATATGTGTTTAGTGCTTTTTAAATGCCAATACTGGATTGTAAACTTTCAGTCGATACAGTAACTATAATTCCACATGTACTTATATTTCGTCGCTGTTCAAAGAAAACCGTGTACCTCAATTTTTGACGATTTTTATTTTTCTGCGTCATTTCAACACACCAGCTGTCCTTTACACTATGTGAAAATTTCATGATGATTGGACCAATAGAAACGCTCCAAAATCACTTGGAATTTTACATTGACTTACATTGAAAGGTAAGAGCGTTTTTGCCCTCTCCTGTAAAGTTACTATTTTTGGAGATTCTTGTTTTTCTTTGGCCAGCGACGATATATAACGCATATGAAACATATTATTATTACATATAGGTACCTACATATATATAATACATGTGACACATATTATCTTTACATATCGGTACCTATATATCATACATACCAGATAATAAAACATAATATAATACAATACAATATATACAATAACACAACTGAAACACAACTAAAATAAATGACAGTGTGTGTTTAAGTGGTGTGTGTGCTCTTTAAATGTTGAGTGTTCTTGGTTTTTCGTTTAAAGTCATAACGTTTTCACAAACAGTTTTCTGGCAATATCATGAAGAAAACGACAAAAAATTACAAAAAAAAGAAAAACAAAAAATATACTTGCAGGGCAGGTGTGTACGCAGCATATAGCAAGAAACAGCTCTGTCTTTAATGGTGTATATTTGAAATTTTTCTTCAGATTGATGGAAAATGTGCTGTAGATGATTCTATATAGAACTTCTACATAACACTAAAAGGGTTTTTGTCTATGATGTCAGGTTTGTTACAATAGAAGAACCCTTTTGACGTTATATAGAACCATTTTCTTTACTAAAGAACCGTAGAGGCATCAATATAAGTGTGAAGACATAAAATGCATGTATGAGAACTGTAAAAGGTAATGTATGTATTACAGTTAAGCTCTTCATAATAAGGCAAAGGATTATTAAATGTTATTTAAAAATATGGCCATAATTAATGTATTAAAATAGTTTAATATTTTCCACAGTATAACTAATATAATGTGTGTATTTCAGGACTGCACTGTGTATGAAACGGAGAATAAGATTCTACATGTGGTGAGTGTTTAACTTACACACACATCTGCACATGCACACGCATACAAACACACATCTGCACATGCACACACATATATACACACGCAACTATATCTATCTATCTATATATATATATATATATATATATGTATATATATATATATATACACACCCCCTATTTTTAGAAACCTGAGACAACCCCCTGACTGTGATTGGTCCACATGGTTGTCTGCTTCATATGTCATAAAGCGGCCAAAGGTGTGGACTCAAGTCATATGATTTGGTCTCGAGTCCGACTCGACTCAAGAAAATTGAGAAAGACTTGCAACTCGACTTCAACTTTAACACCAGTGACTTGGACTCTGACTCGGACTTGAGTGTCATGACTCAGAAAGACTCGAGACTCAAAAGGAAGAAACGTGAAGAGAGTCTGGCTGCAGACAGCCAACTAAAAACAACCACTAGTTTGAACTGAATTTAGACGACAACAGAAACCAAAACAATCAAGCTGAACAAAGTTTACAGAAAAGACAGTAAAATGATGTGTAAAGTGAATGTACGAAGCTGAAGTTGACTTTTTAAATGCCAGCTTCTTATTTGAATTTTCCGTTCCACCTTAAATAGTGCAGCAGTGAGGCACCAAAGCGTAACTGCTGCACTGTTTCGGTTTCTGTTGTCGTCTAAATTCAGTTCAAGCTAGTGGTTGTTTTTAGTTGGCTGAACTGGTTTTAAAAATGGGTAAAAAATTAATATACAGCCATGCACTGCTAACATGCTGTCATTTAAAGGCTATAGTACTGTTACCGTTATTCAGTGTTATGGCCTTAAATTAGCTGAAGAAAGCAGACTGACTTGTTTAGAATTCGAAGATTAGGACTTTTGACTTGGGACTCAACTTGATACTCGCTTGTACTGACTCGGGACTTGAATCGAGACTCGCCTGTACTGACTCGGGACTTGACTCGAGACTCGCCTGTACTGACTCGAGATTTGAATCGAGACTTGACTGTCTTGACTCAGGACTTGAAGTGTGAAGACTCGAGACTTACTTGTTATTTACAACTTAGTGACTTGTTCCCACCTCTGATAGTGGCTGCACGGAGCCATTAGCAGTGCTGAGAAGTGCTTTTTCTTTTTAAGTCTATTTCCAACAGTGTGTTCACTGTTCTGTTTATTGTGTTCGTAAATTGTCTGAAATACACGGCCAGCTTTAAAATCATACATGCATCCGTCAGCCAAACTGAAGCACAGAAACAGTGCGCTGGGTCCCACTGCTGTGTGCTCACTGGCTGTACTCATAAATATCAGAGCTGCAGAAATCAGGTCAGACTTGTTCATCAGTTTCATATGAATAAGATGAAGAGAGAATGAGAAAGTGAAGGACTGAGAGCAAGAGAGTGGGATGAACGATGGAAAAAGAAGAATAAGAAACAGAGACATGGAAAATTAACAAATACATGGACTAAATAGGAGAATGAGACAATGTGGTTTTGTACAAAACAACCTTGAATTATTTTTTTTTATAGATGCAGTTTGCAAGATGCTATATAGTGAAGTCATACAAAACATTTTTTAATTGCGCGTCTTTTTTATTTTTATATTACTTTGTCATTTTTTCCCATATACCATAAATCTTACCCTTTGGCCCTTGTGTACCCCAGATATATTCTGGGATGCTTTCTACAAGATTTTGAAGTGTATGTGTGGGAATTTACACTATATGGACAAAAGTCACCCACACATTACACCTACAGGAGCTTTTATGAATCCCTTTTTAAACCCATGGGCATTAATATGGAGTTGGTCCCCCTTTGCAGCTCTAACAGCTTCCACTCTTCTGGGAAGCTTTCTACAAGATGTTGGAGAGAGTCTGTGGGAGTTTTTGCCAATTCATCCAGAAGAGCATTTGTGAGGTCAGACACTGATGTTGGACGAGAGGGCCTGGCTCACAATCTCCGTTCTAGTTTGTTCAATGGGGTTGAGGTCAGGACTCTGCGAGGGCCAGTCAATTTCTTCCACACCAAACTCACCCAGCCATGACTTTATGGAGCTGCTTTGTGCACTGGGGCTCAGTCATGCTGGAACAGAAAAGGTTCTTCCCCAAACTGTTCAAACAAAGTTGGAAGCAAACAATTGTCCAAAATGTCTTGGTGCTGAAGCATTAAGATTTCCCTTCACTGGAACTAAGGGTTCTAGACCAACCCCTGAAAAACAACCCCATATCATCATCCCTCCTCCACCAAACTTTACAGCTGGCACAGTGCAGTCAGGCAGGTAACGTTCTCCTGGCATTCGCCAAACCCAGACTCGTCCATCAGATAGAGAAGTGTGATTGGTCACTCCACAGAATACGTTTCCTTTGCTCCAGAGTCCAGTGGCGGCAGAATACTCCACTCCATTCGACACTTGGCATTGTACTTGGTGATGTAGGGCTTACATGCAGCCGCTCAGCCATGAAGCTCCCGGCGCAGTTTTTGTGCTGATGCTGATGCCAGAGGAGGTTTGAACTCTGCAGTTATTGAATCAGCAGAGCGTTGGAGACTTTTAAGCACTAAGCTCCTCAGCACTCGGCGACCTGCTCTGTAACTTTATGTGGTCTGACACTTCATGTCTGAGTTGCTGTGATTCCTAAACGCTTCCACTTTTTAATAATACCACTCACAGTTGATCATGGAAAATTTAGGAGAGAAGAAACTTCACAAACTGACTTGTTGCAACGGAGGCCTCCTATTACAGCACCACGCTGGAATTCAGTGAGCTCTTTAGAACAAACCATTCTTTCACTAATGTGTGTAAAGGCAGGCTGCATGGCTGGCTGCTTGATTTTATATACCTGTGGCAATGAGACTGAATGAAACACCTGAATTCAGTGATTAAGAGTTGTCCCAATACTTTTGTTCTTGTATGTATGTATATATATGACATATTGTTATCACATATTTGTGCTCTCATATATATAGTAGATATGGCACCTATTTCTTTCTCTCTCTCTCTCTTTCTCTCTCTCAGTGTAAGACTCTGTCGGGTATCTGTGAGCACATCATTTCTCTGTCGTCTGATTCCCTGGTGTCGCAATCCGCCCACCTAGAGGTCGTTCACCTAACCAACGTCATGCCCAACGAAGGCCTAGTGAGTCAATAATAACAATAATTATAATAATCCATTTACGTTTATGGAATCTTTTATTTACAATGCTTTATGATAAATACACAAAAATACAATGAGAAGATGATGTACACACTGAAGAAACGGTGCAGTGAATTTGAATTTAATTGATCCTAATGTGTGAATTAGTTACGCGTGAATACAGTGAACTTTATCAACGCAGCTTTTGCAGGTTTTTCAGTTTTTGACATAGTTTGAAAATGCCTGTTTACATTGTGTGTAAGTTTCATGATGAATGGACCACAAAAATGGTCCAAAATTACTTGGGAAAAATTAGGTTCCATTGACATTAAAAGTAAAGTAGTATTTTTTCTTTCTCCTGTAAAGTTTTGTAAAGAGTCCATTTGGATTCTGTACAGTTTCAAAGCATCATAGTTTGAGTGTAGATATATTAAATCCAGTCCAATTTAACATGCAGACTTATAATTATATAAAGACTTATATAATAGATAGATATCAACACTCTCTCTCTCTCTCTCTCTCGCTCTCTCTCACAGGGAATGTATATTAAATCCACCTATGATGGTCTCCATGTGATAACAGGCACTACAGAGAACGTGAGTTGATGCTCTGCTGATGTTATCCTGCTTTATATTCATACTTTAGTGGAACTTTAGTGCTTCTTTCTTTCTCTGTTCATCTTAATGCTCGTCCTCCTTATGAGAGACGAACAAACACATCTAAACCCCTCACATACTAACACGAGAGTTATTACTCTCCCACTTTCTCCTTTGCTCTCTCTCTCTCTTTCTCTACCATTGTTTCTTTCTCTCTCACCCACACCTGTTGTCTCTCTTTTTCTATCTCTTCTCTTTTTTCTCTTTCTGTCTGTCTCTTTTTCTCTCTGTCTCCCCTCTCCCTCTCTTGCTCTCGACTTCTCACTAAAACTCTCTTGCTTTCTTTTTTCTTTCTTTTCTTCTCTTGACTCTTTTTGTCTCTCTACTTTCTCTTCTCTCTCTCTTTTTCTCTCTTCTCTCACTCTCTTTGTCTTTCTCTTTCTCTCTACTTTCTCTGTCTCTCTCTCTACTTTTCTCTCTCTCTACTTTCTCTCTCTTTACTTTTTCTTTCTCTCTTCTCTCTCTCTCTACTTTGTCTCTATCTCTACTTTCTCTCTCTTTCTTTCTTCCTACTTTTTCTTTCTATCTCTATTTTTTCTCTCTCTATCTATTTATCTATCTATACTTTCGCTCTCTCTACTTTCTCTCTTTCTCTCTACTTTCTCTCCCTCTCTCTCTCACTCTCTCTCTCTAGTCTCCTGCTGATCTGTGTAAGAAGATACATGCGGGTGATGAGGTCATTCAGGTGAACCACCAAACTGTGGTGCGTATTACTCTCTCTCTCTCTCTCTCTCTCTCTCTCTCTCTCTCATTCTCTCTTTCTCTCTCACTCTCTCGCTCTCTCTCTAATTATTAAACAATTAACACAGATTGTGTAAACTTTATAGTCAGATATATACAGTGCTGTTCAAAAGTCAGAGACCACCTTTAATTTCCCATCAAAACAGCCATTAAGCACAAGTTTGTAAGATAATTCACTTGCATAAGGAGAAAGTGAAAAAACAGGAGCTTCCAAAACTGGAGCAACAGACAAAACGGGACTCCTAACAACCACCTGGAAGACCTGGTAGACCCCAAAACTGCCCCAATCAGATAAACAGCACTTAAAGCTTTCATCTTTGAGAGAGAGGAGAAAATCAAGCTGCTTCAGATCTGAAAACATCCACAGGTGTTTCTGTCCATCCTTCCACTGTGAGAAGACGACTCAGCGCTGTGGGTCTGAAAGGATGTGTAGCTATCAAGAAGAACCTCACTGAGAAAAGGAGACGGACACATGAAACAAAGAAGCTGATCAGTGGACTGACCACCCCAGAGTCCAGACCTCAACACCACTGAATGTGTTTGATTACTTCAGAAAATGATCAACCAGCTTCTAAGACTGAATTTTGGAGGTGTGTCTGCAGATTCTTTGAGGACCTGAAAATGAGTCTCCTGAAAAGAATGGAAGCTGGAATAAAGGGAAAGAGTGACTCACTGAACACTCAGACAGCTGATTTTAGATGTAGTTGTTGAGGCTTCTGGGTAATTTTCTGTCAGTTTTGACTGGGTATTAAACCAGTGAAGGGTGATCTCTGACTTTTGCACTGTAATTGTTGTGAGTAAGACCCTCTTTTTACAGAAAAAAACACTGTATACCACAGCTGCATTTAGACACTAAACAACACATTAAAAGACAACCGATTCCAACAAATAACCACCAAGAACGAGAGAAATAAACAGACATATTCTGAAATAGGCACGTTTTTAAAACATAAACAATGCCCTCTCATGCGGGCGAGCCCCGCAGCAAAGCTTTTAAACTGATTTCGATAAAGTGATTGCTGCTATTCTTAGCCGAGCGATCGGATGGAAAATAAGAGTCCGTTCTCGCAAAGCTGCCAGGCCTGATTCAGTGCATGAATGTGCGACCCCATTTACCCACAATGCCCTGAGGTGTTGTACTACCATCGATTAGAAAATGGACTGCGAGAGAGAAACTGAGCGCTGTTTCTTTCGCTCGCTCGCCCTCCTCTTCTTCACTCTTCCTCTCTGCCTTTACTTTCTGCTTCTTTGTTGTTTTTCTTTTCTTCCATCACTCTATTAGTCCTCACTGTCTTTCTTTCTTTCTCTCTTTCTTTCTCTCTCAGTCGCTCAGCCCTCCGTTAACGCTCTTATTTAATCAATATCCTGACAACACCGCAGTGTTACACAACACCACAGAGCGAGCTGAATGTAAAAGTGCAGAGGAAGCCGTCCCGCGTTGGACCGATCGATGTTCTACCACAACAAACAGCCAAACAGAACAAAAAGAACATGATATGCGCAGAAAATCCCGCTATAGCCGACTGCCAGGTGGCCGTTTCCTCCTGGCCGGCTCGCCAATTTGTGTCGTTCCTGGATAATCCTGCGAGTACAGTAAATAATCCCCCCTAAACCACATGATCCACCGGGACTTTTGTGTCGTGTCTGACTGTCAGCCATCCTGTTTCTAGTGGAGATGCATCTAAACCAGAGCATTATGGAGAAATTTCCCTGTATGTGAGAGAGAAACATGCTTTGAACACTGTTAGGGACTGACTGTCAGTTTTCTCAAATTGTGGAGGGCACAAAACTGTATTTATGGATTTAGTCCTTCTTTTTCCTGTCTGTCTTCCTCTTTCTGCTTCTTTTATTTCAGCTTTTTCTGTCTCTGTCTTTGTTCCGGACTTTAGACTACAGTCCATTTGTTCTGAGTGACCCAGTATGTTAATTATGTTTATTTTAGTAATGTTTTTAACTTTCCATTTTGTCAATACCAAAATGATCATAACGCTGCCTAAAATGTTTGACTGTAGTGACAGTCGTGACAATTTTAGGTGTTTTTGAGCAGAACTCAAACATGCTAGCCAGTACAGACTAGCAAACACAGCTTTGCACAGCTGAACATGCATAAAATCATCATATTTTACATTAAACGCAAAAAACTTACTTAATTTTCTTGAATTTACTTAATTTGCTGTCAAAATGTGTTACATTAGTGACAGTTCTCAATGTACCACACTGATTTTCAGACTTTGGGACACATGAACTTCAAAACAATGGGATCCAACTGCTCACTATGTGGCCATGAGGGACAGAAATGCAGCTAAATGTGGCTAAAATAAGGCTCCACCTACAGACTAAAGCTTTGTGTTTTGGTAGTGACATGAAAATGTGGGACAGCGTTTTTTGAAAAAGTTTTTTTTTTTCATTTAAAAGTGAAACTTGATAAATTTAAATCTTCTAACTTCACTTTAAAAGAAATAAAAAGTTGAAGAAATGCAAAAAAAGTAAGTAATATTTTCACAAGTGTAAATTTAGGGATTAGGGTTTGGGGCAGAACCTCCCAACAGAAAGTACCCTATAAATGATGATTGTGTATATATTTAACTACTTACTCTCTCTATTAATGCCTTGGGCTGAAGTACACACTTAAAATGAAGGTTCTTCAAGGGTTCTTAAGTACATGGACTTTATGCATTTTAAGAAAATGGTCAAAACACTCAAAGAACACTTTGCATAATTAACGGGTCCTTTGCATTGTAAAATAGTTGCTCAGATTGGTGGAAAATGTGTTGTAATGGTTCTATATAGAACCAAAAAGGGTTCTTGTACTGTTACAATGTCAAGCTTGTCATAAGAGAAGAACCATTTTTGGTGCTATGGAACTGTATACAACACATTCTCCGCCAATCTGAAGAACCGTTTCACTATGCAAAGAACCCATAAATTATGCAGTGTTCTTTGAGTGTTCATGGTTCTATATAGAAAAATTATCTTTACTAAGGAACCTTTGAAGAACCATCTTTATTAAGTGTTTAGATCAAAACATAGTCTATGTAAATATCTAAAGTCTGAACGCTTTGTTTTTTTTCTGCTTTTTTCTGATGCTGAATAACTTGTACTTAATGGCTGTTTTGGCTGGAGGTTAAATAAATGAAGGGTGGTCTCTGAATTTTTCTCAGTACTGTAACTGTAATCTATTTGTCTTTGTGTTTCGGTAATGAATAACTCATCTGGCTCTCTCTCTCTCCGGCAGGTTGGGTGGCAGTTGAAGAATCTGGTGAATTCTCTTCGTGAAGATCCGAGCGGAGTCATCCTCACGCTGAAGAAACGGCCTCAGAACACATTCGGCTCCACCCCAGGCCTGCTCAAAAACGCCCGCTGGAAGCCCCTCGCACTGCAGGTGTGTGTGAGACTGTGTGTAATGTACAGGTGAATTTGTGCACAGTGGTATATAAAGTTTTTAAACACCATTTTTGATCCTCTATAGAGAACACACTCAAATATGATGCTCTTCTCTAAATTTTAGTGCAGTTTCTATTCATTTGCTGAGTTTGACATAAATAACAAAAAACAATAAAGCATAAAATGTAATGTGTGTCATAACTTTTCCACGTGCCACGTTTTATTTTCCCCCCAATATGTTACATTTGGTAAATACACAAATACACTGTGCACTAAAATGTGCAGAAATGTGTTCCCTGTAAATGATGTGTTAATTTTGAATTTAACAAAACTTGTCATTGGACCGGGGTTCCCAAACTTTTGCACAAGACTGTATCCTCGTGTGTGTGTGTGTGTGTGTGTGTATGTGTGTGTGTGTGTTGGTACAGTACGCTGCACTTCTGCGGCACTTGGACTCGCATACGTGTGTGTATGTGTGCATGTATTACTTCTTGGCTTGTTGCCATGACGCCTTGAGTTCTGTAGTTGCCGTGGTTACACATCTCCGACAGACAGAGGCAGGTCCACGTGTGTCAGCATCATCGGAGTCACGACGCACAGAACATGGGAGAGCGCATTTGTGTGTGCGTTCTCATGACTACAGGAGGCACCTCCAGGTTTCAGGACTGCAACTGCTAAAAAGAATAATAATAATAATAATAAAATAATAATAATAACAATAACAATAATAACAACAACAACAACAATAATAATAATAATAACAACAACAACAACAACAATAATAATAATAATAATAATAATGATAAAAATTCTGAAAGTTATAATAATTTGAGCTTAGTAAAGATCCATGTGTGCTTGTTTTAGAGTGGAGTGTATATCTTTCTATAAAAATATATATATTTTATTTCATTTATATATATTATCTATATCTACAGTAGCTGCACTGTTTAAGTTAACACTGTACTTTCATTTCAGAGAGTCGAATTGCTTCATTCAGCAGCTGTTGGCCACTTTGAGTACACGTCTCTAAAACACACATAGGTTGAGGTAAAAAGAGGAGATGCGTGTGCAGAGTTATAGCCCAGTTCTGAGTCCCAAAGCATCACATTATTATATGAACTATATTATTTTTAAACTTAAAAAAACAATAATCTGACATAATGATGCTTTTATGAACCTGCATATCTCTCTCTCGTGTATGTTCCAGTGTTCACGTCTGATCTGTGTGACTGTGGGTGTGACACAACTGGTTACACACCACATATCAACAATTTGATTGGTCGCCAGGGAGCAGGGAGAGGATGTGCATTGGTGGCCTGACATGTCAGTTATGTGTATATATATTGCCATTTCTAGCCTAATTATAGCACAGTATGACACATTCTGGTGTACACTGTTTAAAAAGATGGTTCTTCAAGGGTTCTTTAGAAAACAAAATGGTTCTATATAGAACCCTGAACACTCAATGAACCCTTTGCATGATTGATGTGCTATATAGCATCAAAAGGTACCTCTATGGTTACAAGCTCAATGTCGTAACAATACCGAAACCCTTTTTGGAGCTATGTAGAACCCTTTTCAGAAAGGTTCTATATAGCCATCTACAGCACATTCTCCATTCAACTGAAGAACTCTTCATGCAGAGAGCCCTTTAATCATGCAAATGGTTCTTTAAGTGTTCATGGTTCTAAATAGGACCCTTTTCTTTACTGAAGAGCTCTTGAAGAACCATCTTTTTAAGTGTGTAGATTAAAAAATGGAAAAAAGTCCTTTTGCATAATGTCATTGTTCACATCACATAAATGCTGCTTAAAATTTCTTAAACTTAAAGCGCCTTCCTGTATCAGGCTGAACTGTTTTTTTGAGAGTTTTTAAACACGAAGTGAAGATTTTTGGTTATTTTAGGCATCAGAAACCCTGGATCCATGACTTTCTGTCCATTAATGGTACAGGAGCCTGTTTTAACCCCTTGAAATCTGAAATTATTCCTTATTATGCTCTATTCATTAAATATAATATAATAATTTAATAATAATTATTTGTCTCATTTGGTCAAATTTGCCCCCCCCCCCAAGAAAAAAGAAAAATCCGTATTGGAACGAGAGGGCTAATATCTCAGTTTCTGTCATAGTAACAAATATCATGCCATGAACACCCAAAGAACCCTTTGCATGATTAAAGGGTTCTTGGCATGGTGAAATGGTTCTTCAGATTGATGGAGAATGTGTTGTAAATGGTTTTTTTAACAACAGAAGAACCCTTTTTGGTGCTATTTGGTGCTATAACCCTCTACAGAAAGGTTCTATATAGAACCGCCTACAACGCATTCTCCATCAATCTGAAGAACTCTTTCACGATGCAAAGAAGGCTTTAATCATGGAAAGGGTTCTTTGAGTGTTCATGGTTCTATAGACCCCTTGAAGAACCATCTTTTTTTAAGAGAGTACCATGAATGGTTTGAAGGGACAAATTGTATGTATTAAAATTAGTGGCGCTAATGCGTATTTATGTTAACCCTAGTCATAACACAACTAATTTCACATTTATGTGAGGAATTACATTTACATTTCATTGACATTCTGTATCGACCATAGACGTATATATAGAGAACAAGATTGCTGATGACGTCCTTATATATCCAGGGTAGTGAAGCCTGCCATATTGCTTCTCTTAGCCGCCATATTGCTTCTCTCTCTCTGTGCTGTAAAATGAATGAGTGTCTGTTGACACAATGTCAGCGTTTTATTTTATGACTAACATAACCTAATCTAGGTTATCTGATGTGTTGTTTCATAGAAATGAGTGTAGCTATTTGAATATGTGGATTTTTAAACTATGGTTTTGTTTACCTAGCTCAGCAGATCGCTCAGATAGCTACAAGGCTAATAAACTCAGATAACATTTAAAGTAAGGTTTTAAATTGAAATATTTTCACTGAAAAAACTGAAAATATAAATAAAGAATATGTTACACGTAGGTATTACCAGGTTCAAATACCCTTCTTAAGGTAGAGCTGACATAAGTAGAATTGTATCCAGTGCCTAGAAGTAAAAGTACACCTCAGTTAGCTTCATGCTAACATATATTGTGGTATAAAAAGACCTTTACACATTGGAAAAAAATCAATACAAGTCATTGGGGAACACTTAGCATGTGGTGATGGAGTGATGCACTTACTCCACATGTTCAGCTAACATCAGCTGACACGTTTGGTGTGCTTCTTTAGTTTTGCGCTGGAGCTATGAGGCTAATTTAGCTAGTCACCAATTAGCATGGTGCAAACTGCACGCCTAAGCCATCACACACTCACCTCAACCCCTGTGGAGTTCTTAAGTAAATAGTTATCAGATAGAGACGCTATTGTGGTTTCTGGACTTGAATATTCTTAGTTGACCTGCTGAGACGACCTGGTATTCACATTTAGTTAGTTTTGATTCATATTATATAGTTTTATACATGTTAACACACATTTATCTGCATGAATGTGGAATACAAGTTAAAGTATTTCTCTGTTGCTGGGCATACTCTTGTTGCTAGGGATGCTTGTTGCTATGCTCTCCCTGGTTGCTTGAAGACTGATCTAAATGTTCTCAGCTGCTCGTGTACTTCTCCTGTAGCTCAAGGCCTGATAGTCTGTGTGTGTGTGTGTGTGTGTGTGTGTAGACTCCTCTTCAATGATAGTGAGCATGTGTATGAGAAGTGAAGTGGGTCAGTATTGTTGGACTGTGTTGCTATACTAGCGGTGTGTTGTATTTTGACCCCTCCCCCCCATAAGCGGCACAGTGAGCCAAAGCATAAAGTGTGCGTAAAATGTGGCTGAGGGAATTTCTCTGGACATTGTGACACGTATACATGATTTCCACATGTGTAAAACACAGTCCTGTGTGAAAGTCTTAGGCACGGACCCCTTAATAACAATAATCTATGGCTATAACTTATTAGGCCATAGGAACAGGATCCTAATGCGTGGCAATGATGTAGTAAGGCATAGGAACACCTTGACTTAATTAGGTGTGGGAACAAGATAAGTAAGTCTCGGCCACGACTTAGCAAGGCACGTGAATGAGATAATGAAGTCTTAACCATTACTTAGTAAAGTGTTAGAAATGAGATAACTAAGTCCTCGCTACAACTTAGTCAGGTGTTTGGAACGAGATAATTAAGTCTTGGCCATGACTTAGTAAGGTGTGGGAATGAGATAATGTCGGCCATGACTTAGGAAGGTGTGGAAACGAAATAATTAAGTCTTGGCCACAACTTTATAAGGCATAGGAATGAGATAATTGAGTCTTGGCCATGACTTAGTAAGGTGTGGGAATGAGATAATTGAGTCTTGGCCATGACTTAGTAAGGCATGGGAATGAGATAATTGGGACTTGGCCATGACTTAGTGAGGTGTGGGAATGAGATAATTAAGTCATGGCCATGACTTAATGTGTAGAAATTAGATAATTAAGTCTCGACCGTGACCTATTAAGGTATGGGAATGTGATAAATAAGTCTTGGCTATGAGATAATTAGATCTTGGTCATTATTTAGTATGATGTGGGAACAAGATACTTGAGTCATGGCCACAACTAAGTAAGGTATGGGAATAAAATAATTCTTGGCCATGACTAAGTAAAGTATGGGTATGAGATAATTTAGTCATGGCCATGACTTAGTAAGGTATGGAATGAGATAATTAAGTCTTGACCATGATTTAGTAAGGTATGAGAATGAGATAATCAAGTTTTGGCCATGACTTACTAAGGTGTGAGAATGAAATAATTAAGTCTTGGCCACGACTTATTAAGATGTTGGAGCGGGGTAATTAAATATTAGCCATGATTTACTAAGTTGCAAGAACAAGACAAGATAATTAGTAAGTCCAGGCCATGACCTATGCTTTAATAAGTCATGGCCTCAACATATCTCTCACAGTTTAATAATCTCATTTCCACACCTTAATAAGTCATGACCATCACTTAACTGTTACTACTTAATTATCTCATTCCCACACCTTACTAACGCATAGAAAAAAGATAATTAAGTCCGGGCCGCATATTATTTTTTAAAGAAGGGATGTTACCAGTGCGACTCCATACAAAATGAAATGTAAAACTATTCATTTGCACAGCTCTTTATCTTTCCTTAAGGAAGGCCAGTGTTTACAGTTACTGTCCAATACCCTGTTCATCTAATTAATGCTTCATTAGACTAAATAAAGTGCTGCTGATGGAATCGAAAACAAATCCATGCGATGGCTGGAGAGCAGCGAGAAGTCAGGAGCCAAACCTGTGTTATTCTAAGTGTATTCGTCTTACAAACATATTCATGAAAAATCGTATTCTTTATTACTATCATGTTTCCTTAATCCAAACAGAATTAATCTACTATAATTCTATACTAAACCTTAATCCTAATGCTAAAGACTTATATTCATTAAAACTCATTGGATTGTTTGCTAATTATCTGACAATTTGTAGATATGAATGGATGACTCAAATAAAGGGTTGCAGTGGTGTTGGCTGCTGACATCAAGACAAAATAAAAGTCTTGACTGTTTTTCATCGTGTTCATCCTTCATCCAAAAACAAAACTGATTTTAAAGAAAGCATTCACCTCAATCAAGTTAGCTTTGTGTTACTTTATTAATGAACTCACTTTGTGTTTGATTGACAGCCCCTCTCCACCAGTCCGTGTAGCGGGTCTCCAACGCCGCCCAGTACTCTAGGGTCCCTGGGTATTTCACCTGGTCTGGACACACCTGTTGGACATGATGTGTTCATTCTGTCCCCAGTGTATGGACACAGGTAAACACACATACACACTTAAATACAAGTTTATACCCTCACACATGGGAACAGAATTGGATTTTAATAGGTGGTGTATTTTTGCTAAAGTTAGCTTACATAATAAAACATGTAGCTATACAATATAAAATTTACTTAGCTACCTGATCACCAAGAAACTAGTTACCCTACACAGGCACATACCAGACCAACTACCTGGCTAGCTAGCATGATGCACCATGAACATACAAACTGATACAAGTCTGCACGTCTCCAAGCGTACATCAGGGTATAACCACAAGTAGGCCTACCCAGATTGATCAGAGGCCTGAGAAATTTTTTAAAAATATTTATCATAATGAAATTTGATTTGTTTTTTGTGGGTCCTGTCATTGTATTACGGCCAGTCAAATCACACTGTTTTCCGTCTAGCTCTTCTTGTAGCTGGCCTCCAATCACTGCTTTGCAGCCATTACTATCCATCATTGCCTCAAGCCTTCAGTTTGTAATCAGCGTGCCAATAGCCACGTTTACATGCAGCCCTATAATCTGTCAATAATCCGACTAATAGGTCAATCAGAATAGAATACGTCCATGTAAACACCTCAATCAGAATAGAATATGTCCATGTAAACACCTCAATCAGAATAGAATACGTCCATGTAAACACCTCAATCAGAATAGAATATGTCCATGTAAACACCTCAATCAGAATAGACTAGTCCGATTGAGGCCATTCAGAATACAATTCTTATCCGATTAAGCAAGGTGGGTAATCCTGTAAATAATACGTTAAATAGAAGAATAATATCCGTGTAAACGTCTGTATCTGATTACATTCCCAATCAGAAAGTTTAAGTACATTCTTATTATGTTCGTCACGTCATAGTGAAAGTTTATAACGTTCGACATGGCAGAGCAGAAACTGGTCTGCAGAGGAGACGTCCTTTAACCCTGAAGATTGGAGTGCAGACTGCTGATCACACAGCAGTGCAGATAACAATCTCGTCTAGCTAGTGGCTAACAAAAAGACAAAGAGAAAGATTTAAGATGAACATTAATAATTTAGAGATGAATGGACTTATTTGTGTTTATAATCACTCTAGCTGGTTTCCGGATACATTTAATCTGCAACGAGAAACAAACACTATGAAGTCACGAAGCTGAAGTCGCTTCTCGTTCACCAGCTTTTTGTCAGAATTTTCCTGTTCCACCTTAAATGGTGCAGCAGTTACATTCTGGCGCCTCAGGCACCATTTAAGGTGGAACGGGAAAATTCGAACAAGAAGCTGGAGAATGAGAAGCAACTTCAGCCTCGTAAAAAGTTGAATGTTGAGAAACTCTACTCTTGCGGAAAAGTTTCCTGCTGGAGATGCGAGAAAAGCGGCTATAGCTGAGCTAAAGCTTAAAGCAGAGCAAAGTATGTCTGTGTTTTTTCGTTTATATTATATTTTTTAGTCTATAATAGTACATCAGCACATACTGAGACATATTTACAGCCACAATGGTAAAACGGGCGTAAAATGTTTTGGCTCCCAATGTGGTTTGATTTTTGTTGAAAGGACAAAATGGCTCTTCTTAACATTTGGGTTGCGACCCCTGGATTAGACCAATTTAAGTGACATACATACTGACAGAAAATGCTTGTGTATGAGGTATCTATGCTTGTGTGTTTCCCTCCTGCTCTCATTTTACTCTTTCTCTCTCTGTTAGGGAGGACGAGTCTGAGCGGGTGGGTTTCGGAGTGTTTGGTTCAGAGTCTCCGGGGTTCTATGTGGATCAGGAGGGTCTGGGGGGGCATCACTTCCCTCTGCTGGATGATGAAACAGGCAGGAACATTGGAATACGGCGCAGAGACCGGACCCCCACACGCAGTACGTACACATACATACACTCACTGATACACATGGAAACAGCGGATATACTGAATTATCATTTTCTGAAAATTTTCACTTTTCTGAAAGAAGACTTTTGTGTAGTATGTGAACATACTGTTGTGATTTAAAAAAAAATCATGTACATATCAGCCTATTCAGGAGTTCAGCTCCACCCGTTCACACTAAAGTCATAAGGAGTGTTTCAGCCTGGACTGTTTTTTTGAATGAAGCAGCCAATCAGAACAAAGCTCATTTACATATATCGGTCTTAAAGGCACAGTAACACAAAAAAGCCTGTTTAATTGTAAGGCATAAAGAGAGCTTGGAAAATGATCATGAAAAAATACATTCTGAAATCAAGTGGATATATATAATAAATAATAAATATAGTGACTTAGTAATGTTTGATAATGAGATAATTAAGCCTCAGCCATGACTTAGTAAGGCATGGGAATGAGATAATTAAGACTTGGACATGACTTAGTAAGGTGTGGGAATGTCACATAAAACTCATTTGCATATTAGTCCACTCAGGAGTTCAGCTCCGCCCATTTACACTAAAGTTATAAGAAGAGTTTCAGCCTGGACTGCTTTTTTGTATGAAGCAGCCAATCAGAACAGAGTTAATTTACATATATCTAAGGCATAAAGAGAGGTTGGAAAATGGTCATGAAAAAATAAATAATGAAATGAAGTGGACTTGTATTACTTTGTATGGAGGGGTCAGTTAATTCGTTGTTTTTTTTTTTACTGGGGCCGATTAGAGCTCAGTTATGCTGCTGCACAGACACACACTCACTTATGCTCAAACACGAACTCAAGCTGTGTTGTTTTTTTCCCTCAGGTGACCCCCGGCAAGTCTCCATGGCAACGGAATGGCTTGCGGAGCCTCAAGAATCTGGGGTGTATAAGCGAGGAAGCAGAGGTGTCAACTTTACTTCACTTTACTTTACTTTACTTGATATGACACGTGGAGGAATGTGAGCTTTTAACCCTCAGAAATCCAGAGTTATTATTGCCATTTTGCTTTACTGTAATTACATAATTACCCAAATACACTGTAAAAATGGGCTCATCAGAGCAACCTAAAAGAAGTATTTTTTTTTACCTAAAAGAAGTTTTATTCAACATAAATAAATACTTTAAATGAGCGATTCTTCCAATCACTGTAATTTTTGGAGTTGAATAAAACTAGTTAATTTATATAACTAGTTAATTTTACCACATGAAGTAATTTTTTAGGTTGATCTGATGAGATTTTTTACAGTGTAGTTGAATAACAAACTATATTTGCATTCCATTTACATTCTGTATTGACAGGTTTGAGTCTGTACTTCTGACTTTTTTCCATTTCAATATCTTGTTTCAAACTTTTTTAATCAAATCCAAATCATAATAATTATCCCCTCGTCTGCTTTCAGATATATAGATTAGGACATGTGAAGTTATCTTCAGGGCTGCGTTTAAAAAAAATAATAATGATAATGATACAAACTTCTGAACCTTATAATAGTTTGAGTGTACACTCTTAAAAAAGACGGTTCTTTAAAAAAGAAAATGGTTCTATAAAGAACCATGAACACTCTGCATCATGAAAGCGTTCTTCAGAATGTGATGCAGAGGGTCCTATATAGAACCTTTTGGAAAGGTGTTCTACATGGCAGCCAAAAAGTGTTCTTCTATTGTCATTATGTCAAGCTTGTAATGACAGAAGGAGCCTTTTAGGTGCTGTATAGAACCCTTTTCAAAAAGGTTCTATTTAGAACCATTTACAGCACATTCTTCACCAATCTGAAGAACCCTTTAATCATACAAAAGGTTCTTTGAGTGTTCATGGTTATAGAACCATTTCCTTTTCTAAGGAACCCTTGAAGAACCATCTTGAGTTGAGTGGAGTTTATAGTTTTATATTTTATTGATATATTTTCTTATGTGTATATGGACTTTCCTGCGGCTCTGATAACTGCAGCTGCTGAGGGTTACAACTCATTTAAGTTTACATACTTTGCTGTACTTGTTGTTTCACTGGGAGAAGTGTGACTTAAATCACATGTATACCTTTAGTTAATTACAGTCATTTCCAGTCATTTCCAGGCATGGCTTTGCTGATATTATTCATCTCGATAATTGACCTGTTCCCTAACAGACAGTCAATGTGTTTCTGAGAAAGAGGAGCAGAGCTACGACAGACGTGTGTCTGTCTGTGAAATCATCTGAAATTAGCCCGGTTGTTTTGAGCCATGTGGAAACAGGCTGCTAAAAACAGAACGGAGATTGAGTGGGAGACTCACACTGATCCAAATATAGAACCAAGAAACCCACAATAGGAAATAATGCACCTCCAACCACAATGCAGCTCACACACCGACATGTTTTTATACAGTGTCAGGCCCATATGCACATCATTTATCTAATTTACATGTTTAAGTAAATATCAAAATATAATTATAATATTCCTGATATTTTATATATTTAGATATATATATATATATATATATATATATATGAGTAGCTATATGTAGCAATAATACACCCTATACACCCTTTAGTATTCATATATATATATATATATATATATATATATATGTATTATAAATATAATACAATACATATAATAATATCATCCTATGTCCATTTTATATGTATAAGTAAATATCTAAATATAATGTATTATGTAGTTTGTGAGTAGCTATATGTAACAGTTATATACCCCATATATTTTCTATATATGTAAACATCTACATGCAGTATTCACATGTCCTGTATGTGTGTTTGTATATATATTGTTGTCAAACCAAAACCTCATATCTCCATTTTTGTCGTTTTTCAGTTTTTGGCATAATTTGAAAAAGCCTGTCTTCCTTTACATTGTATGTAAATTTCATGATGAATGGACCAAATTAAATGACCCACAATTACTTCGTAAAAAGTTTGGTTCCATTGACTTACATTAAAAGTAAAGTATGTTTTTTTTCTTCTCCTGTAAAGGTAACATTTTGGAGATACGAGGTTTTGTTCCGACAACAGTGAGATATATATATATATATATATATATATATATATATGTGTGTGTGTGTATATATATATATTTATACACACACATATATATGTATATATGTATAGATAGATAGATAGATAGATGTATAAAAGTATCTCTCTTTCTCTCTCTCTCTCAGACTCTGACTCCTCCCTCTTGCGGTTCCTGAGTGATGACAGGATCCTGGTCTTACAGGAAGAGGCGGAGTTTTCCCCACGTGACACAGGCCGGCGGACCAGGAAAAAGAGTCGAAATCCCAGCAGCCCCAGCTTTCCCATCAGCCCCTCCATGCTTGCCCCGCCCGTGCGGCTGGACTCAGGACCCCCAGACGGGCTGCCGTTCCCCGTGCCTGACTCCAACACCATGCCGCACTACCATGTGAGTCAGCGCACCAGAGCTAAAGCGTCAGATGTGTTCATCATTTCTACATTAATAAAATACTATTCAATACTATTTTAGCAGTAACTGTGTTGATGTGACTTACAGTATTCACATAGAGGTGATGAACACAGTTGAATTAAGTAAAAGCGTTCACTTTCAGCACTTGCAGTTACTTTTTTCAGCGGGTCAGTTTGCTTTGACATCCAGCCATCCAACTAGGCCAGAGTTTATAGACAGTGGAGAACTGGCACCTGGAAAAAAGAGAATACATTTCATCTTTGGCGTATCTTTACGATCAAACTCACGGCTGGTAAGAGTGTGTGAGCCTTGCGGGAGCTGCGTGGGTTTAGATCACTGAATTGATCACATTATTAATCTGAGGACAGTATTTTTGGAATGTTCTGCTAGACTTTGTTTTACAAACTGTAGCTCTGAAAGCATACAGGACGCTTCACATGTTAACACTAAATGAATGAGTGTGCTGTTACTGTAACTCCTGCAAGTCAAATTGAAAAGAGGAAATGAAAGTCGATTTCCATGAATGAAATTAATTGACTTAAATTCAAGGAAAATTCCATTCCAATAAAAACTAAATGAATTGCACCAAAATGTTATAATTAAGTTCCATCAACAATTTAATTATATGTTAAATGCAACAAAGTGTGTACCTGCTGACTCGGCTCTATTAGATTTAATGGAAATATGAGGCATAATTGACTTGAATTGAACTGAATAATTTTTGGAAATGTGTGGCGCCTCTGAGTCACATATATGTTTTTGTTGTGCACCCATCAGCCCCCACCTTCTCAGGACCACTGCAATAGGACAAACACACTCACACACACACACACACACACACACACTCGGCCTAAATTCAGCCAAACCTACATACAGTGTTAACTGCACACTTTCAGTTTGAAACAGGAAATAACCCTACTGATGCTCTCTCTCTCTCTCTCTCTCTCTCTCTCTCTCTCTCTCTCTCTCCCTCTCTCCCCTCCCCTTTCTCTCTCTCTCTCTCATTCTTCCTTTCAGAGGGCCTCAGACACGCTCCGGGCCGACACAGATAGGTGAGCAAACTCTTCTTTTCGATTCATTATCTAACCTTAACTGTATTTGAAAAACAAGATGTAGAAATATTGACTTAGTTAAACAGAGAAGCACAAAGTTTACATTTAAAACTGTATAATCACTCAGGGCTGTTCTTCTTTTGAGCTTTATGTTGTTTTGTAAGGTCATCAAACTGGATTGACTGTACAGAAGGTTCAGATACAGTACAGTATAGCATTTATGGCTACCTCATTGGTGTGTGGTACATCAACTGGAGAACATACTGATAAATATCACATATTAACCCTACAGACTGATGTATGTTATTTTTAAAGTTTTGAAAATGTTTTACAGTTAGGTCAATTTACTGACACAACACGACGTGTTTACTGACTTTATCTACTTTATCTGAAGCAGAATATTTTAGAACAGGGGTTCTTAATCTGGGGGTCAGTACCCCCTTGGGGGCCGGGATGTGGTCCTGGGGGATCACAAGAGTGGTGCTTCAAAACATACACCTCATCAAACAGAGAGTAAATCAATTTGCCGAGTGCTGACAAGCTCTGCTGAATGGCTCCAGCTACAGACAGCATTATGAATTTCTTTTGGGTGGGCTCGTGACTGAGTGAGGGTCTTGACTGTCCGCTTAACTTGAAGTATTTTTCAGCGCCAGGCTAAGATTTTGTGGTTTTCAGCAAAGTGCAAGCTAAAGCCCAGTCAGTGAGGAGACTCACTATTTGATTATTCTTCTGTATTTTTTTAATGTGTATACTGGTGTATTTTAGTGGGGAGGCTGTTGTGGGGGCAGGTTGGCAAAGAGGAAGTTGCAAAATATTTTTAACCCCTAAACAGGGGTCGCACTGTGAAAAAGATTAAGACCCCTGCTCTAGAACATTCTATTGGAGGTACAGTCTTTGCCCCAGATTAAGAACCCCTGTTCTAAAATATTCTGCTTTAGATAAAGTAGATGTCAGTAAACATGTCGTGTTGTGTCAGTAAAGTGACCTAACAGTGTTGTGCTCTGTTCTATGGAAAAAGCCTTCTTCACAGTTGATAATAGCAGCTTACATTAACTGGGCCGGGCTTTTTGAGCAGGTAACACCGGTGCTGTAAAAGTTGTGGTTGTAGATAAAAATGACATAATGATACTTGTAGAAAGTATTAAACACCTAATAAGTGGAACAGTTTCTCATGTTGCAGATTTTTACAGTCGCCAACTCGCATTTTTCCACTGGCACTTTACCTTTTCAAAACTCTTCACACCCCTCTCTGCAGAAACATGCAGTTTGGCATCACAGTTCATTTTATACCTAAAATGCTCTTCAGTGACCAAAACACTGCAAAAACATGTCCCGACAAACTCATTTCATCAAAACATTAACACTACACTGGTGGCTCTTTAGTAAAACCAGTGGTTCTATGTAGAACCACGAAGACTCAAAGAACCATTTGCATGAGGAAATGGTTCTTCAGATTGATTCAGATATGATTCTACATAGCACCAAAAAACAAAACGGGTTCTTCTATTGTTATGATGCTTATAATAATAGCAGAGCCCTTTTTGGTGCTATATAGAATCTGTTTCTAAAAGGTTCTCTATAGAACCATATACAACACATTCTCTATCAATCTGAAGAACGATTTCACCATGCAGAGAGAACATGTTAAATGGCCAGGGCCCAAAGTTTTACTACGCACTTCCATAATCTAAGAATAGCTCAGTCAGTTTGCACTGAAGTCCGTGTTACCGAATATTAAGCCTTAGTATGTAATAAGCCTGAGAATTTAAGGGTTAAAGGACAACAAGAAAACTTTGCCAATCAGAGCACAATCTCCTCAGAAACACTACAACATCCACTATTTTATGTATGTTTATCAAGGCGTAGAGTGGTTTTGTTTCATATTGGAATTAGTTTACTATTATTTGATCGATCATTTGAAAAATGTATTTATTTTTTTTACAAAAAATTATGTGTTGATGTTTTGATGGAGTGAGTTTATTTTGAGATGTTTCTGCAGTGTTTTTGTAGCTGTACAGCATTTTCTATAAATGAACAGTTGTGCCAAGCTGCATGTTTCTGCGGAGAGGAGTGATACTTAATGTCCTCTCTTGCTTGTACACAGTGCTGTGCCCATAATGGACCACTGATTGTCAACAATGTAACTCCAGAAGTGACTATTTTTAGGACATTTTACAGTTTTGAAATACTATATTCAAGCATTTGCAGTTTCAGCTGCGGAAATATGCAGTTTTGCTAAAGAGTTTTTTGGCACACGTCATACGTGTTTATGCATTAACGTCACAGACACAGGCTCAGAAAGGTCCAGCTCGACATTTAGGTCTCAAAGGCAAAATCAACATTAAACTGATGAAGCTATGATGACAACTGTCAATAGTTTACTTTCATCCTCAGAAGACATGTCCTTCACCAAGTTCTGAACAATTTATGTTCATATTTTTCATTTTTAATGTTCAGAATTTTATTTTTGGGCTCTTCTAGAACAGATTTACAGCTTCGATGTTCCAAAAACACTGTTCCATTATTTTCATCATACTGTTCGTCTCTATTCACCCTCCGTTTGAAACTCTGTTAGAGCTTCTGTGTCTTTAAGCCCCGCCTTCTGATGAGCCCAGTGTGCTCTGATTGGTCATCCTGCTCACTCTGTTTTGATTGGTCGATCTCCATAGCAGTTTCCCCCTCCACATTCCGCCCTTGTCCTGCAGTCTGCAGACAGAGCCTTCTCTCCTGAGCAGCTGTAAACTCCACCGTGGCTGTTTCTCCAGCGGTGTCAGTTCTGCCGGATCAGTTTGATCCAGAGTTGATCCTGAAAGTCCGGTCAGCGTCGTCTCCACACACAACACTGAACACACACTTCCTCCTCCAGTAGCCGCTGTGCGCTGTGTGAGGGTGTGCCGAGCTCGCTGGGCAGTAAGGACTGTGTTGCGAAATGATGTCATCTCGTAACAAAGGAAAAGGGCTGAAATTCCTACGAGGCGTTTCAGGCAGCTGAGAAAAGTGAGTTCTGTCAGAGAGAGTTTCTCCTTCTGGAGGGAACGCTGAGCTTTGGGACTTTGCAGAACGTTTACATGCATAAAAAGCTACGTAATAATAAAATTAAGTCTTTGTTTATGTAGCACCTTTCATAATTAAATGCAGCTCAAAGTGCTTTATAAGATAAGTAAACAACAGAGAGGGAAAAGTAAAAAGATAATCAAGAATAGAACAACAATAAATAAAAATCCAACAAAATGCACAAGTGAGGGTCAAACAAATAAAAGAACAAAGCACTTTAAACAAAGAGTCAATTTCTGAAACTAAATTAGTTACAATAAATATACAACAATGGTTAAAAATAAAAAAAAGAATAAATTAAAAGAAAACCGAAAGGCATAATAGGCCCCCTTTAAGGCTTAGTGTTATTTAATATGTAATCAGTTAATTACATACAAAACATTACAGTCCCAAACTAAATGTTTGAGCAGTGGATTTGTTCTATCATGTTTAAAATACCTGATGGACTACAAACCCCATAAATACTAGAACTTAACCTTCGTTGCAGCACGCACCACTACGCTTGAGGAGATCGCTTTAGCAGCAGTGGGCGTTCTAGAAAGTTTTACCAGGGGTCGCAAAGAGATGGAGTTTCGGTGGCAACGCAAAAGTGCGACCGGCAGTTAGAGGCAGGGGGGCTTGCAAGTTTGAACATTATTCCACCTAAGTCTATTCCACCCAAAAAAGCATTCTTTTAAAGTTTTAAACAGCCGTGATTTGTGGTAGTGGTGACCTTGTAACGATTAAACGATTGTGTGAGATACAATCAGGTCATGTTTTCAGTTGATGTTTGTTAGTCTCCAGCACTGTGTGTGTGTGTGTGTGAGAGAGAGAGAGTGTATGAGAGAGTGTGTATGTGTGTGTGTGTGTGTGACAGAGAGAGAGTGTATGAGAGAGTGTGTGTGTGTGTGTGTGTGTGAGAGAGAGAGAGAGTGTGTGTGTTTGTGTGTGTGGTCTGTCTCATAACTGTTTCCTTATTGAAACAGTGCATCTCTCACACACACACACATCCTGTGCATGTTCAGTATTTGTTCATCTCACACTGCGCTGTGGTTTGTAAGGTGTTGCCGAGGGTAGCACAAGGTAAAGGTGACGCATTGTACACCACAGTGTCTCACCCCACTGAGGGAGAGGGAGTATACATGTTTAATGCTGTGAAAAAGTCTTAGGCAACCATGAAAATTGTTTAAAACTATTTATCTGGACATGAGTCTGTGTCGTGACTTGAACCCCATTGAGATGCTGTGGCAGGGCCTTAAACGGGCAGTTAAACCCTTTAAATGGCCAAAGCTTTATTACACACTTCTATAACCTAAGAATAGCTCAGCTAGTTTGCATTGAAGTCTCTGTTGTTAATGAATAACAAGCCTTAGCATGTAATGACTGATCGATAAGTTGTTGCTGATAAAGAGAACGCAATCAGTAATTAAGTTTAGGGGGCAATTACATTTTCACACGGGTGATGTAAGAGCTGCAAAACTTTTTTTCTTTCAATAAATGAAACAATCCTTCAAAAACAAATTTGTTTCATTACCTTCACCTTATTTTATACTAGATTTTGTATGTATATATCTAAAACCATAGTGTAGGGTTTATCAACCACTGAGATGTGGACTACAAGAGGGCCACAAAGCACCCTCTAGTGGTCCTTAGGCCAATGCTATGGTGGAGCCAGGGGCCCTTAGATGGCTGGTGATGGCACTTCAAGTCACCAAAATAAGTAAAAAAATAATTCACTTAATAATAAGAAAATAATAATATAATACTGCCTAGAATACCATAACAATGGCCTAGCAACACCTTAGCAGCCACCTGGGATACCTTAGCAATGGCCTAACACCTTAGCAGCCACCTGGGATACCTTAGCAATGGCCTAGCAACACCTTAGTAACCACATGGGATACTTTAGCAATGGCCTAGCAACACCTTAGCAAACACCTTGGATACCTTAGCAATGACCTAGCAACACCTTAGCAACCACCTGGGATGCCTTATTTTGACATTTTGGGTTCTGTTTTGGTTTTTAAGCTATTGTTCATAATTTCTATAAGTCTTAAGTTTTCTGTCAGCTCTTGAGAAATAAAACATTTTTTAAGGAAAAAAGCTGTTCCTCCTGTGGAGCTTCATGCTGTTTAGTGATAAACAGGTGGGCTCTGAGGTGGAAAAAGATAACAACCCCTGATTTAGTGTAAAAATAAGAAATACTTTTTCACAGCACAGTATGATTATACTGTATAGTTATAATTGTTATTGTTGTGATTGTTATTAATGCTACTTTTGCTATTTTTACTACTGTTATCAAACTGATTCAGAAGCGTTTTGACTCCTGTTATCTTCTATAATGTTGGTTAACATGTCCAGTTATCGTCGGTGGTAACGGACCGTGTGTCGCAGGAGCTCAGGATGAAAAACTCTGCAGTTTTCCTTTAAGAGTGAACAGAAAAAGTGATGCATTTGTATCAGGATGTTAGAGAGGCGACGGAGGGAGGGAGGGAGGGGAAAAGACGTAGGCAGTAGTGGGTGTTTTATGTGATCGTGGAGATAACATCTGCTCACGAGAGGAACTTTACCGCCATGTCATGGCTTTCCTCTTCCTCTTCTTCCTCCTCAGGTATGCAAGCTCTGCAGGGGACAGACAAGCAGCAGCATCCATGAGGAAGGTAAAGACTTCTCCTTACTCTGTAGCTCTTCAGCCAAAGTGAAAGTTTGGCAAAAAAGTCTAATATGCAGTTAGCTTTTTTTTCCCCAAAATGTAGTCAGTCAGGCAAGACGTGTTTGGTGTCTGATTGCTTCTTTACTTTTACACTGCAGGGACTTCAGTTTCGCAAGGCCTGGTTCGGGTGGGGGTGGTGGTTGTGGCTGTGAGGGTGGGCAGTAGGGGGTTGAGGGGGGTGGGTTTCTTAATTTTTTTTTTTTTTGTGGGTCCTCGCCAAACTTGCCAAAATACATGAAAAACGCCCAGAAAGTCCACTTCTGAAACAGCCTAAGGTCATTTTAACCATTTTATCAAAGAACCAAAAATCGAAGAACCAAAATCTTTTTACTTAATTTTTTAGGATTCTTGGCTCTCAATAAACTGTGATGTACATTACAGTTTCTTTAGCATAATGTGCTGCGTCACCTCCATATTCAGTTATATGTGACACTATATCCATGATCCAAAGTAACTGACACAGAAATACAGGTTTTACAAATTCCACCAAGCAGTAGCCACAAGAAACTGGTTTTGTAGTTCTGCTGAATTTCAATCTTGACAGTTATACACTTAGCAAAACACCACTGGAATATTGTATACATAACTGCTGTTTTTGTATGATGCCTGTTTTACAAAAGCTCCAGCTTTAAGTGCTGCAGGTCGGCACGATCCTCCCTCATACCCCAGCAAAAGTTGACAAAATCCTGAACTGTACTTTTGTTCATGTTTTCAAATATCGGTGTGTCACACAGTGTCAAAACACCAAAGCAAGTCCATTAGAGATGAACTAACTCGACAGTTAGCACAATGCTAATTGGCAGGATATAAACTTCCCTTGTTTGTGAACTTCATTAAGCCCTTAGTGCTGAAAGAAACAAACTTCAGACACCAAACATGTCTGTGGTGACTGACTCATTTGGTCAGCTGAGTAAATTTGCAGAAATATCACTTTTTCTGGATTTTAGTTATGAACGTAACTCTTATCTGGACCTATTTGAACCACATTGTGTCTGTGTTCTCTTTAGTCTGTGCATTATGCCTCCTTAAGGACCAAGACCAAGAAGAAGAACAGAGGTAGGCTAATTTCTTGCTAATACTGCACTGTAAAAAAAACAAAAAACAAAACAAAAAAACAGTAAAATTACAGTAAATTATCGCTAACAAGATGCATTACTTTTCACAGTATTTTACTGTACCACACTAATGTTAAATAACAGTAAAGTTGCAGCTATACACTGTGACTCCACAGTCACCTATGAGACCACTGTGTTCTTTGTACACTTTCAGTAATAATCTGTAATTAAAATATGGTAATCTCCTAATAACCAGTAATTTACGGTAAGTTTCCTTTTACCAGACCTACAAATATGTTCTTTAAAACTATATTAATGAACATATTTATTCATCATGTTATTCACCACTTTGCACAAACAAGACCAATAAACAATACAATTTTTGTCATCAGCTCAGCGTTGTCTTTAAAATGCTAAAATCCAACAAATAAAAACGATGAGTAAAATAAATGGTTTTGTTAAAAAGTTTACTCCTTTTGAGCTCTCATTTGCTGTCATGTCCCACAGTGCTGTGTGGTACATCTCAACCTCACAATAATTTGCTGTGTTATTAAAGAAAATATCTGACAATGAGTTAAATAAAATGATGAATACAGTATTTTACTGTAAAAATTAGTGTTAAATACTCTGAATCCTGAGTGTTCAGTCCTGTGCTGTGTTGTGTAGTGTTGCACTGTGTTGTGTTCTGATCCTGAGCGGTACTGTAGAGCGCCTCTGTGTGTGTGCAGGGTCTCAGAGTAACTCGAGTCGGAGGCGTATAGCCTGTAAGGACCTGGGCCATGGAGACTGTGAAGGCTGGCTGTGGAAGAAGAAGGACGCCTCCGGATACTTCACTCAGAAATGGAAGAAGTACTGGTTCGTCCTCAAAGACTCCGACCTCTACTGGTACACCAATCAGAACGTAAGCAGCAGTTCCTTCTAGCTGTCTTCATGGTCAGAGGGGTTAAAAGGACAGTTCTGCGAAAACTTAATTCATCCACTTCTCCTCTTAATGCAGATGTATTTGATCAGCCAAGTCAAGTTTGGAGACCAAATTTTGCTTCTTTAGTTTAGAAGTGGAGCTACGAGGCTAACGTTGCTAACAAACACAAGAACTCAGTGGTCACCCAAATAGCCAAAATCGTTTCTGTAAAAATACATCCCCAAAATTTCTCTCAGAGCTCAAACTACGTCCAGGTCTTCATTAAGATAATGTAGACTCGATGTGGTTTAGGGCATAATATGAATTTTCCTCACTTTTTTAAAAAGAAGAGTTTGACAGTGTATGTAAACACTGTTACACGCGCCACTCACTCCCCAGTCCATACAGTCTGTATATTGAAACTAAGCTGAAAAACTGTTTGAAATTCATTTTTATAACTTCAGTGTGAGCCCTGCCCACTCACACTGAAGTTATAAGGAGTGTTTCTGCCTACTGCTTTCTGAACAGCCAACCAGTCAATCAGTAATTTAAATATACCAGTCTTAAAGACCAGTCCACTCTCAGTGCAGTCACTCCACTGATATTCCACTGAAATTCCATGATTATTCCACTAATATTCCACTGATATTCCACTGATATTCCAATATTATTCCACTATTTTTTTACTTTTACTCCATTGATATTGCACTAAAATTCCATGTTTATTCTACTATTATCCACCGATATTCCACAAATATTCCGCTGATAGTCCACTATAATTCCAGTGATATTCCACTAATATTCCACTGATATTCCACTTATATTTCACCTTTACTCCAATGATATTGCACTGAAATTTCATGATTACTTCACTAATATTCCAATAAAATTACACTATTATTCCAGTTATTCCCCTAATATTCTGCTTGTATTTCACTGATATTTCGCTGTGATTCTATGTTTCATTTTAAGGGATAAAGAGAAGTTGGAAAATAATTGGTTAAAAATGTATTATGACTATTTTTGGTACACAAATGTTATAAAAGGAGCTCGGGAAAAATAAAATACAAAGAAATAAAGAATATGGGCCCTTTAGATAAAGAAGTAACTCTGGTCGTCTAATATCATTTCAGTTTTTGTGCTACACTATTCTGTGTAATTACATAGCTATTTATATATTATATTAATTTTACATTTTTATTCTGAATCAACGTCTGCACTTCTGAATTTTTTTCATTTTTTTTTCATGTCAAAAAGGACAACAGAGTTCTTTCAGTAAATGAGGCTGTGCACACAACATTAGCTTTTCATTATTTTTTTGTTAATCATAACAAAATAGTGCTCTGAAAATGCTTAATTCAGTCCAGTCGTTGCTTGATAAACAGTAGCCCACTGAAGTGCACAGGAGTCACAATGTGAGCACTTCTAAAATCTCAAATAAGGGTTTGACTCTGCAGAGTTGTGTCAAGCAGCGCTGGTTGGCTAGCCGGGAGTGTTGAAGGAGGAGCGAAACAAGAGTAGAAAAATGAAACTCGTTGATTCTCTGTTTTTCCCTCCTTCAGGACGAGAAGGCTGAGGGCTTCATCAGTCTGCCGGAGTTCAGGATTGACAGAGCGATCGAGTGCAGGAGGAAACAGTGAGTGAACTCAGGACATTATAAACAGAGATAATACGATAACAAACAGTGAGGTTAATTCAGTTTGGTGTAATCAGTAATAAGTCTCGTTCTCTCTTTCTTCTCTTTTATTCTCAGTGCTTTCAAGGCCTGTCATCCCAAAATTAAAAGCTTCTTTTTCGCAACCGACCACTTGGAAGAGATGAACAGGCAAGTTTTGCCTCTCCTCTCCTCTCCTCTCCTTTCCCCTCCCCTTCTCTTCTCTTCTCTTCTCTTCTCTTCTCTTCCTCTCTCTCTTTCGCTACTCTTCTTTTTTATTCTCGTGTCTCTGCTCATGTTTGTCTTTCCTGTTTCAGGTGGATGAATCGCCTGGGCTTGGCTGCGATTGGCTACACCCCTGATGACCCAGTGCCCCGTCCAGATGAAGGTGAGAAAAGGACACTGTGAGCTGTTGCACTTTCTAAAATGTCAGTCCAGTCCACTCTCAGTGCACTGTTACTCCACTGATGTTCCACTGAAATTCCATTGTCATTCCACTGTTATTCCACTGATACTTCACTATTATTTCACCTTTACTCCATTGATATTGCACTGAAATTCCGTGATTAATTTACTGATATCCCACTATAATTCCAATGATGTTCCACTATTATTCCACTGATACTCCACTATTATTTCACCTTTACTTCATTGATATTGCACTGAAATTCCATGATTATTCCATTGATATTCCACTGAAATTTCACAGATCATGCTCTGAAATTCCCATCTCATTTCACTGCTACTCCACGAATATTCTATTGAAATTCCATGACTATTCCACTATTATTCCACAATAATTCCACTGATATTCCAATGAAATTACACACTCATCCCCTGAAATTCAATCCCCATTTCACTCCACTGGTAGTCCACTGAAATTCCATGATTGCTCCACTATCATTCCACTGATATTCCACTAAAATTTCACGGATCATCCTCTGAAGTTCATGATTATTCCACTGAAATTTCACAGATCTTCCTCTGAAATTGCATTGCCATTTCACTGCTACTCCACAGATATTCCACTAAAATTCCATGATTACTCCACTGATGTTCCAATAAAATTACATTATTATTCCAGTTATTCCACTGATATTCTGCTTATAGTTCACTATTCGCTGTTATTCTACTGATAATCCTCTGATATTCTCCCGGTATTTGACTAACATCCCACTAATGTTCCGCTGATATTCCGTTCATATTCTCCTGATATTCCGCTGTTGCTTCACTGATATTCTTCTGTTTTTTTGCGGATGTTCTACTGGTATTCTGCTGGCCTGCTGCTGACATTCCACCAATATTTCACTGGTCTTCTGAACTAGTCCCAAATATGCATAGAACATTTTTATAACCCATAACAATAATTGAATGGAGTGATAGAGAGTGGAGAAGATGTGCTTTTTGGACGTAAATATGATCTGTGGTGTAATTTTTGCAGATTATTGGAGTGAGAGTGATCAGGAGGAGATGGACGGCTCCATGACGCTCAAACAGGAGTCGAGCTACCATCGCAACCCATCTGTGAGTCCTCCTTCCCTCTTTTCCTGTCTTCCTCAGTACTGTGTTAGGTGTTTACAGAAGGTTTATAGACGTGTGTCTGAAGTTCATTTTTACAGATAACAGTATGTTACAGTGTCAGAAACCACAAACACCACAGACATTGCTAACAGGGCTATTGATTACTGATCATTGGTACTGATCGACGGACTATTCTGTGATTTCTCAGGCGAGCTCATCTAGCCCATTTGCTGAGCGACACTTCTCCAGTGGCTCCACCTTCTCCCACTCATCTGCCGAGGACTCACACTCATCCTGCCGCTCCACCCATCGCGAGCGCCGCTCCTGGCAGGACCTGATTGAGACGCCGGTGGGCAGCTCGGGCCTTCACTACCTCCAGACAGTAGGAGGCAGCGCAGTGGGGGAGGGACGGGTCATGCCACTGTCACCAGAGAGGCTCCGGCAAGCCACTCTTCCAGCCCGGCGCCGGCGGTGCCCACCCGAACGTGACGGTCCTTTTCCACTGACAGACAGCGAAGAGCCCCGTCCACGGCACAACCACACTCACAAACAGAGGAGCCAGAGCCTCCCGCGGAACCGGGGGGTCCTGCACACGCACACGGGACACGCTCACGGCCACGGGACGCTCCGGCCCCGAACACGTCTCCACGAGGAGGAGGATGAAGAAGAGGAAGAGGAAGGTGTGCGTGAAGCTCAGCAGATAGACCCGCTGGAGGAGCTTTACCGCTCTCTGGAGCAGGCCAGCGTCTCCGCCTTCGGTCACCAGCGGCCCTCCACGCGGCAGGAGTTCAGGCGCTCCTTCGTCAAACGCTGCAACGACCCAGCAACCAATGAGAGGCTCCACCGCATACGAGCACTGCGCTCCACACTGAAGGTATGTTAAACATACTAGACCTTTAATTCAAAACTGGGTAAAACATGAGCGCTATGATAATGCTAATTACTGCTAGCATTCCTGTAAGATTCTGGTGGTTTGTTAGCGCTAAGCTAACAGCGGTTCGCATTTCTTGGCAGTCCCAGATTAAACACAAACATTAGAAGCTTCTAAAGGACATTCAGTGTTTTACTTAAAGCTTGTGATGGACATATTAGCATATATTTTCCCTTGTAGCAGTTTCACAGTGACTCTTTCAGTAGTGAGCTCTGGTGTAGAACTGCTGCTGCTCTTTTAAAGTCCTAACAACCCACTGATTAGGCTCCCATTCATATTCACAGTCAGTGATGTTTCTGAGACTTCAGAAGGCCTAGATTGACGTTCTGTCTCATTAAATTGGTCCCACCAATCAAAACAAATCACTTTGCAATTATGCTGATGGTTAATCTAAGGCATTAGGACTTCTCTTCAACTCCTGAAGCCCCAGGGATCGGCAACATGTGGCTCCGGAGCCACATGTGGCTCTTTTACTGCCCAGCTTTTTAAAAAATAAAATAATCCTCCTTTGCAGTAAAATAAAGTTCTGCTGATCGTTCAACACAGTTTAACAATAACTGGTCTTAAACGCTGGAGTTAATGTAGAACTGCTAATTCACCCTTTAACGCTGAAGATCAGCACAGACTGCTAGTCACCATAGCAACACAGACAACAGTCTCGCCTAGCTAGTAGCTAACGAAAAGTAGGTAAATAGTACCTGCTGCTAAGGTGGAACGGGAAAATTTGAACAAGAAGCTGATTTCAGCCTCAACCTCGTAAAAACTAATATTGAGAGACATTTTACTAGAAACTGTTCTACTTTTGGAAAAGTTTCTTGCCAGAGATGCGAGAAAAGCGGCTATAGCTGAGCGAAAGCTTAAAGCAGAGCGAAGTAAGTCTGCGTTTTTGTTTATATTATATTTTTTAGTCTATACTACCACATCAGCACATACTGAGACATATTTACAGCCAAGATGGTAAAATGGACATGAAATGTCGTGGCTCCCAATGTGGTTTGATTTTTGTTGAAAGGACAAAATGGCTCTTCTTAACATTTGGGTCCCTGTCTTAACCAATAGAAGTCACTTAGGTATATCTACCAAGATACCACAGAGAAAAACAATTCCTGGCTGGCTAATTCTCCACTTGGTGGTTCTAAAATTCTACACTTTTGTTTCCATCCAAAACGTAACAATGAAACAAGAGTAGTGCTGTAAAACTTGCAGAGTTTGAACACAAACATGAATCTATTGAATGAAAATGAACTTAAAGTTACAGACATGTTTTTATTAGTTCCCAGAAATCATTAGGGCTTCTCTGAAGGCATAGGAGGCTCTGGGGGTTCCCCCTCTGCTTGTATTGCGCATAGCACTGCAAAATTTGCATGCCTAAGTCATCACACCCTGGCCTCGCTTATGGACTTGTTTATGTGGTTTCTGATGCTGTATGACACTTTTGTTATCTATGAACATCAACAAAAGTGTGTTGCATAGCTAAAATATTAATAGCAGCCACCCTGACGCCTGTGCTTTTATTCATTTCTACATTGAAAGGGAGGAAACCACATTAATAAGATTTCTGATATCTATCTCTCTAAAACTCTCTCTTTAAATGTCAAATGTACAGTTGTTTACAGACGTCTGGGTGCCTCTGATTAAATTACATGTTTTGCTGATTTTAAAAATAAGGACACATCTTCTATATTAATGTACAATTACTGTTTATAATTACTGTTTATAGCCACTGTGTGGTTTATTTGCTGGGTATAACAAATTGGAAAAAGATAACGCATAAAATGTGGCTTGTTCAAAAGTTACAGCACATTCTAAATTTTATTCTTTTCCAATATGTTATTTTCAGCAAATACAATAATAAAGACAATTTACAGAAAATTACATATATATGCCATAAAGGCCATGTGTTCCCTGTAGCTGAACCTAACATTCATTTAAATACAGACTCTGGAAAAACATCTGTTTTACTGCTCAATCTCAGTGCTGCCTTTGATACCACTGACCATAAAATTCTCATCGATAGACATGAGAGCTGGGTTGGGCTCTGAGGAACTGTCCTAAAATGGTTCAGTTCATACCTGCAAAGGGACTACTTTGTGGAAATTGAAAATAATATTTCTGAGAGAGTGCCAGCGATCTGTGGTGTCCCCCAGGGTTCAATTCTTGGGCCACTCTTATTCAGTTTATACATGCTGCCTCTTGGCCATATGCTACAAGGCTATGGAATATCTTACTAGATGATACTCAGATCTACTTGGCCCTCTCCCAAAAACAACCATGGTCCCCTTGACTCACTCTTTAAGTGCCTCGAGGTCATCACTAACTGGATGGGACAAAACCTTATGCAGTCAAATAAAGAAAAACAGAGATTATTTTATTTGGGAATCACAATAAGAGGCACAAAGATCCAGCAACAAAAGAGTGGATTTGTGGGCGGAGTGTGAGTTCACTGATGTGTAAAGGTGATTTCTGAGTGCATTTCTGTCTTTATCTTTCTTCCAGGCTAAGGAGGGAGACCTGACAGCCATTGGTCAGGTCCTGGACGACCCCTGCCTGACCTCACGGAAGTTTCGAGAGTGGAAGCAGAGGAACCACGAGCTCTTCCTGGATATCTGCGAGTTTAGCTCCGTCCCTCTGGAGCCGCCCACTGAACCCAACGACCTCTCACCTCTCTCTCCAACACTGTTGATGCACACACACTCGTTCATAGAGACCCACGTGTGAAACGCACACACACACACACACTGCTTTATACAGAGACATATCTGAACCATGCATACATACAGCACTGTGCAAAAGTCAGAGACCCTTTCGCTTATTTTTCCAGTCAAAACGGCCTTAAAGTTCAAGTCATTTGTAACAGAGAATTTGCACAAAAGTCTTGATAACAAGTCTGATATTAAATCTATCAGTGTGTAATTTGTCCTCTTTACTTTTGTGGACTTACTGCCAGTTTATCCTCCATCCTTCTGACCTTAAATCAACCAGTTCCAGCTGTGTCCTCCCAACGAAAGCTGCCCCCAAAGATCTCACTGACATTCTGTTCTCCTTCAAAGAGACAATAAAGGTGCTTTTTCACCGACTGGAACTGGCTCAACTCAACTCGACTCGACTGTCTTTTTTGTTTCCGTTAGGCAAAAGTTGGTACCTGGTACTTTTTCTGGCATCATCTCCGTCGAGGTTCCAAAGGAGGTGAGCTGATTCCACAAGGTGACGTAAAGACGCTACAGACTACTGACAGGTCGGAGAGAATTGCTAAACAGATATGCTAACGTTAGCTACCAGGTTAGCGTCGCCTCTTGCGTCGCCTTTTTTGAGCAACCAGAATCGTCTAGTCGTCTGAACTCTGGTGTAGTTTTTCCCAAACTCTCCTTTTTTGTCAGCAGTCTTTTGTCTTACTGCCATCAGCCAATTCTAAAATTTGTCTCCTTCACGTCTTGGCAGTTTCGTTTGGCGTCGTTGTGATGACCAGTGGAAAACAAAGTAGCTGGTACCAAAAGTGAGTTGAGTTGAGTTGAGCCAGAGGAAATGTGTCTCCCAACAACCACCTGGAAGACCTGGTAGACCCCCAAACTGCCCCCATCAGATAAACAGCGCTTAAAGCGGTCATCCTTGAGACAGAGGAGAAAATCAAGCTGCTTCAGATCTGAAAAAATCCAGTCCAACTCAACGAAGCCATTGTTTTACGGACTGATGAGTACAGATTTGTAATGAGTATTGCTCAGATCTCGAGAAGCAGGAAGTTCAACCAACTTCTAAGACTGAACTTTGGAGGTGTGTCTGCAGATTTCTTTGAGAAACTCCTGAAAAGAATGGAAGCTGGAATAAAGGTAAAGAGTGGACACAATAAATACTGATTTATTTATTAAAGTTTCTGTGTATTTTTCTGTTACATATGTTTCTTCTTTTTATGAATCACTTGTACTTAATGGCTGTTTTGGCTGGACTTTAAATGATTGACTTTTGCGCAGCGCTTATTAAACTAAAGGACAGAAATACGTAGGGCTTTTTGGAAGAAATCACACACATGAACTAAACACTGTGGAATCAAATGCCCCAGGTTATCTGATCCTTACTGCCCATCCTTGACCATAACTGACCACTATGTGAGCCAGAGCACTGTAAAATAACTTTTAAGGCATTTTGCAAAGACTTTAAAACTTGCGCTGCGTCCCCGTCTGCGTCTACCTTTGCTGGCTCTGCGCAGGTGAATGACGCACCTGTCCAAACTTCAGGCCACCTGAAGTGACCGCTTCATCTGTCCGTTTTTAACCTACCGCAGCTGTGTTGACACCATGCAAAAGAGATGCATCGTTTTTCTTTCTTCCTGGAAGCGTTTCTTTTCCCTTCCTTTGTGGATTGTTCCAGTTTTTCTTCTTGCATTTGTTTGTTTATTTGTTTATCTCCTTCCCTCAGAATGCTGCAGGAAGAGCGCTCATGTAGCCATGGGCAACGGGCTTCACTCTGTTACCAAGCAACACCGCCCTACTGTGTTAACTCTGGACGACTCTCAGAGCATGCAAGACTGTGCGTGAATGTGAGAGAGAGAGAGAGCAAGCAAGAGAGAGAGAGAGAGAGAGAGAGAGAGAGAGAGAGAGAGAGAGAGAGAGAGACACGCTGGGAGAAGACTGATATATTTCCTGTGCATTTTCGATGTAGGAATGGCTGAATGTGGCGGCAGCCAATGGCGCGTCTGTGATCTGAATGACACTCGGGTTCTTTAGAGTATTTAGAATATAGCTAAACTCCTGCATGGTTTAACGATATATTCATATATTGCCAAAACGGGCTGATAAAGTATGTATATAAGACGATATTCTTTGCCGAGCTGCATCCTCTGTTCGAAAACTGTGAACTTTAATTGTGAATGCAATCTTCTGGCACTGCAAAGACAGAAGCTTTCTACTTCAATATTTTCATTTTCTAAAAAAAAAAGAAACAAAAAAAGAAAAGAAGAAAAAAAAGGACGACAAAACGTACAAAAAAAGCTTTGCTTATCTGGTATTCTGACTGTTTTTGCTCGGGGTCAGCCCTGCGGCTGGCTATTACCTCTTAAGCTATGGGTTATATTCAGGTCGGAGAATTATCCTTTTCCTTCTTTTTTGTCGTATGCACTTCCTGGGAGAGTTCTGGAATTCAGAAATTTTCTGGGAAATTTTAGATTCGCGTCCAAATCTGAAGTTTTGTGTGTTTGTGAGCTTTACTGCAACCTGACAGGTTCATGTTTAACCCTTAGAAGTCAAGAAATTGCTGGGCTATTTATATAAACATAATTAGATTATTACATACAACGGTGTGCATCAGTTTAGGCACCCCTGGTCAAACTATGTTCATTTTCTCAAAACGTGTTCTTTTCTTAAACCTAAAAATGTTGGTTCATCAAGGGTTCTTTAGCACAGACAATGGTTCTGTAGATTATAAACACACATATATATATATATATATATATATATATATATATATATATATATATATATATATATATAGCACCAAAAAGGGTTCTTCTATTATTACATGCTTGACATGTTAACATTAGAAGAACCCTTTTTGGTAGAACCCTTAAAGAACTAGGTTACTGGGTGTTGACTGGTTAGCATTACTGCTACTGAGTGCTGATTGGTTAGCATTACTGCTACTGAGTGCTGATTGGTTGGCATTATGGCTACTGAGTGCTGATTGGTTGGCATTACTGCTACCAAGTGCTGATTGGTTAGCATTACTGCTACCGAGTGCTGATTGGTTAGTATTACTGCTACCGAGTGCTGATTGGCTAGCATTACTGCTACTGAGTGCTGATTGGTTAGCATTACTGCTACTGAGTGCTGACTGGTTAGCATTACTGCTATTAAGTGCTGATTGGTTGGCATTACTGCTACTGAGTGCTGATTGGTTGGCATTACTGCTACTGAGTGCTGATTGGTTAGCATTACTGCTACTGAGTGCTGATTGGTTGGCGAGCAGAGCAGCTCATTGGCTGTTTGTGCTCACTAGCATCATAAATGTACATGAGGTGCCATTTTTAACTCCTATAAGTTGAGTTTAAAAGCTCTTAAAAACATAACATCATTGTTAAACTATGATTTTGCTCAAATGCTCCATCTTAACCCATTCATTCTGGACTCGCCCAGGAGCGCCCTCTAGCGTTCAAGAAACCCAGAAATCATTACAGAGTGGTCAGTCTGTCATCGGTGATCTCTGTGACTTCTAAGGGTGAACATGTGGAGCTGATTTGTGGCCTGAGGAGAGAAACTGCAGCATGACGTTCCGTCTGACGGCGTGTTTTACGGACAGCGTTCTCGTGTTCCGTTATATTCTATTCACATTACTTACGTTACTTTAGATCGTGAATAGGATTGTCGTGGGATGTATTTTAATTGAGTAGAATGTAATTATTTTTTAATAGTCTGTAAATTGTACAGCTTATTGGAAAGAAACACCGACACAAACAACAACATCATTTCTGTCTTTTGTGTTCTTGATGATGCACTGGTGTAAATGTCCCTCATTCAGTCCACCAGTTTTTTGGATCTGTGTGTGTGTGTATGCGTGTGTGTGTGCGTGTGTGTGTGGGCTTCACTGTGCTCTCGGGTGCGTATCTGCCACCCTGTTCCTCAGCCCTGCTGAGTGAAGTGCAGGTTGAAACTTTTAAAACAGAATTTATTGCTTATTTTTTCCTCACATTCACTTCACACTTCCTGCCCCTCCCTGCACTCCGCAAGCATCATCTCACTCCACTGCAGGCTCCTTTTCCTATATATACATATATAAATATATATATATATCTGATAAAGATTGTAAAATGTAAAAGAAAATAAATTAAGTTCTCTGCACTTCTGAGGCTGCGTTGTGATTTGAACAAGCAAATAATACAGAATCAGAATCTTTTTATCATATAAGTACATATATATTAGTGATATAATGACATATATTACAATGTATATTTCAGTGACGATGTATTTCAACATGTATTTTAATGACATAATTGCATATTTAGGGTTCTTTAGTAAAGAAAATGGATCTATATAGAAACATGAACACTCAAAGAACCCTTCGCATGATTAAAGGGTTATTAAAGGGTTCTCATTATGAAAACGTTCTTCAGATTGATGGAAAATCTGCATAAATGTGCTATAGGCTCTTTCTAAAGCCAAAAAAGCCCAAACTTAAAAATTATGGTTCTTCAAGGGTTCTTTAGTAAAGAAAATGGTTCTATATAGAACCATGAACACTTGAAGAACCCTTTGCATGCTATATAGAACCATTTTAAGAAAAGGTTCTATATAGAACCACTTAAAGCACATAGAATTTTGGGTTGGTGGACTATTCTCAGTCCAGCAGTGACACTGAGGTGTTTAAAAACTCCAGCAGCACTGCTGTGTCTGATCCACTCAGACCAGCGCAACACACACTAACACACCACCACCACATTAGTGTTACTGCAGTGCTGAGAATGATCCACCATCCAAATAGTACCTGCTCTGTGAGGGTCCTTGGGGGTCCTGACCACTGAAGAACAGGGTAACAAAGTATGCAGAGAAACAGATGGACTACAGTCTGTAATTGTAGAACTAGAGTGAAACTACGTGTGTTTATATATATATATATATATATATATATATATATATATATATAATATATATATATATATATATATATATATATATATATATATAACAACGGTACATCCAAACAAATTATGTTTGTATGTTGCAACATTTGTCAATATTATATGTTAAAACCATTTCTAATACAGCACAGGCTTGTTTTTGGGCTCGGTTTTTGTTCAGAATATTAATTTAGGCTCTACTTTATTATAGAAAGAAAATTCTCTTGGTCCTCATTATTATGAAGAGTTTTATTAAATCTAGTGTAAATGTTGTTGAAAACTGAGGCTCTATTGGTGATTAGTCACCATGTTCATTATTATTATTATTATTAGTATTAGTAGTAGTAGTATAGAAGTAGAGTATATTGATACAATTTCAGACCTTGTCCAAATAAATCAAAGCACTTATTTATTATTATTATTATTATTATTATTATTATCATTCTGTCAGTGCTGAGTCTCTGAGCTCGTTTGTCCCCTGCCTCTCTCCGTAGAGACCTCAGAAGTGGGCGGAGCCGACATGGCGCTGAAGGTGAGTCCTCCCCCCAAACACTGCGCGCTGCACTGAGAACTGAACCGCAGCGCTGAGTAAATCATTCAAATCTGTAATATAATAACTTTAATAACTGACAGTGACGCGGCGCTCGCGCTCTGTGCTCTGCGTGTGGTTCCTTTAAGGCACGCGGCGGTGTGTTTGTTCACGCGGCTCTTAAAGGGGCCGCAGGGTGGGGGGTTCGGGGGTGTGAGGGGGGGATAAATTTAGCCACAGTCACAGTTAACTCGATTAACCCGGTTTAACTCACTCTCTGCTTCTAAAGCTTCCACAAGCTGAAGCTGAGCTGCGTTACTGCCTGACTGAGTAACTCAGTGAGCTGAACACGCAGAGCAGAGACTCAGAGTCAGAGTCAGGCTCAGCCCTCAGTGCAGGCAGAACAGCACACTGCAGTCTGACAGAGCTGTGTATTAGAAAACTCTCACACTAATAACTGCCGTTTTATATGTGCAACACCTTTAATCCGAGTTTACAAAGTGCTTTAAAATATATGTTAAAATTATGGAGGAAAAAAATGAAATAAGACACAATAAACTACGGAGCTCCGCAGTGCGTGGCCATGACTTAGTAAGGCGTGGAAACAAGATAATTAAGTTGTGGCCATGACTTCATAAGGCGTGGGAATGAATTAAGTTGTGGCCACCACGTATTAAGGCATGGGAATGAGATCATGCCTTACTAAGTCACAGCCATGGATTAGGATCTTGTTCCCACACCTTACTAAGTTGTGGCCATGCATTCGGATCTTTTTCCCATGCCTCAGTAAGTCGTGGCCATGACTTAATTATCATGCTCCCACGCCTTACTAAGTTGTGGCCACACATTATTTTTATTTATACAGGATATCACCAGTGGGGCTCCATAGAAAGGCGTTGGAATGAGATAATTAAGGTGTGGGAATGAGATCCTAATGCGTGGCCATGACTTAGTAAGGTGTGGGAATGAGATTCTTATGCGTGGCCACGACTTAGTAAGGCATTGGAACGAGATAATTAAGTCATGCCCATGACTTAGTAAGACATAGGAGCAAGATCCTAATGTGTGGCCACGACTTAGTAAAGTGTGGGAACGAGATCCTAATACATGACCATGACCAAGCTTAATAAGGCATGATCTCATTCCCATGACTTACTAAGTCATAGGCACGTGTTATTTTTACTTACACAGGATGTCACCATAATAAACTGTAAGTAAAGTATATCATACAGAGAGAAAACACAATAAACTCTACTAAAAAGAAAATAAAGTAAAGAAAAATGTTGAGTAAGTAAAATAGTTAAATTTTGGCTAAAATGACAGAAAATAAATATTGTATACTTTAAAAAATATAATAACTATAAGCAAACGCTATTTATGAAGCAGTAGGTTTTGACCTGGTCGATCAGTCCAGTCGATCAGTGAGGTCTATAAAATTAATAAAATATCTGATATTATTTTGAGGCCATGTTGTGTCACCTCCTCAAGTTGGGGATGAATATAATGTTTGTAATTTGTAACACAAGTTTTTTAGTTTATTTATTTGTTTTATTTTTTTTTTTTTGAGAGAAACTCTGTTTTAATGGGTTCCTTGATCTGAAAAGGTCAGAGGAGCCCTTAATTAGTTCAGTATTTCAGAGTTGAGACATGAATGAGACATAATGTTCAGTGTTTTTTCTTGGTTAAAAGGCCTCCTTCAGCTCATGGAGGGCAGTAGTTCCTCTCAGTAGTTCCTCTTCAAGCACTTAGGGTGTTTCTCATTTTGAGTCTTGGTTCCTCTTTGTGGTTCTTTCTCATGCTCTTATGGAGCTTCTCTCTTTGAGTCTTGGTTCCTCTTGGTTTCTCCTCACGTTCTTTGGGAGCTTCTCCTTTTGAGTCTTGGTTCTTCTCAGTGGTTCCTCCTCATGCATGCTAAAAATGCAGTTGGACAATGCAGCACCTGCACAGGTGTGGACTTTGAGGAGGACTGCAGGGCTTGGGGAGCCATTTGGTTCTGGGCCCTTCCTTACTGATGCTCAATAAGGGGGCTATACCCAAACTTTTGAAAAGCTGATTTAGGCCAAAATCTGTTGTAAAAAGTGCCACACAAACGAAATTGTATTGAACTGGAGTGTCTGATTGAGCTAAAGTTCACATTACCAGGTTTAAGTGGCATAAATCTGATTTTTTGCCTTATGTGACTCAAATCTGATGTCAGAATCTGACCTGAGCTACTTCAGCTAAGATAACATTACCAGCAAAATTGCTCAAATCTGGCTTTTTGCTCATATCCGATCTCTCTGACACGTATTTCACACTCGTTTAGGTAAGTGATTCAAATCTGTCATTAATGTGAAGATCAGATACGTATCTGATCTAGGACCACATATCAGTATAAGTGGCTCAGGTCGGATTTGAAAAGATCAGATTTTTGTGTCCACACAGCCCTGAAAACATCAGATCTGAGTCAGATTAGGGCAAAAAAAATTGGATTTGTGCCACTTCAACCTGGTAATGTGAACGTAGCCTTTCATGTGTGGTCCTAGATCAGATACGTATCCAATTCGTGGCCATACAACCTTAATGTGACGCACTGTGTGCGCATCGTCATTCAGCGTTACCATGGCAACTGCACCAAACAGAAGTTAAAGCATGTAAAAGGTGGAAAAGCAACACATCTCACCTTTTTCTCCTTCGTCTCGCTCTAATAATGAAGCTGAGAGCTGATTTAATTATCAGAGTTAATTATCTTCTCAGCGAAGCTCGTTCTGCTCGTTAGTTTGTGCTGATGATGCACGTGATTCATTCACGTGACGTTACTGAGTAGGATGTGCGCATGAGGGTCATTTCAGGACGCCGGTTCGTGCACATTAATGACAGATTTGAATCACTTATCTAAACGAGTGAGAACCATCGTGTCAGAGAGATCGGATTTAAGCAAAAAATCGGATTTGAGAAATGAGGCTTGTAATGTGAACGTAGCCAGTGATGTAGAGTACACAACACTCTGAATCAATGCAGTGGATCACATTAGGAAACGTTTAGAGAATTTTTTTTAAATCTTCAGGTGGTGAAGCTGACAGCATTGCCGGCTGCTGTGGGACTGGCCTCATTTCGAGTTTACGCTATGACTGAGGAGAAGACAGATGAGCAGATATCTCCACGAGAGGTGATACACACCTGCCTGCATATTACCATGTCTATTGACCACGACACTGGACAGTTCATTGTGTAGAAAAACTATGAGCCAGACTTTTATTCTTTAGGCCTTTTCCCTCTGTACCTTGATTCTGTTGATATTTCCTCTAGTTGTCTATCTATAATCCGGAGCCTCCAGTCATGCGGTATGTGGACGAGCGGCCAGGACGCCTGCAGGCCGGACTGGGCCGAATGAGAGTGGGGCTTCAGCCTTACGTCAGGACAGTGCAGGTACCTGAGCACATCCAAGAAACAAATGTCCTCTATGAATGTGATTACATGCACTTAATAATCCAAAAACTGCAGAAAATCAGATTTTGTCAGTAATCCGATCAACGCGTTTACATGCACTTGAGTCATCAGATAATGGGGAAACTCCGGGTCTACATGAGTCAGACAGTAATCAGATTTCTGCTTTACAACCAGCCAATAAACTCACAGAGGAAGACGTGACGTAAACGTAATGTAAAACTCAAACTTCATGCTGCGGCTTTTTTTTAAACATTGCGCCGCTTTACCTGAAAATATGAACATATATCATATAAAAATGAAGAATATTTAAATCCTTCATTCCGTCAAGCATGTAGTCGGTTTCAGCTCGTGGCGACGCTGCTCACTTATTTCTGGTACAGCCGTCTGTTTTCACACATGTGCAGACTGAGGAATTTGAAAGAAATCAGAGTAAGAGTTTACATGCACTGAGAAAACATGCACTGAGCTAAAAACCAGGCTCTTTATCAGATTTCTTAATCAGATTTCTAGATCAGAGTATGGTGTTTACATGACCATTTGAATAATCAGATAACTGCAGAAAAAGCCCTTTACGTTTCCTTTAGAATAACAGACTCCTTTCATGTGGCATCAGATGAGCTGCGCAGACTGCTCCTTTAAACTTGTAGGACAAACAGCAAACACTAAATCAACCACACAGAACAATGTTTGTGTGGAAGGAAAAGAGTAAAAATGCTGAATTTCTGTGCTTGTTTTAATTGTGGAACTTTCATTTGTCTACCGTGAAGAAGGACAGTGGCAAAGGGACGCAAACTTGGCGCCAAAATGGTGAAGTAACTAACACTGGAAAAGTCATCTTCAGTGCCACATATGAAAATGGCCCAAATTTGAACTGCAGCTGTCAGATTCAGTGTGTTCTTTGCTGTTTGACACAGAACACAGATTAATGTCACATATGAACGGATTTGGGTCGCTTTTACCTGCAGTTAATGGAGCCAAAATCTTGCTCAATTAAAAGTGGGAATATGGAGCCAAAATATACTTAAGTGGAAGTCAAAAAGTATCAAGATTTAAAAATACTGAAGTAAATAATATAAAAGTAATTACATTTCCAAGACAAAAAGACTTTTTACTCCTCATTTTCATTTTGACCTTCAAAAGACCTTCGTTATTAGGGCTGACATGATCAGGAAATTTTAGCTGGTGATTAATATTTTGCTGTTATCGGAACAAAACCTCATATTTCCATTTTAGTTGTTTTTCAGTTTTGACATAATTTGAAAAGGCCTGTTGCTCTTTACATTGTGTGTAAATTTCATGATGAATGGACAAAAGAAACGGCCCAAAATAACTTGGAAAAAATTCTGGTTCCATTGACTTACATTAAAAGTAAAGCATGTTTTTTCCTTCTACTGTAAAGTTACCATTTTGGAGGTTTTGTTCCGAGAACAGTGAAATAAATATATAAAACCGTAACCAAAAGCCATATAAATAATTGCAATTAAATGATCATTTATTATACACTGTATGCAGATATTTAAGTAAACATAGTGGCCAAATTGGCTTATTACCTATTTTGCTTCCAAGCTGTTGTAATGCTGTTCAAATATTTACCTTTTTAAGTAAGACCACAGGTATTCAGTTCCAACAGTACTCAAAAGTGCTGTTGTACTCAAAAGTACTTTTGAGTACTGTTGAAACTGAATACTTACAATACTTAAATAATACTTTAACCTTAATTCTGACACTAAACTTCATCATTTGGAGGAAAAAATGCTATTAATTTTTTATTTGTGTCTGTTTTTTATATTAAATATGTGTTATTAATTTGTCAGTTGTTCATTTTGGTTAAATGTTCTGGAAATTTCTAAGCTAATCTGTTCTTTTAACAGGATGCCTGCACTTCAGTCAAAGTTGGAGTCATATCTCTGTACCAAGCTGGTCAAGGTGAGGCTTAACTGTGTCTGAGAAACATGATGGATCTGGGAGTGGAGCCAGGTGGGTCTTCTTTAATATCACTTTTGACCCTTGATCTTCTGGCTGTGTCAGACACGTATGAGTTCCTGAGAGAGCCGCCCCCTGGCTTCCTGCCAAGAGTTGGTGTCATCACTGTGTCCGGCTTGGCTGGCCTCGTCCTGGCACGCAAGGGTGAGACATGACCCTCACTGGTCTTCCACCAGAAATCGAATATGAGAATTTTTTCTTTGAACAAATGCCTATTGCTGGACACAACCCACCACTTTTAATATTCACATTCATTTTTAGGACATTACTTGTACCTTGTCTCTCCATATTTGAAGCACATAAGATCTGGAGTATGATGTGTTATGAGGATGTGAGTTATGAGAACTGGCCCAAAGAGGAAGCAACTGAACTTAGCTAATTAATGAACTTAGCTAAGCACCTGATATGGCTATTTAGTTACCTGCAGCCAGTTTCACCAGCTGAACGTAAGTTTGATCATAGCCTAGTTTGAGCGTAAACTGCCTCTACGTTCAAGTTTACGAGCTACTGGAATTTCACATGTTGCACCAAGTACATAGTTTTAATGTAGCTTTAAGTTGTAACTTAAAATTCACACATACCCTGTAGTTGGTGTAACTTCTGTAGTAAAATAGTTTAAATGGCTGGTCAGTTTGATGGACGAGAAAACATTCAAGAAAACCAAATATATCTAGGTTTGCGTCGACAGTTGTGCAGGATTGATTACACCCATTTTCCTCAATCGGACATAGAAAAGATCACAGACCTCGTAGCCGCAGATTTGCGACACAACACAGACAGTAACGGAGCCCTGAGTCCTGCTTTATGTCTGGCACCATTGATATTCTGCTACAGGGTCGTCCCAAAACCTGGTGGGCGACTCTGTTCAAGTACACAAGCCAACTGCGTTCAGAGCAATAAGAGCAGCTCCATCAGTGCTCAGGCTGTGAGTGACGCTGACCTTATTATCACAGAATACATAACACAGATTATTTATAAATATAAGTAACATGGCTAACATTACCTTCCTGTCATTCAGCAGATTCAAATATTGATAACATTAGCCGCAGCTTCGCTAGCGTTACCGACCGTTCATTGATAAAGTGCCCAGTTTAAACATCACACATACAAGAGACGGACATCACTTTTAAAAACACCGCTTTATTGTAAAACACAGTCTCCTTTTGGACAATAACTAATACAACAGGCACACCTTACGCAAAGTAAATGTGGCTTAATAAAAGAAACGTGAGCGATTTCACTGCGTTTAATGTTTCCTGTTTATATCGTTTCTGATTGAAACCGTCAGTGAAAACTGATTGAAAACGTCTTTCTGTGCGACAGTGTTTTGATCTACGATCACTTTACGCTCTACTAGTTAAGACGTACCGTAAGTGTCTGTGGTGCAACTGGAATTTTGTGTGTCGCTAATTTTAAACTAACTACTCTCAACATGAGGTTTAGGATGGACTTTACACCCCAACTTACAATGGAACTTACGTTCAGCTGGTGCAGCTGGCTGCTGGACTGGGCTGCACCGGGTTTGCGCAAGTTTAGTCTTTATTAAGTCCTCAGTTATGCTAGTTAGTTTCAAACTATCCTTTTACCGAATTTGGTTGCCCCACAAATCCATAAGTCGTGTCTTAACTAGTGACAACTAACTGATGCGTACGTCACTTTAACATGTTCAGAACCATCTATAAACCTGCTGCCATGGAACGATGTGTACAGGTTGAATTGAATGAACCTGTTTATATATAGTCACTGTCTGTTTATTCTTTAATATTTCCCTGAGACAATCAAATACGCAGCTTTTTAAATGCTGGTTTCTGACTGACCGACACAACAGCAGCCTCAGTTTAGCCGTTTGGGCTGCTGAGTCTCACTGAGCTGGAGCTGTGGGTGCTTAGCTTAATGCTTGTATTTAAACCGGGGCTATTCACAGCATACAGTGTTTAGAGTTTTTAGCTTAGTTAAACAAAAAAGCATATTTTTGGTGGTCTTTAACTGGTCAATGAAATTAGAGGGGAGTCAGTTTAGAGCGTTTACAGTGCAGACATGTTTCAATAAATAAATCGATATTTGGCGCCAGTGTATTGTTAACATATTGCAAAAGAAAGTGATACAATATATTGCTGTATCAGTATTTTATCCCAACCATTTTATCCCATACAGTAACCATAACACTGGGCCCTTTGGTACTGGACAGATGACCAGTGGACAAAGCACAGTTCCAGTTAAAGGTCCCAATATTTTGTGCAGTGAAAAAAGGGCTGGTGCCGGTTGTGTAGTGCGGCTTTTATTGGTTGAGACATAAAAAAATTACTTCTTTTCTCATCTTTGACCTTTACAGTCACAGCATCATCACGTGGCTGGTCTCTGTGTGTGTGTGTGTGTGTGTGTGTGTGTGTGTGTGTCTGTCTGTCTGTGTTTTCAGGCTCTCGGATGAAGAGAATAGGTGTTCCTCTGGCTTTGACGACTGTTGGTACCGCCGTCTGTTACCCCACACAGACAGTGGGAGTTCTAAAGGTAGCGTAAGTGTGAATATCGTTAGCCTCTCTTTTATCTCGTCCTGTTTAAAGTGTATTTACTGTATATTATCTCTTTATAGTTTACGGGTAAGAAGGTGTATTCTGCCAGTTCGGTGGTTGCCTCAGCATTAAAATCCAAACCCAAAGAAGATTTCACTGCTCCTCCTGCAAGCCTGGAGGTACCACATGCAAATACACAGACACAAACACACATGCATGGACAACAACACTCACAACTGAATCCTTATCATTTTTCTAATGCTAGTTCTGTAGGAATATTTCTGGACAAAATAACACAATCAGAAGGAAAAACAGCACAGTTTCTACTTTATATATACAGTGGTGCTTGAAAGTTTATGCACCTTTTAGAATTTTGTATATTTCTGCATAAATTTGACCAAAACTTCATCAGATATTTTCACAAGTCCTAATAGTAGATAAAGAACACTAAATTAAACAAAGGAGACAAAGATGTTAGACTTGGTCATTTATTTGTTGTTCCATCGATGATGGAAAGCCATCCTGGCCCAGATGCAGTAAAACAGGCCCAAACCATGATACTACCACCACCATGTTTCACAGATGGGATAAAGTTTTTATTCTGGATTGCAGTGTTTTCCTTTCTCCAAACATAAAGCTTCTCGTATAAATCTAAAATATCTATTTTGGTCTCATCCGTCCACAAAACACTGTTCCAATAATCTCCTTTGTTTGTGCCATGATACACTTCCTCAAACATGTGTTGTGAAGATCTAAAGGGTTCACAAACTTTCAAGCATCACTGTGTGTGTATATATATTTATATATTTTTTTTTATTTCCTTTTTTATCCAAGTGTACAGTGAGTTGAACTCAAAAAGAAATATTCATCATGCGCTGATGAATTGGTTTGTTTTTGTTTTGTTGTCCATGTTCAGTTTTAAAAGCAACTAGAAAGGTCAGCTACCAAACAGAGCAGTCTGCATTCTACTGTAGGTCAGCTGTCGAATAGTGTTTCCTATTATATCCTGGTCCTGTGGTCTGTCTCAAGAAGCAAGGCTTCTTGTTTAGCTTGTCAACGTATGCTGCACGGCTAACCAGCTCTGGGGCAGGTTAAGTTCAGAATTACTGATGTTTTGGTTAAACCAGGGTGTACCCTCTGTCCTTTTCAGTTGTTTTCTTCTTTTTATTGCTGCAAGTCATCAGTGTTGTTTTAAAGTGTCCGCACAATTAACACTATAAAAGAACAAAAAACCCTTCGCAACGTTTGGGCCAAACAGCCATTCATGTGAAAAATAACTATTTTTGCCAGGGGAACAACAAAAAATCATACATAAATATAACTTATAACTTAATAAAATATAACTTATGTCAAGCTTGTAACAATAGAAGAACACTTTTTGGTGTCATTTTCAAGAAAGTTCTATATAGAACTCCTTCTCCATCAATCTCAAGAACCATATCGCCATGAAAAGAACCATTTAAGCATGAAATATGTCTATATAGAACCATTGCCTTTACTAAAGAACGCTTGAAGAACCATCTTTTTTAACTGTGTAGCTTAAGTATGTAAAGCTGAGTCAACAGAGAAAGTTGTTGACTACCGTTTGTTTTTAAGAAGCTGAAACCTGATCAGGACTTACTTAGATGTGCTTTGCGAAACAAGCTCCTGGAGCGCTCCTGAAAAGGACCTCCTGCTTTAACACACCCAGTTTACTCATGCAGGGCTCGCTAATTGGTGTTGAGTCACGAACACGGAAGCACACTAATATGTGCATCGCAGAGGTACTTGAGCACCAGGATTGGGAAACATTGGGAAACACTGGATTACAGAGATAGAATGTTAAGTAACTCAGCCACATCCCAATAGGTTTGTTTACTGCAACCTGGAGTTCTAAACTTACTGAACTGAAGTGGAATTTTTCCAGACGTTTGAGTTTTTACTTTTGCCTTCTTTTTAGCCTGTCACTCCAAACTTTGACCTGAAGGCTAAGGCAGTTCTTGAATCTGAGCCAGTTGATGCTGCTGTAGAGGAAGGAGCAACTTCAGACACACCTTCCACCACAGCTGAGATGATTCCCACCCTTACAGGGACCATAACACCGGAAACAGAACTGGTAGTTGTGGGTGATGTTGCAGAGTCAGATGTTGTCTGTTTGCCAGAAACTGAACCCACACTAGATACTCCCTTTGAAGATGCTGCCCCAGTTTCAGCAGATGTTGCCTCAGTAGCAGAAGTTGCCCCTGATCCTGATGATGCTCCAGATATTACCGCTTTACCTGAGGGCGAACCAGAAACTGATGCTTCTTGGTTGGAACTTGCCCCAGCTTTCACTTCATTTCCTGATGTCCCTCAAGAAGATGCCGCTGTGTCAGAGGTCTCTCCAACTGTGGATGGTACCCCAATAGAGGCTGTCCCGCCTGATTTTGCCCTAGAGGAGACCATTCCAGTAGAAGTTACCCCAAAAATAGAGACAGCCATAGGTGCTGAGGTTGCCTCAACTGTAGACACTTCCTCTATGAATGAGGTTACTTCAGAGATGACAGAAGATGTGCCAGTTGCAGAGGTTGTCCCACTGCTTGATGTTATCATGGAAAAAGATGCTACTGTGAATGAGGTTATGCCGACAGAGGATGCCTCAGCTGCCGAAGTTGCCCCACTGCCCGATGTTACCCAGGAAGACGTCGCCCCTACATGTGAAGTCGCACTAGCAGAGGATGCTCTAGTTGCACCTGATGGTGCCCCAGAAGAGGTTACACCAATAGAGATTGCTCCAGTTGCTGAAGTGTCCCCAGTCGCAAAAGGTGATGCACTTTCTGACCTTGTTCCAGAAGAGGCTGCCACTGTATCAGAAGTGGATGCTGCCTCAGAGCTTGATCTCGTTGTAGAAACTTCTCCAGTAGTTGAAGTCGCCTTTCTCCCTGATGTTACCCCAGAAGAGGCTCCTCCAGCCGAGGTTACCCTAGCAGTAGAAGTTGTCTCAGCAGAAGTTGCTCCGGATGTAGACACCACCTCTGGCATTGTGGAATTGGCAGCAGTTGATGAAACTTTGTCTGAATCTGTTAAACCGCTAGCTGACCCAACCCTGGAGGCAGAGGTCAATCCTCTACCCTCTCAGTTACAATCTGAACCTGAAGCTGCCCTTGAACCTACACCTGCTGCTGAAACTGTCCCCGATTTTGAGGTTGACACTGAAGCTGTTGCGGAAGCTGCTCTTCGGCCTCCAGATTTCGTCATTTGTGAGCTCGTCCCAACAGAGGAAGAAGTCACACCAATAATCCCTCTGTCAGATAAAGAGTCCACCCTTTCTGCATTGCCTGCAGAAGAGGACATTGCACTTTCTACTCCCCCAGCTGAACCCACTCCCTCACCCACTGCTTTTGAAGCAACCACACCCCTGCCTCCTGTGGTTGAAGAAACTGGTCCCCTGACTACTTCTGTTGAAGAAACTACACCTGGTCCTTCAACCACAGATGAGATCGCATCTATTCCTGATGTCATAGATGAGGCCCCACTGACTCTTGCTGCTGGGCTAGAAACCACATCCTCTTCACCTGCAGATGAGGCCGCACCACCTACACATGCTGAAGATGAGACCACACCTCTTCTATCTGCCACAGAGGACACCGCATTGCTTCCTCCTGCTGTAGATGAGGACATACCACCTCCAGCTGCTGTAGAGGAGACCAAACCCCCTGCTGAGGTAGAGGAGGTCCTTGCCTTAAAGTCACCCGCAATGAAAGGTGAGAACAGGTGACAGATGGTTAATATGATGTAATAAATATGAATGTGCATTTCACACAATTTGATAAGGTTATTGGACTCTTGTCACACAGGTAATTGGGGCATGTGATGACACAACAAATTTCGAATGCACTGAATGTCAGTATGTGTGGAGTGTGGTTATGTGGTCTGGACTGATTGACACTGGTCCTGCTATTTTCTCAGTGAGAGAAAACACTTTTAAAAACATTCTGCATGATTAAATTAAGCTGTAAACAAAGTAATTCAGAGTGGTTTGGTGCGAAACGCTCCGTTCTAGAGAAACTTACAGAGTCAGTATTGTTCACATTGGTGATGACAGGAATCAGACGTCTGAAGGGTTTAATGCCTCTAAAGCCTCTAAAATGCCTGGGACATTTATGATAGTTTTGAGAAGGTTTTGGTCTAGAATGTATTTTTTTATTCTTTCTTTAATTCATTTTTGGCCAAGAGGTAGACATTCTGACCCCTGGTTCCTTTTGCCACCACAGTAAAGAAATTTGTGCTGATATGTTTCTCTACAGTGAGTGTGTTTACATGCACTCAATAATCCGATCATAATCAGATTTCTGCAGTTATCTGATTATTCAAATGGTCTTGTAAACAGCACACTGATTTCTTAGATCGGAGTAAGGTCTAGAAATCAGATTAAGTGGAATTTCTGCTCAGTAATCAGATTTCTCAGTGCCTGTAAACTTTTACTCTGATTTCTTTCGGATTTCTCAGTCTGTGCAAAAACAGACCGCGGTACTGGAAATAAGTGAGCAGCGACCCCATAAGACGCAGCAAAGCACTTTTGGACCGACGCTAAAACCGACTACACGCTTGACGAAATGAAGGATTTAAATATCTTCATCTTCTAGATGATGCATGTTCATATTTTCAGGTAAAGTGGCGCAATATTTAATATTGTTCTACATGGAGTTCTACATTATGTTTATGTACGTCTTCTTCTGTGAGTTTACTGGCCGGTTGCAAAGAAGAAATCTGAGTATTGTCTGACTCATGTAGATTTGATTACTCAAGTGCATGTAAACATGTTGATCGGATTACTGACAAAATCTGATTTTCTGCAGTTATCGGATTATTTGGTGCATGTAAACGCACTCAATGAATCATTTCATATCAAACCACTCTGACTGTTTATTGCATCATTTAATTTATGCAGAAATACTGAAAAATGGGTGACCCCCCTCTTTAAAATAAAGCTTCATGACAGCAGAGCAGAATGTGTCTCTTTTGACAAAGTAAGAGTGCTACACAAGATCCTGATGAATAAAGCTGAAAGTATATGAGCCCTAATGTAATCTGCTCAAAAGGAACAGAACAGAGAGACAGACAACTGTGTCCTGCAGGGGCATCTTCAGCCACTGGGGGGGTTCCAAAGCTTATTAAACAAGACTGATTCGTTTTTCACAACTGAGTAAGACTAGATGAAATTGTGGGCCAAACGACAAAAAGACATTCATTTTACAATCCAAATAATAACTGCATGTTAGTGCATGAAGACAGACTCAGATTTGCATTAGTGAATAATGTTGTAAAAGAGTGGTTCTACAGCGCCACTGCTGGTTAATTAGCTGATTAACTCAATCAGGGTGGGAAAAACACAAAGACCCCATTTACACCTGGTCACTTCATGTATCTTGAGTATCAGGGTTATATCTGGAAGAGGCCACATAAAAATACAGGTGTAAAAGCATCAAAGATACAAAACCGATCACTCAAACCACTTCAGGAGGTGGACTGAGCCACATTTGAGCCACATGTTATACCACGTTATGTTATTAACACATTGGTGTCTCCAAGACACATTCAACAACCAAAACCCTCCCAGTACAATTGAAACTCCTTCCAGTGCAACCAAAACACCTCCGAGTGTAACCGAAACCCCTCCCAGTACAACCGAAACACCTCCTAGTACAACTGAAACCCCTCCCAGTGCAACCAAAACACCTCCGAGTGTAACCGAAACCCCTCCCAGTACAACCGAAATCCCTCCGAGTACAACCGAAACACCTCACAGTACAACTGAAACCCCTCCCAGTGCAACCAAAACACCTCCCAGTGCAATTAAAACTCCTCCCAGCTCAACTAAATCCGCTCCCACTACAACCAAAACTCCTCCCAGTACAAAAAAAACACCTTCCAGTACAACTGAAACCCCTTCCAGTGCAATCAAAACATCTCCCAGTACAACTGAAACCCTTCCAGTACAACTGAAACCCCTTCCACTGCAACCAAAACACCTCCCAGTACAACCAAAACTCCTCCTAGCTCAACTAAATCCGCTCCCACTACAACCAAAACTCCTCCCAGTACAACCGAAACCCCTCCCAGTACAACTAAAACTGCTCCCACTACAACCAAAACTCCTCCCCATGCAGTGTGTCACAGAGCGCGTGATCCACGTCTGCGAGGAAGATAATATGGAGGAAGCTCATGATTCAGAACTAAACGAAACAAAATGCTTAACAGTGATACGGACAGACACTACTGTGCAAAACAAACTGCAGACAAAGAGGCGGAACTGATAAACAATTGGTAATTGGCTCCTGCGTATTTGCATACGGATTTGCATATTCCCTCCCACACAGCAATCGGATTTCAGTCTGACTAAATGGAGACACATGACTACCAAATGTAAACATGTGTGGTTAAAATCTTACCAGGATACAATCCAGATTCTGGTCACATGAACTAAGCAGGTGTAAATGGGCAAAGCAGGACCATGATTGAGAACCACCGCCCCCAGTCTCAGCAATTTTAGGAAGGTTTTTGATGAAACAAATGGCTCTTCATTCTGATATCATGTCTCTGTGTGTTTACTCACGACTCTTATTCCATGTGTTTTTTTCTGGTTGTGGTTGATTTTTGTAGAGAAACCTCGGTTTGTTCCTGACCCATCCTTAGTGGACCATGGGCAGGCTCATCCTGACGATGCTGACATGTACAGCACCCGCGGATAAATGGAAAAAATGAACAGCCAAACAACTGGAATGAATGGAAAGGAAGGAAGAAAGGATGAAGGGGTGGATGGAAGGAAAGAACAACGTTCAGAAGAACAGGGGTTTATTCTGATAGTTTAATATGCACCATGAGGGTAGAGTGACAGGAAAAGGGTGTATTTTTAGTGTAGACTTTATTAACACCAGTGTCTGAGGAAAGTCTCTCTCTCTCTCTCTCGCTCTCTCTTCCTCTCTCTGTCTCTCTCACACTTGTATCCGTAGCTATTCTCTTATACCTCGTCTATTCCAGTGTTACACTACAGGGTCAACTGTTTACACACACATACGCACAACACAGACCAACTTAAAGGGCCCAAATCATGGAAAACTGAATTTTCCTCGTTTTTTTTAAATTAATGAGTTTTGTAAACATTGTTAAAGTTTCAAAATGTACCATTCACTCCTAAAGCCATGCAGTGTATATGAGGAAACTAAGCTGCAATAACAGCCTGTCTTGATTGCCCTGTTCTCGTCATGTCACGAAAGAACAATGCATATATACATGTCTTTGGCCTATAGCAGTTTAGTTTCATTCTAAAGGATTAATAGTGGTTTGAAAATGATCAAGTCAAAATGAATTTTGACTGTTTTTGGTACAAAAACCACAAATTTGTAACAAATGAATCTCAGAAAAAATAAAATACAAGTAAAATGTCAAATATGGGCCCTTTAAAATCATACACATAGGAAAACACTTCTGTTGATGGTAGATAGCTAGAATACCTCTTTGTCTTTGAGACAAATACTTTAGAAGGTTCCCTTCAAACAAATCTGAACTCTTCTAAAATCTCTATGTAGCATCTTCAGATTTGCCTCTCTGACCTCATTTCCTGATGCAACTGGAAATCTGCTCAGTGCTGTTTTATACTGTGAAAACATTCTATACACTGAAGTCATAAAGAATTGCTCACATACTTCACAGTCATTTACTGATGTTTATTGTTTCTGATGTGCTTATTCTGTCTGTTCACTTAAAGGAGGGAAATCACAAATGACAGACAAGAAAATGCAAAATGCTACACAATAAAGTGAAATTCAGGCTGGATTTAAAACCCTTTGAGATCTTGTTGGGAAATGTGCAGAGAAAGAATCTCAAAGGGTTTTAAAATGAGAGGCATGTTGCATGTTGTGGTTTTAAAGCTGCACTGTGTGAGTTTTGGGGATTTGGAGACCTCTCTGGTGAAAATGTGGAATTGCACGCAACATGGAGATCATTTTGTAATGGGGGTTGTGCTTCAGCCTCTTCATCCAGGTGGATGAACCTGACGTTTCTATGATGTTAACATGTAAAGCAAGGTTCCTCAAATCCGGTCTAGATGTAAAGATGTATGACATGGTCCAAAAAACTCTTGGCCCGGCGCCTCTGAATGTTAAATGATTATTTCTGGCTTTAAAGGCCGACTCGCAGCAGCGCGCACACCATGTTCTAGCCTGTTTTTACTGTCCTCACTCAGTAGCGCTAACCCTGAATCCTACACAGAGCAGCTCTAAGTGAACAGATATGATAAACACAAACATCAGAATATTTGCCATGTCAGCAATTCTTTTTGACTGCCAGCATATTTAAAGCTGGACAACAACCCTCGCCATTTGTTACACGATGTGAAAGTTATTATTTACACATTTTTCTTTTTCTAAATGAATGCTGAGCCATTTTACTGAGGTCGGGATCAAAGCACCACATCTACCCCTCTCTCAGCCTCACTGTCTGCCTTTGTGCCAAACATTTAAACTATCTATGCATTTCCAGCCTCGTGCTCAAGTAAACAGAGGTCTGGGTTTTTATTATTACTACTGTGCTCTATTGAAAATGGGAATCAACACAATTTTCACATAAATATTAGTCAGTATTGTACAAAAGTAGTGTTTTCTGCCATACTTGCACATTGGGTGGCTGTAGTGAACTAACAAGCCTTCATATAATATCTGCTACAGTGTTCTCCAGTCGCCTGGAGGCTGCTTTTGAGTGCAGTCTTTAAGCTGTACAACAGATTTTTACACCACTTAGGTTAAATGATTTTGACATTATTAGAAACACCATAAAGAACCCAGTTTAAATAGTCCAGTAACAGATTATAAAGCTTTCAGTATTTCATAAAGACATAAATATATAGTTATCATGCAAACAGATGATCTTTACGTGTCTCAAATCTGTGATTTTCATCTTTCGTCTTCATTTCAGATTGACTTCTTGGTTAAAGATGTTTCTTTAAGATCAAACTACAGCTTTCAGAGTTATATTTCACATTTCACCTGTTTTTCAGTCTGTGTGATACTGAGTGATGTTCTGAGACAATTAGTATCAAAATGTGCATAAAATGAATATTTAAGTTGAACTCCAACATGGCTGAGAAAGAAGTGAACATTTACACAGGGCTGGGCAATATGACAATATATCAGTATCGTGATAAATTGTCACAATATTCTTTTCTGAACATATCATAGATATCAGTACTTGAACACTGAATGACTATGTTTCATTATACAGAGAGCAAAATTAGTCTCGTTTAACTGGATTTAGTGCCAAATATTTAATAAAAATAATTTCGTTCACATTTTTTGATACTATTTTTTTCTTTTTTCTCAGATGCAGCTGATCAGATGTCTGAAAAAATAAATATCGTGACATATCGTTTATCATGAAAAGTACCTTAAGTATCGTGATATTTTTGCTATATCGCCCACCTTTAGATTTCCATTTTCTTTAGTACATCATACCAAAGATTTAAGCAATTTAGCCCATATTTCATATTAAAGTTTTGTACTATTTTGTGAAACAGAGTGAAACTGAAATATATGAAATTTGTCAGTTCCTGACTGTATTAAGACTAGAAAGCCTGATTATTCCAGTGTGCAGTAGAACTAACAGCTCTGATTTGGAATAAAGGGATTATTAAATCATTTTTGTCCAGTCAATTCTTGAGCAACATGTAAAATGTATTGTAATTTTTGAGTTGAGGAACATCTTAAAGTAACAACTGACTTTCAAGTTCATAATCCACAGGTTGTGTTCTGGGCAGAGAATGGAACTGTCCATTTTAATATATATTACACTTTTCCCTCTATTTCTTAAAGCAAACAAAGCTTTCAGAAATCATATTTAGAAGAATTACAATTTTACAAAAGTTAAACTAAAAGCCTGAGCGAACACTGAAAGCATGTTTTTGCTGCATTCCTGGTCACTGAAAAGCTGTAAACATGATCATTTTAGAAGCTTCCACAGTTGGTCATTCGCTCTTGAAGTTGCCAAATGAGACCAACTTGGTAAACAAGCAGATTCAGGAGCTCCGGCTTGTCTGGAATGAAAACCTGCAGCCACACCAGCTCTTTGAGGATAAGACTGAACACCCCTGCTTGAAACAACACCATAGGACAGGGGAACCCAACCCTGGTTCAGGAGATCTACCACTCTGTAGTTCCATCACTAGTCCAACACACCTGATCCAGGTAACAAAGGCCTTCAGAGGTGTCGGAATATTGGAGCCACAGGTGTTGGATCAGAACAGAGTAGTAGATCTCCAGGATCTGGGTTGAGGAACCCCATCTGCTCCCTTTGAATGATTATCTAATAAAGCGTAATAAACATTAAGGGTTTTTTAGAACCCTATGTGCAAGGTGAGAACCGCTGAGGAACCTTTTTTAAGAGTGCTGCAGTAGAAATCGTTTTTGCTACAGTAACATTCTCTGCTTTTCCAGCTGAGTTTTTTTTGAAAGTGTGTATTTGTGAATCGTTACGCCACTTCATAGAATATCAAGTTGTAGGAAGAACTGCCGAACAGTTGTTTATTATTATTAAATCTGTATATCGACCTACACGACTGTCTCACGATGTTATACGGTCAGTTTCCGAGTTAGAGAAATTAAAGGTTCTATACACATTTTAAACTTTACAGGGGAACTCCACTGATTATGCAAAATTGCTTGATCATTCAGTGGTTTAGATTTAAACAAAACCATTCAGAGTGGTTCGGTGTGAAATGCGCCATTCTAGAGAAATTTATGGAGAATTGTTCACCAGACATCCAAAGAATTTAATGGCTCTAAAAGCTACATCCCATTATTACACAAAATGGTTATGAAAGCGCTGCTTGATACCTGAGACGTTGTTTTATGATAGTTTTGTTATAAAGTTTTGGCCTAAAACAATTTTAGTATAAACTATTACGCCAGGATTAGTTCTGTGTTTCCTCTCAAAACCACATCTCAACTGCGCGCAAGCTAAAATGCTTTTGAAGTCACTGGCCCGTAGCTACAGTCGTTCAACACGGCTAATGCTGGTGCTATATCCGATTCAGTTCCCCCTCGAATTCACATTCCCTTTGACAAATCAGGTCCTCAGGCACTGCATTCACAGATAACAATGCCAAGCATCACTGGAACTACGGAAAGCGAAAGGTTCAAAAAAGGTTTGTATGGCAGCTGTTTTCACCCAGGGTGAATGGAAATCGACAGTGTCAACAACAAACTACTTGCTATTCTGCTCACCAGGTTATGGGGCAGGACAGTGAGTGAATAACGTTACTCACATAAGCTCTGAGTCTTCCTGACACCGTGTGACCCAATGCCGCCAACCCAAACAACACAAAAGGCCTGCAGCATTAAGTGACTCTTATTAGTCCCACAATGGGGACATTTCACTTCCGCATTATAACCCATCTGTGCAGTGAAACACCACATACACACTAGTGAAACACACACACTAGATAGCAGTGAGCACACCTATCCGCAGCACGCGGGGAGCAGTTGGGGGTTAGGCGCCTTGCTCAAGGCAGTTATGTACTGTCGGCTCAGGGGATTGAACTGGCGACCTTCCGGTCACAAGTCTGGTTCCATAACCCCTAGCCCATGACTGCCCCCAGAGTGGACTGAAAGGTACAGGGTGTTGTAAGGAAAAAATAGTACTCAAAAACCAAATTTTTCCGTGTTTAACACTATTTAACCAATATCAGCATGACGTATAAAAACTTATAAGACACATATAAGTTCACTAGTCATTCTGGATAGCAGATAAAATGGTGATATTTATAGTGTAGACATAATGATGTCCGGTTCCTAGAACTACAATAGTGAACAATTTTGACTCTCTAGAAAGGGGCATTTCACACCAAACCACTTTGAATGATTGTGTTTACATCTAAACAGTTGAATGAATTTTGCAAAACCGGTGGAGTTCCCCTTTAATATAGCAGCAAACAACTGTTTTCTATGTAAAGATATAGTGGAGTAACAGCCTGATAAGCAGAGAATGAAGTTTATGCTGCAATCTGAGCTTTTATGTTTTTTGTTTTCATAGCCTGGACGGCTAATGTAGCTAAAAATTAATGGAAGCCTATAGTCACCAAGTTAGCACTAAGTAAACCACATGCCTAAATCATCACACGCTCGTCTCAAAATGTGTGGGGATGTTAATTAATCTCATACATACCTGCTTATGTGGTTTCTGACACTGTATGACCATGTAATTCATAAACTTGGACAAAATTCAGTCTCTAACATGTTTTAGATATGAGACGACATTTTGTCCATTTTTTTAGATAACAGTATGTTTACACTGAAACACAGAATCATTGTATAAGTGACTTTTTTCCATGAGAAGAAAGAAACCAGTAACAAATATAGCCACAAGCGGCAATGAGCAGGTTTAAGCATGCAACAGCAGTATGGGCCCTTCTGCAGGTTTAGCCCATTAGGCCTAAAAAGGCCTCAAGCTTTTCGTTTAGCCCATTAGGCTTAAAAAGGCCTCAAGCTTTTCGTTTAGCCATTAGGCCTAAAAAGGCCTCAAGCTTTTGGTTTAGCCCATTAGGCCTAAAATGGCCTCAAGCTTCTCGTTTAGTCCATTAGGCCTAAAAAGGCCTCAAGCTTTTCGTTTAGCCATTAGGCCTAAAAAGGCCTCAAGCTTTTGGTTTAGCCCATTAGGCCTAAAAAGGCCTCAAGCTTTTGGTTTAGCCCATTAGGCCTAAAAAGTCCTCAAGCTGTGGGTCTTATTCATAGGTAGAGTGAATAGAACTGCAAGGAAGTCAGTTCATCAAAAGGCCTTCAGTTGGCCGTAATGTAGGCCATAATGAGGCCCAATGCACTCATAAGACGCCCTATTGGTGTGAGGAGCTCAGTGAAAGCGGGTCAGAATTAGTGAAAAGGCCACAATATGGTTTCATTCTTGATCAGGGACCATATCCAAAGAGGTTCACCAAGTTTTGGTCAGAATGACCTTTTGACCTTTGTATAATAAGACTTTGTATAGTGAAATCTTTGAATGAATAAGCGAAAAGACAAGCAGTGCAATTTTTGACATAACATGTAATTAAAAAGTAGTTCATGAGAGTGAACTGAGTCACATGGCACTACTTGTTTATTTGTCGACCTTGTAATAACATTGTAATAGCATTTTAGTTGATTTTTACGTTTTTTTGAGTGCTGAAGCGCCCCCTAAAGGCCAATCTGGACCAAAATTGGGCAAGACCATTAGAGTCCTAATTTGTAAAATTATTGCAAGTTTGGACAGGATCTGACCAATGACTGTTGAGTTATGGCAAATCAAGCTAGCAATGCCATGGTTGCAGGAGTTAACTGATTGATTCTCAATACAATCAGTGGAACAGTCAAAATGTTTTTGATAATTATTGAGGATCAGTGTCTTCTGAACCTTACAATACTAATTTGATAATAATTGGCAAAAAATCCAGAGACTAGTTTGCAAGAATAGGTTTTTCACATTATGCAAATTAGCTCAAAAACTAAGGGGGTGGGGCTAAAAGTGAGTCGAGTGCACTTCTTCAGCAAGTCCCAAGGAATCAGCAGAAAAAAGAATTTTGTCTCCATCTCACTCTGATCAAAAGTTACAGGCAAAAATATGGGTAAAGTTGAAAAAGATGAAAAATAGAAACATAGGACTAAAGTAAAGTATGAGCTCAGTGAAAGTGGGTCAGAATTAGTGAAAAGGCCACAATATGGCATGATTCTTGATCAGGGACCATATCCAAAGATGTTTACCAAGTTTTGGTCAGATTGACCTTTTGACCTTTGTATAATAAGCCTTCGTATAATGTAGTCTTCGAATGAATAAGCCAAAATACCAGACAAACAGTACAATTTATGACAGAATATGTACTTAGAAAGTTGTTCATGTGAGTGAACTGAGTCGTATGGCACCATTTGTTTATATGTCGACCTTGAAATAACATTGTAATAGCATTTTAATTGATTTTTAAATGTTTTTTAGTGCTAAAGCGCCCCCTAAAGGCCAATCTGGACCAAAATTGGCATACACCATTATAGTCCAAATATGTAAAAGCCCTTAAAGTTTGGACATGATCTGACCAATGACTGTTGAGTAATAGCTAATCAAGCTAACAATGCCATGGTCACTGTAATTAATTGATTGATCCACACGACCCTGAGTAGAAAAGTCAATATGTTTTTGCTAATTATTTACCTACACATGCCAAAGAACTTTTCAAAACCAAGTTTGAAAAGATTGGATCAAAATCCAGGGACTAGTTCGAAAAGTAGGCTTTTTAAACGGTCACCGATTACAAAAAACTATGCAGTTTTGTAATATGCATTTGCAAAATTGTTTGGAATAACATCCTACATATGATACACAAGGACTTTCAAGCAAAGTTGTAATAAAATAGTAATAATATGTAATAATATGTTAATTTTTTATGAATAGTGCCCCCCAGTGGTCAAATCTTTTGAAACTTGGTTGGTTGTTAGAAAGTGGCTATATGTAGAGATCATTCAAGTTTCATGATGATTGGTGAATGTTAAGCCTGTCAAATGCCTGCCAAATTCTGATTGGCCGATGGCGACCATATACTTCAATGAATCAAATTGTCCTTATAGATTCACTTCCAACTTTGCAGATGGTATCTGCAAAGTTTCAGCTTGATGGGATGTGCTGAGAAACAGCCATATAGCATTAACTCCGCCCCCTAACAACATATACGCACAAAAATCGAATGGCTACCTCAGAATCTTCTCCCAAATGTGTTTGTCAAGTTTGAAATTTTTTGGCTGAAGGGTTGTCGACTTACAGAATTTTAAATTAATTCTGAATTATTTTGAATTTATCCAGAAGGGTTCATTTGCATATGGCAGCCATGTTGTTTAGAAAAGTCAACATACATACATACATACATCATCTAAACCGCTTATCCTTCTGGGTTGCGGTGGGGTGCTGGAGCCTATCCCAGCTGTCATTGGGCAGAAGGCAGGATACACCCTGGACAGGTCGCCAGTCCATCGCAGGGCAGACAGACAGACATACACATTCACACACACAATCACACCTAGGGGCAATTCAGCACATCCAATCGGCCTGACTGCATGTCTTTGGTCTGTGGGAGGAAACCGGAGTACCCGGAGGAAACCCACGCAGACACGGGGAGAACATGCAAACTCCACACAGAAATGACCCTGGTCGCCCGGCCGGGAATCGAACCCAGGCCATTCCTGCTGTGAGGCGACAGCGCCACCCACTGCGCCACCGTGCCGCCTCAGAAAAGGCAACATGTTTTTGATAATTATTGAGGTTCATGCTCTTCTGAATTTTTTGACACCATATACATGGGGATTGGGCAGAAACTGTAGGACTAGTTTGCAAAAGTATGTTTTGCATATTATGCAAATTAGCTCAAAATCTAAGTAGGCGGAGCTAAATGGTCCCAATGACAAAGTTGTTTAGTTGGACCCATAGAACCAGGAAAAAAGTATGTCTTGTCTAGGAAAAATCTGATTTAGGAGTTATAGGCCAAAACGCGTTGACCTGCGCTATAGCGCCCCCTTGTGGCCAACTGGGCTGATTCCTTGCGCCTCAGTAGCGGGAGGGACTACTACTTATTGACCAAGTTTCAAGTCGACTTACAGGACTTACAGTTTGGGCTGTGCGTTCCGTTTCAGGGCGGAAAAATAATAAGAAAAACTTTGACAATTCCAATAGGGTTCAATGCATTGCATGCTTGAACCCTAATTATGTGTTAACAACAACAACAACTCTACAACTACTCATTAGACAAAGAAGTAGTAAAATAATTTATTCCCCCAGAATGACCAAAATAGCATATTTAACCATAGGCAGTATATTATATATTGCATATAATAATAACAGTGAGCTTTGAAAGAAATAAATGTTTTCAGGAAAAGAAAAATAGGTACCATTTTAAAATAATACTACCTTCATAAAGCATTTAATGGTTTAAAATCAGCTTGTTAAAGTTATTAGTTAGGTCATAAACACTTATAAACACAGTAATGAAAGGGCAAAATTGAGCTGTTATTTCTGATGAATATGAATATGTGATGAAGCTGATGAGTTTAATGCTGACTTCAAAATCTGAGGTTTAACAGTATAAATTAATGGGGGTTCACTATCAGACAAACAGCAGCCCTTTTTATTTATGTATTGTAAGTGCTTATTAATGAATTCTACATCTTTATTACCTAATTAATAACCATGAATAAACCCATTTAAACCGTTTTTGTCTTATTTCAAAGTGGCAGCGAAAAATATATTTATTGAATGTCCCTGTGTGTGTAAGCACTACACAGGAGTGACGTCCGCCGTCCTGTAGATTTTAGAGCAGATGATTTCGACCCTTTTCTGACCCAACAGACACACATCCAACACGCACACCAGCCTCTCCTCTTCTAAAGCTGGGGCTGAGCTCAGTAAGGCATCTGTGAGAAGAGAGAGAGAGAGAGAGAGAGAGAGAGAGAGAGAGAGAGAGAGAGAGAGAGAGAGAGAGAGAGAGGATTTAGAAAACTTCCAAAATAATCAGATTTTTTCCAAAAAAAATCACAATTCAAAATCTCTCCTGATGCAGAAAGCATCGCCTACATGCCCCGCTCACCTCCTGATGTTTTTGCCTGCATAAACTTAAACATGACATCATGACAGGGTCAGCAGAGGAACCAAGTCTCAATATGGGAACCCATCCTCAGTTACAGACTGTAGTCTCTGCATACTTTGTCGCCCTGTTCATCAATGGTCAGGACCCCCACAAAGCAGGTACTATTTGGGTGGTGGGTCATTCTCAGCACTGCAGTGATGCTGACGTGGTGTGTTATGCTGGTGCGAGTGGATCAGACACAGCAGTGCTGCTGGAGTTTTTAAACACCTCAGTGTCACTGCTGGACTGAGAACCAAAAACATCCAGCCAACAGCGTCCTGTGGGCAGCGCCCTGTGACCACTGATGAAGGACTAGAGGATGACCAACACAAACTGTGCAGCAGCAGATGAGCTATCGTCTCTGACTTTACATCTACAAGGTGGACTGACAAGGTAGGAGTGTCTAATAGAGTGGACAGTGAGTGGACACAGTGTTTAAAAACTCCAGCAGCACTGTTGTGTCTGATCCACTCGCACCAGCGCAACACACACTAACACACCACCACCATGTGTCACTGCAGTGCTGAGAATAACCCACCACCCAAATAGTACCTGCTCTGTGGGGGTCCATGGGGGTCCTGACCACTGAAGAACAGGGTAATAAAGTATGCAGTAAAACAGATGGACTACAATCTGTAACTGTAGAACTACAAAGTGAAACTATACGGTCAGTGGAGCTGATAAGATGGACAATGAGTGTAGAAACAGGAAGGATGGGTTCCCCTTCTGACACTTGGTTCCTCTCAGGCTTTCTTCCTTTTGCTCTTAGGATGTTTTTCTTGCTCATTTGGGGCTTCATACAGATACAGATACAGATAAACAGACAAAACCTCAACACACACACACAGACACACACACACACATACCTGCTGAAAGGTGTGTGCCATTGGCCTGCACACACATGTGACCTGAGGAAAGACATGACATCAGCGTATTGTCATGGACACGGGTGGGCATTCCCACACCTCGAGGATCTTCAGGGGAAAACACAGGAATGAAGACAGCGTCCACTGCAGCCTGCTGATTCAGCCCTGAGAGAGAGAGAGAGAGATACAGATATATATAAAGAGAGATACACACTAGAGGTCAGCGGATTCCCGCTGGCCCCTTAGGACCCGCCACCGTATCTTGCATGCGGGAGTGGGTGGGTAACCAGCCCACTGCAGCCAATTTGAAGACAAATCCCGCAAATTAATGAGCAGCCTAAATAAAGTAGAAGGATCACTAAATCATATATATAACAATGTAAAATGATAACAGTAAAACAGTTAAAATGAATGAAGTCATTGTAAAGAGATCACATGAACAACACGCAAATCCTTGCAAGCTTACAGAGACGGGGTTTAATTTCTGCTTTGTGTTTACTGGGAATAAATGGCGTTTGGTGAAGTTACTCACAGTGAGCCTGATGACCACGACTGCTGTGTTAATTCAGCAGAGAATCATGTATTTGTGAATAGACTGTCAGATATTGGAGTCAGTTCGCCTTGATGGAGCAGCTCTGTCCTAAGCTGGGCCTACACTCTACGATTTTTTGCCCGATTTTAACCCTGATTTGCCCCCTGCGACAATTTTTTTACAAAGTGATTCTCCAGCTCGACTGGAAGCAACTGACAGCGCGAGAGGAGGAACGAGTGAATCTTTTGCCCCTCGATTGAACTCTGAGGTGATCAGAGACCCTCAGATATTATCAGACATGTTTGATATACGAGCTGCACACATCAGTTCCCTCCCCAGGCTAATTCTCTAAAGAGGAGTCTGTCAGGCTGCCGGCCCACTGATGTTCTGTGCGAATCCTGCGATGGACTGGCGACCTGTCCAGGGTGTATCCTGCCTTCCGCCCAATGACAGCTGGGATAGGCTCCAGCACCCCACTGCGACCCAGAAGGATAAGCGGTTTAGATGATGTATGTATGTATGTATGTATGTTTGATATATTTACGACTCAAACCGTTCACGAGTCCTGCAGTGAGAGAAGGTCAGAGATTTACTCAGTGAGTGATTCACTCAGCCAATCAGAGCTTGAAGAGCGGAGAAACAGGAGGCGAGACGTGCCTGAGCAGCGGAGCGGAGACAGAGGAGCTACGAGTAAAACACGGCAGATTAGAGCCGAAATCATGATTATAATGTTGATCCAAATCAGGTCGCTGTCTTTACAGCTTCAGCTCAGCTGCCAGTTTGTAGTGGAATATTTCTCCAGCTCTCACTGTATCAGAGCTTCTCACCACAATACTAATCCCCAGTTTGCGCTTTCGCTGCGCATTAGAGCATAAACAGGTCCAGTAAGTTCAGCTCTGTTTGTGTCATGTGATCTGAGGAATTCTGGGAGTTTGAGTTCTTATTCATAGCCCAAACTCGTGTGTGTTATTTTCTCTCTTTGCTCTGTCGTCTAGTCTGAGCGCATGTGACAGACTGACGTTCAGTGTGTGATGATCTCCGTTTTAAACATCTGTGAGGACTTTAAAAGTCGTGTACTGATGTCCAGCCTTACCCAGCACTGTGAGTGTGAGGTATCCCGCACAGTCTACAGGAGTGTGTGTCTCTGAGGTTGTGCTTAGTGGAACATCTGGAGTCCATCTTGAAGGGCTGAGGTTGATCCTATGAAGAAGCACATCTCGGTCATCAAAGCGGAACCTTTCTGGAATGCTCTCCGGATCCAGAGGGCCGCAGCTTACGTGACTCGTCACATCCTGTTTCAGTAACGGCCACACGCTGCTTACCCATGACGCACTGGGGTGAACAATGGCTTGTTGCGAGTCAGGAACGCTCCCTGTCTCACTGATGTCTGGCAGCAAAACAGCAGAAAGAAAAGGTGAAATGTGAGGCAGCCTTTAAAACCTGAAACATCCTTACAAAAATCTAGAGATTTTTCAAAATTCCTTTATAATTAAATTGTTAAGATGTAAACAGAGTCATTCAGAGTGGTTTGGTGTGAAACGCTCTGTTCTAGAGAAACTTACCGAGTCAGAATTGTTCACAGTGATGGTGACAGAAACCAGACGTCCACCTCTAAAAGCTCCCTCACACGAAGACTAATACATACAATGGTTATGAATATGCTGTCTGATGTCTGAGATATTGTTTTACGATAGTTTTCAGAAGGTTTTGGCAAAAAATATGAAAAATACGGAAAAAAAGTATTTTTTAATTTCCATTCATGGTGGAGGGATACATGCAGGGCGCTGTGAGACAAAATAGTCCCCAAAGAAAACTTATTATTTCAGATTTATCGCTATTTTCCATCAACAACATTCCATATAAACTTGTGTAGAAGACTCGTGTAGGTTCACTGGTGGTTTTGGATAGTAAATAAAATGTCACTAAAATCACTAAATTATCACCACTTGATTTCAGCTACATCACAAAATGCACATTCTGACACCCGCCGTGTCTAAAGACTGCATTACGTCAGCTGATAGTGTGGCTCTAAGGTGCAGTACCTGTTGTCTGTGGTGACTGTGCTGTCCGTGTCGTTTGGTTTGAACCTCCTTCTTCACTCTCCTCTTCCACAGATGGCCTCTCCTCCTCCTCCTCCTCCTCCTCCAGCCTCATCTGTCTGAGAAAAACCACAGATAAAGTTGTTGTTATTATTATCTTGTTAGGTTTTAAATTCCCCATTTATGATTATTAGTATTTATTCTGTTCCACAGCATTTTACTGGCATAAACACACTGCTGAGATGAGTTTTCAGTTTGCAGAGTTCTGTATAACTAACTTACAGACATGAACTCATGATCAAAACAATTCCCGGGTCTCACCATGTAAATAGAGTAAAAATAGGGCCTCTGAAACACTGTTCCTTTTAAATATGATGAAAATATTTAATATTACATAACAGTAGAAGTAGAATGGTAGAGGAAAATGGGGGTAACATCCCTCTTAAGAACAATTCTCATTTACGGTACGGCTAAACTATATCTGTGCATGAGTTTAGGATCTACAGGATGATGTATAAACCTACACTTTGGGGAAATAAGGAAGCCCCCTATCTGGGGTAAGAGACCCTCCTGGTTAATCTTGCATCAATTTGTCCTTTAGGATTTACAGAATGTAATATTTTCATGTCACATAATGTCTAGTAAAATATGTGTGAAATCAGGATTACTTACACAGTGTCCTCACCAGTGTAATAAATTACCTTTCTGACTGCACCTTCGCTCTGGTCCAGTACTGCCTCTGCAGTGCCCTGTTTAAAAAAACAACCAGAAAGACATTATAAGGCCTTCTGCTGCTGATACTACCATCTCACGGCATTTCCTAATGCAATAATGCGACTGTCATTTGTTTGTCAAATTGCCCTTTGCAGCTCTAACAGCTTCCACTCTTCTGGGAAGCTTTCTACAGATTTTGTGTGTGTCTGTGGGAATTTGTGTCCATTCATCCAGAAGAGCGTTTGTGAGGTCAGACACTGATGCTGGACGAGAGGGTCTGGCTCACAATCTCTGTTCTAGTTCATCCCAAAGGTGTTTGATGGAGTTGAGGTCAGGACTCTGTGAGGGCCAGTCAAGCTCTTCCACACCAAACTCACCCAGTCAGGCCTTTATGGAGCTGCTTTGTGCACTGGGGCTCAGTCATGCTGAAACAGAAAATGTTCTTCCCCAAACTGTTCCACAAAGTTGGAAGCGTATAATTGTTCAAAATGTCTTGGTGCTGAAGCATTAAGATTTCCCTTTGATCCCGTTTGAGAAATGATGTTTGAACCACAGATGAACAGTCAGATCCCTATGGGTTCAAACAAATATTTTAAAGGGGACTTATTACGCTTTTCTGGCTTTTCCCTTTCCTTTGCTGTGTTATATAACTTTTTGCGCATGTGAATGTTTTGCAAAGCACATGCCAGAGGGAGAAACTCATAACACAGTCCTTACTGCCCGCCTACTGGGGAGCTCAGCACACCCTCACACAGAGCACAGCAGCTACTGGAGGAGGAAGAGTGTGTTCAGTGTTGTGTGCGTGTGGAGAAGACGCTGACCGGACTTTCAGGATCCACTCTGGATCGAACTGATACGGCAGAACCGAAGCCACTGGAGAAACAGCCACAGTGGAGTTTACAGCTGTTCAGGAGAGAAGGGTCTGTCTGCAGACCGCAGGACAGGGGAGGAACCTGGAGGGGCGGAACTGCTCTGGAGGCTGACCGATCAGAACAGAGTGGGCGAGCTGACCAATCAGAGCACGTTGGGCTCATCAGGAGGCGGGGCTTAAAGACGCAGGAGCTCTAACAGAGCGTTTCAGACAGAGGGTGAATAGAGACGAACAGTATGAGGAAAATAATGTGTTTTTGGAACACTAAAGCTGTAAATCTGTTCTAGAAGAGCCCAAAAATAAAATTGTGAACACTGATAATGAGCATAAGAGGTCTCTTTTAAGCTCTAATGTACTCCTCCCAACCCCTCTTATTTTTGCCTTCGGGATTTCCTTCAGGATCAATAAAGTCAGTTCAGCCATCTATCTCTCTCTCTCTCTATCTATCGCTCTATCCATCTATCTCTCTATCACTAGTACTAATATTAATAATAATAATGCTACACACAGATCAAACAAAGACATCACAGTTTAGTGAAATGTATTTATAATTAAGATTATATTCTAAACTAGATGCTAAAGAAAAGATGCTAATATAGCTTATGTTGAAAGGATACTGGTGACCACAGCGCTGCTCTTCAGACCAGAAATTCTGCTCTTCAGCTGATTCTCAAGTCTTTACTCATTTAAATCAGGTGTGTAAATTGTGCATGGAGTGGTTCCAGTCCTGTGATTAATTAATTCAAACTCACTTCGTTCCCTGTTCAATCCTCCTGCGTTTGGGAGAAGACGTGCTGTCACTAGGGGGCGCTGCTGAGGGCATCTCGCTCTGCTCCATGCTGCCTGTACTAGACGGTGGAGCAGATCCTCCAGACACAGCCGCTGATCCACTTTCCAACTGTTCAAAACAACAACAACAAAAACACTTTACACATCTTTTTTCATTCAAACGCTTATTAGGAAAGACACAGTGTTACTTTTCCACACATTTAAGTAATTAAATTCTGAGAATGTAGCTTTTCTTTCACACTACGAGTGTAAATCTCTGGCTTCAAAACAACTGAATTCGATTATGATTCTTTTTTAAATTAGTCATTCACCAAAATACAATCTATTTCAATACAATTTTGAATTTTTTTAATTACAAAAATGTGACTAGAGAAACTATTCTCTCTCTCTCTCTCTCTCTCTCTCTCTCTCTCTCTCTCTCTCTCTCTCTCTATATATATATATATATATATATATATATATATATATATATATATATATAAAATTTAATTTCTCTAAATATATATTTACACAGCAGTAAAATAGATAAAATAAAAACAATACTCTAAAGTTTTTACCTTTGAAAATAGCATGAGAATAGAAAATAGAACAGAAGGTGCCAACATAGTTAACAATGGATGGAAAACAGATAAAACAGTTAGCATAGTTTTGTCATCATAAGCTACAAAGAGTGTAAAAATAGTTCATGAGGCATCGATCTGAAGGTGGCAGTTCCACTGCATTAATTCTGAAATAAATCATAGTATTAAAAATGACATTCTACTAAAGGAAGAGGTATTACACTGACCTTTTCTTGGAAAAACTTCAAAGATAATTGGAATAAATCTGCTTTCAGTTGACTCTGTTTATACTCAGCAGAATAATTATAGATTCCTCTAATCCGGCAGCATAAATACGCTCCAAAAAAGCCTACTTAAGTAACTACAGTATACCTGAAGTATACAGAGGATACTAAAGGTAAGTCATGTATTTTATGAAAATACACTTTGAGAAGCATTTCAATGACTCACATGTATGACTTGATAAAAGTAACACATTTTAAATAATACTTAAGTAAGCTGTAAAGAAACACACTTAAATAAATGTATTTCTTAACATACTTTATCATTCTTAAACAAAAGCATATTTGCCATCAACCTGTGTTATTCAAAAGTAAAGTTTAAAGCAGTACCTTTTAAAGTATGCTTAAGTACCTTTTAGTTGCAATATAAGTCAAACTAATTAGCAAATATGGGCATCTATACATCTGAGAGTACATATCTAAAAAATATTTCAAGTGTGGTAGAATTTGAGTCTTAACAACTGATAAAGTTCACTTCACTGCAACATTAGTTGTTCTAATTTAGGAACAGAAAAGCACTTACAGGCACAGATGTACTTCAACATTATTATACATATTGTGTTTTGTTATTCATAATAATATACTTAAGTTGTATAAAAGTACACTTAAGTACGTTTTATCTGATGAATGTATTTAAGCATGTTTAGTGATACTGAAATGTATTTTAAAATTTTCATTTAATTGCATTTTAGTTTGTGTAACTCAAGAAGTAGTGCTGAAGTGCATCAGTACATCCAGTAATGTATTTACTTATAATATATCCTTAGTGTAATAACAGTTATGTCTACAAATGACATATTTAAAGCAACCAAGACTGTTTAAAAAAGCCATCAAAAGTACAACTAGATGCATTTAATATATATTTAATCAGTTTAATTTCAATTTCAATACTCGTAAGTTGTCATAAGTTCCAAAATAATACATTCAGTATGTACTTTTTACATTAAATAAACTTTTAAAACAGATACTCGAATGCACAGATACTCATGATACATCAACACATTTCTACACCTATAATTTTTACACAGCTTCGTGTTTCTTTCCTCACTGTCATTCTCAGGTCTTACTGTAGGAGAGCAGCTCAGTTTAAAACATGCAACTTTATCACAGACCTGTTGGATTCTCTGTGGTGTGTTCTGTTCTGCATTATCTCCAGACTGCAGCGCCTCCTGTGGCCAGCGGTGGTAACGCACTGCAGTGATGTGGCCCTGAATAACGAGCCTCCTGCGCTCTCGATACTGCAAACTCTCTATCTCCCCCTGCAGGTCGGCTACTGCCATTAACGACAGAGAGGCTCCCTGACCTGCAGCTGATAGAAAATATTTAAAGTGAGTTTCATAATTAAGGAATTTTTTAACCAACCCAAGCTAAAATGGCTACGAATGTGTGAACGTTAATGCTTCTAGTTGTCATGATGTCACAGCTGGACTAACCACACTAACCACTCCTTTTGAGTGGTGTTTCACTGAAATATGGCACTCATCAGCTGATGTCAAAATACTCTAGCCTAAGACCCAGTCCCATTCCTTATTTATACTCCTACCCCTTGTTTTCCGAGTGTCTCCTTGCCCCTCAGAACTGAGTTACAAGTTGTAGTAGTTGAAATCTTCCCTCTGAAATGGGACCCTCAAATAAAAAGAGCATCACTTCATTAACAGCTACTAGTGCTGCTCTGTAGGCGACCCTGCCAGTCTGCAGTGACAGCAGAGGAGGGTAAAGTTCAGCTCCTCACTGCTGGGCTTTAGTTACATTTAGGACATCATATGCCTTTAAAGGGGGGAGAGGGGCAATTATTTATTATCACCCACCCCTAATTCTTCAGTGATATGAAGCTGAAGTCAGCTAGTCACCAGTTTCTTGTTTGAATTTTTCCGTTCCACCTTAAATGGTGCAACAGTTCAGACACCTGAGGTGCCAGAATGTAACTGCTGCACTGTTTAAGGTGGAACGGTGCTTGTTATAAAGAAAAGGGGCATAATACATTGAAACGACATTAAACTAAGATAATATAATGATTGTTATCATTTTAACAGAGAAAATTCTCACATTTGTGGGTTTCTTTGGTCTCTTGTTCAGCCATCTTACCAGTTTTCCCTTTTTTCTCATAACTCTCTGTTTGGAGCCTGAAAAACCTCCATTTGGAGGGTCATGTAGCCCTAACACTTCGCCCCACCCCTCTATCTCAACAAGAATCAGGACACCCTACCCCTAGATGAGAATGTGCAACACGGAGGGGAGGGCTGGTAGGGGTGAGGGGATAAATGGGATTGGACCTAAATCTTATCTTAACAAACCTTAAAGCAACAAGTTGGCAAAAAATAAATAAATAAATAAATAAAATACTCATTTACATTCTTATAATGACCCTTAAAAACTATAATATTTCTGTTTCATAATTATTGGTTTAAGTAAGTTTGTTTGTGCAGTTCGAAAAATGTCCAGTAGGGGCAGTGATGTCTCAATAGTGTATATTGGTCATCATGTGTCTTAAATATAGTTAATATATCTAATATTTCTCATTATGAGATTGTTGTAAGAATATTATCAAATTATTTAACTTATTTCCATACAGTTATACTTGTTTTATGTAATTCCGTCTTATGAAAGTGTTGTATTCCATTGGCAGATCATTTTACTTGTTTTAAGCATTATTTCTTAAAACAAGTAAATGATCCGCCAACTGAATAAGACAGTTTCACTAGATAAAATTCCTTAAAACAAGTAAAAATGTATAGAAATAAGTTAAACAATCATAAAATACTCTTACAATGATCTCAAAATTATAAACAGTAGATCTACTGACTAGATTTAAGATGATTTCACTTGCTAAGATATATTTTTTGCAGTGTAGTGTAAGACATACAGCCTACTAAGTGGTCCTCAGATCTCTATACTTACTGGCTGTGTTGTTGGCAGTGGTGGTGAGTGGTGTGAAGGTGGGTGAGGGAGGAGGATAACAGTAATGCCCCCCCACTGCAGTCTTCCTCAATATAACACTGTCCTTTAGGGTCTTAGTCCACTGGATGAAGGCCTTCACTTTTGGGTCGGACACATACGGCTGCTTCTTGTGGCAGCCTGCACACAAACACAAAAACACGAGTGGTCATTCGGTTCCATTAACCTGAGTCACTTCATACAGCCTTAAATACCCTTACAGTGACTGACAGATCCAGCTGTCACTCACCTGTGATGAAGAGCTGAGTCTCAGCGCTGCTGGTCAAATAAACGGAGCAGCTGGCCTCTCTGCACACTCTCATCTGAGTACACACCAGGTACGTCACTGCAGAGAGGATGAGAGAGAGATATTCAATAAAACAGGATATAAAACACTCACTGGTTTTAGCATCAGAGTTAAAGGATCAGAAGGGCTGTCTAAACTTTTAGCACTGCAGTTCTAAAAAAAAAAACTCCTCCTTAAAAGAATGAATCTCAGTAAGTGTAACAAACTGTCATTTTAACTGGAAAAACAGAAGCAGCGTGTAAAAGATTTGCATTTTAAAAATATACAGATAATCAATTTTCTCTAATTAATTAATTAATTCATTCATTCATTCATTCATTCAGCGTTTTCTGCATCTTTAAAGGAGAGGAAACCCACACCAGCAGGATTGCACATAAAGTCACAGTCAAAACAGGAAACAAATTTATTACCTGAAGGTTCAATGTTATTACGAGTGTCTTTTTTTCCCGATGTAGTCAGTTAATTCTAAAAAAGAGGCTGAAGATAATATCAGCTGTCCAAAGAAAAACAATTATCTCCAAAACTGTAACTTCACAGGAGAGGGCAAAAACACGCTTAACTTTCAGTGTAAGTTCATGTAAAGAGATTTTATTCTAATTGATTTTTTTTGGTCCAATCATTATGAAATTTTCAAACAATGGAAAGGAGAACCGCTGCGTTCAAATGACGAAGTAAAATAAAAATGCGATGAAACATGAAGTTGTTCAGTGAACTTTAAGTCCTGATAACATCCACAATATGCTCAGAAATGCATATTATCACGATAACAAAATTGATCACGATAGTGATAAAATACTGTCATGTTGCCCAACCCTACTCGGGCCGTTGGGAACTCTTGTACGTGTGCAACTGTGATCTTTTTAGATATTCACACAGAATTAATTTCTCCCAGCACAAGAGACAATGTTATTGCATCGTACAGCCCTTTAAAAAAAAAAAAAAACTGTCCATACTTACATTTTCCATATTTAATTGGAATTAAAGGAATACGACAATCAAAAAACGCTAACATAGCTAATGAATGGAAAACAGATCAAACAGCATAGCAGCACAGTCAACGTGATCTACAAGGGGTGTAAAAATAATTCATGAGGCATCGATCTGAAGGTGGCAGTTTCACTGCATTGATTTTGAAATTGATAATAATATTAAAAATGACTGTGTTAATGTTTTAATTACACTACTGTGTAAATCCTGGGGGGATGAAACTTTCTCTCTGGGGGGGTGAAGTGCATTGTTTGGTAATTTTGGTTGTTTCCTGGTGGACCTAATCTAATCTAATCAAACCTTGGGCAGCCCTGGTGCAATCAGGGATTGAGAAATTGGATAGTAAAAACAAATCAAACGCTGAAAAAGTACTAATAATCATAGTAGTAAATTGAATAGTATATGTAAAAAAAATAAATAAATAAAAAAATTTCAATAAACCATAAAATTACAATTTATAGTAAAAAAAATAACTAAAAAAACCCAAAAAACATTATTAACAAATAACATAAAATGAAATAAATAAAGAAATAAAAGATGTAAAACAATAAAACAAAAAAAAAGAATAATAAATGTGAAACAATAGCTAAAATACTCAAAAATCATATTAAAAGTAACTAAAATAGAGTAAAACAGGAAGTGGTTAGAGACTAAAGGTTTTGAGATTTCAGGATCCACTAAATCGTTTTCTAAAAAATCAGAAAAATGGATGGAGAGGATGGAGATTCGCACCCTTGTTCTCCAAATACGACTGTTGTTAAAGGGATAAATTCAGTGAAAACAATGATGACTGGCGCTACATCGTAAAGCCCAGCGGTAAGTTCATAATTTTCTCATCATTAGCCACAGGATCATGTTTGGTGCTCTAACAGAAGGAAAGTCTTACTGGGACAGATGTTGTTGAAGATGTCCGGCTGCGAGGAGGCGAAAATCTCCAGAATAAAGGGGGAGTCCGAGGTGCCGTCCACAGCGTGGACCCAGCGGTACGTCCAGAATTTCTCAGGAACTGTCACCCAGACATAAATATACCAGTTAGTTCTGATCCTGCAATGTGATTGGCACTCATAGAAAGCCTCTCAGTCAATGTCTTAAGTGTCTTCTATCTCTCCTCTCAACCTTATTTATTTTTTCTTCTGTCATCAGTGGCTAAAGCTAATAAACACAGTAATTAACATTATAAATCATAATTATGATTATACCACAGTTTCATTATCGATATTATTAGCTTTTGTCACTGATGACGGGGTATTAAAGGGGAACTCCATCGATTTTGCAAAATTACTTAATCATTCATAGGTTTAGATGTAAACAAAATCATTCGGAGTGGTTCGCTGTGAAATGCGCCTTTCTAGAGAAATTAACAGAATCAGAATTGTTCACCATTATAGTGCTAGGAACCAGACGTCCGAAGCATTTAATGGCTCTGAAAGCTACATTCCATTAAGTTATTACAAAAAATGGCTACGAATGTGTTACTTGACACCTGAGACACTGTTCTGTGATAGTTTTGTTATAAAGTTTTGGCCTAAAACTTATTTTTAGTATAAACTTTTTTTTTTTTTATCTAAACCACTGAATGAGTGGAGTAATTTTGCAAAATCGGTGGAGTTCCCCTTTAAAGGGCCTGTATCCTACATTTTTCTGAGGTCCACTTCTAATATTTCAGCGGTTTTATGTACCAAAAGCAGCCATAATTCATTTTACATGACCAGTCTATCTTTATGCCTTTAAGCAGGCTGTTTTTTGTTACCGTCCCTTTAAGTATGTAAATATGTAAATGAGCTTTGTTCTGATTGGCTGTCAGAGCGATAATTTGATAACTACAACAAAACTACTGTAAGCCAAATATCCTATCCTAGTGTTTCAATCACAGGATTTTCCTGCTGCGGCCACCATATTTGTGACCGTATTTCTGGCTCCGCTGCTCCGTATGAACATAACTAGAGGTGAAAGCTAAAATTACTCTCCTTACTTTGGAAGACAAAAAACATTTCCTTGACAAAGTTGATAAAATAGGCTGAGATCTTTATACAGTTTCCCCTGAACTCCTGGTTCCACTTACACCGGCGGAAAGCTACCAAATTTGTGTTTTCCTGACATTTATATTTATCTCACACTCAGCCCCTCTCCCTGTTCTGGAGACTCTCAGAGCATTTAAAAGCCCCCGGCTCTTCACGTCAGGGTGGGTGAAGGATCCCATGGTGTTGCATAAAGAGGAGAAAAAAACCCTGTGATCATAGGAGGGTAACGACATCAGCTAATTAACACAGATGTGAACAATGCTGGCCTTTAGATAACTTTACTAATGTTATCAGCTGAGATAAACAGTTGTCCCCCTAACGGAGCTGCAGACAGCCGGTATAACTTTACTCTCTGTTTCTGATTTAAATGACGTCTGAATGGAGAAACATAAACGTTAAATATCAGACTGAATGTCGTGGGTCGGAAAACGACGTCGTGTTTCGACAGACGTGATTCTGTAAGTTTGCTGGTGCAGTTAGTTCAGAGTTCAGCTCCAGTCCTGAAACCCCTGCACTGCATAACTGTGGTTTCCCTGGTTAAAATACCTGATATTATTAGCTAATTAATCCCTTCTTGAGCTGATTGAGGTGAACAGCAGAGAGAAACACTGAACTGTACAGTGCAGCGGCTCCAAGCCTGGAGTGAAAACACTGAATTAAAGGTCTGTGTGTCTCTCGTCTCTCAGCTTCTGCCGTGTCCTGCACGTGAATCATTCACAAAGCACAGCTAATTAAAGGCATCGAGCAGCTCAGTCACTCCCTGATTCAGTCCTGGCGGTGAGGCGAAAATGTGAGAATATGCAGTATATGTGACATCACAAAAGTAGTTAGTATCCACATACAGGCCGTAAGGACTGGAGATTGAATAGTATGTTTTTGAAACTGTAATAGTTTACATACTAAATCAAACGTTAAAGTTTCGATGATACGGGTTCTTTAAGTAAAACACAAAGACATGAAAACATATCAGCAGCAAAATTAAAAACACTGTGGTGTTAACGTCCAATCAGAGGCCTTACTGGAATTTCCCTTGTTTCTGATTCGTTCGACACGACCGACGTAGGTCACCAGTCCAATGACATCACAGGCCTGGTTATTGCTGAGACTCTCTATTTCATGCCTGCGGAGGAAAAGCAGAACAAAACAAAATCAAATCAAGCAGAAACAGCTACAGTCACTACTTTTATGTACTCACAAAACGGCTTAAACACATACAAACCACTGTCTCTTCTAAATGGTTTGATTTGAAACAGGAGGAAATACTTCTGAAGTAAAAAAACCTCAAAAAAGACAGTCCGGCTCCGAAGAGACTCGACCAGATAAAACACAGCGGTTAAACCATCACAGACAGGATTTAACTTCCATAACACAGCTGGGCTCTCCACACAAAACTGAGTTAGATTTTTCCCTGGTGAACATAATCCTTCAAGTATACAACACTTTGATAATGTATAAACAAGCCGACTGTGTATATAGAGCGAAAACTAAAAGCATAAAACAGAATGATTTTAAAAAGGCTGGAAAGCTGCAGCTGAAACTGCATTTAACCATGAAAAGCATTAAGCACATTATGAAGCTTTATGAAACACCAACTTGGGAACTCAGTTCAGATCATCTCAGGACATGCGGTCGTGTACACCAACCCGGCATAACATTATGACCACCTCCTTGTTTCTACACTCATTGTCCATTTTATCAGCTCCACTTACTGTATAGGTGCACTTTGTAGATCTACAGTTACAGACTGTAGTCCATCTGTTTCTCTGATACTTTGTTACCCCGTTTTACCCTGTTCTTCAGTGGTCAGGACCCCCATGGACCCTCACAGAGCAGGTACTATTTGGGTGGTGGGTTATTCTCAGCACTGCAGCAACACTGACGTGGTGGTGGTGTGTTAGTGTGTGTTGTGCTGGTGCGAGTGGATCAGACACAGCAGTGCTGCTGGAGTTTTTAAACACTGTGTCCACTCACTGTCCACTCTATTAGACCCTCCTACCTTGTCGGTCCACCTTGTAGATGTAAAATCAGAGACAGCGGCTCATATGTGTCAGCATATTTTGTGTTGGTCATCCTCTAGTCCTTCATCAGTGGTCACAGGACGCTGCCCACAGGATGCTGTTGGCTGGATGTTTGTGGTTGGTGGACTATTCTCAGTCCAGCAGTGACACTGAGGTATTTAAAAACTCCAGCAGCACTGCTGTGTCTGATCCACTCAGACCAGCAATAATTTAACACACCCTCTACAGAGAACACACTTCTGCACAATGTAATGCACAACTTCTATTTATTTTCACTTAGAAAAAAAAAAAAAATCAACAAAACGCGAGATTTGACCATTGCGAATGACTGTAATCCACTTCTCTAATCAATGAAGTCAAATTACGTTAAAAATGTACTTTTTAGGGCTTTAAAATGTGTCGATTTAAAGGTGGCCATTAAACTTCTTGCCCCTTGGAACTGAGACACTCGAGAATGAGGGTAAAAATAAGAAGTGGGACTGGGCCTATGATTTACTGTGAGCTATAAAAATGAACAAAAATTCTTGCCAGCCCTGAAACACTACACAAAGGTTGCGCTTTATATTGGAATAAAATCGACCCCGACAAGACAGAGAAGGGGGAGGAATGGACATGCCACTGCAGTCGTAAGCTCGAGTGCTTAAGTTAGCCTTATGCCACTATGTTAGTTAGTCTAACACAATATGACTTTTTCCCCGATATTAGCCCCGATTCTCAGTCTGGCCGAGTGCGCTGGTCGGCTCTAGTCTGCAGATTTCTGGGTCAGTCGGAGTCGACAGTTGGACACTTTGGAATTCTTTATAATAAACTGCAACAATATTAAATGAAGTGTGAAGCTGGAATCTTTTTGTCTTAACTTAAGATCTGACAGGTCAAGATAAGATTTTCTCACAAATTCGTATTACAGAAGCAAAACTTATCTTGATTTAAGAATCTTAAGTTAGCAAATCTTACTCGATGATCAACTGTTGTGTCTGTTACCTAGCAACCGACCATACACACACAGCTAAAATGTAAACACAAAATTAAGTTAGTTAGCCAGACAGCTAACATTAGCAGCCGTTACTGATTTAAAAAGGTCAAACAAAACTGAAGTGTGATAAACTGAAAGTTAATAATATTGTGAGAGCGCCCCCTGCTGATTATCAGGGCGTCGCCGTCTCCCCAGTTTCAGTCTCCATTTCCCAAACGCTTTAGCCGAGTGCGCTAACTTTATTCCTCCTAATAAACAGACACACGTTCTGCTCTGTCTCCTCATTATTCACCACCGTCACTGTAATATTTCATCATCAACATTAACACACGAAGGTAATCAGAGAAGACGGTGGAGATCGAGTCTGCAGTGTCTAAAATTTTTAAAAAATGTTTAAAAAAAAACCCTCACAAGTCAAAGCACCGTTTTCAGTGTAGATAACTGTAGCGTCGCTTTGCTGGTTATGGTGAACTGCGCAGCCTCTCACGGCATAAAACAACAGAAACAGACGATTAAAACAGAAGTTAAGACGCTCTGGGGTCTTAAGGTTAAGAAGTCAAAGTTAAGAAAGCATTTAGGATATTTTGGCAATTTAGGATGTTTCTGTAAAACCGTTTTCTTATCTGGAAATAAGATAAGATTATAGACTTAAGAACTGTTGTTCTGTAATAGCTTCTGTCCTTAACTTCAGTCTTAACTGAAGTTGCCATGACAACAAAGCAAATAACATATGATCTCAGACTACGGCTTCTGGAGCTCAGGTATGTGTGGCGTATGAACAGGTGAAGGAAGGCTCTGTATCTGCGTATGTACCTGGTAGAGAAGTTATAGGTGACGTCAGGTAAGCTCCACTGTGGCTGGACACTTTTAGGAGGAATCACAGTGATGATGGCTGAAGGATTCCGAGGGTTCAAGCAGATCTCTGTTTCATAACACAGGCGCAAACACATACAGAACTGATCAAACCGCCAGCAACAAACAGGAGTAACACTGTGTTCACATGCTGGTGTTAAAAAACAGAGCTCTGTGTTTCACAGCAGAACATGTGACAGTAACTGTACAGATCAGAAACAGAACAGCGGCTATTTGCGCAGCCATGTAAACGCTGCCGTGTGTAATTTGACCAGGTGTGAGGTGATGTTATCCATTATGCTGTCCTAAGAAATGCACTGAACACAAGACTGATTCTCAGTACACCTACTGACACGTTTTCGTTAAAGGACCCCAGATGTAGACAGGAAGCTGAGACACGTCTGCAGTACAAATGTTGCCCTTTTAGTTTAGAACTGAGCTATGAGGCAAACTTCGCTAATAAACACTAGAATTCAATAGTCACCCAAATAGCCCATGGTTCTTGTTGAGATAGAGGGGTAGGGTGAAGTGTTAGGGCTACACGGCCCTCCAGACAAAGGTTTTTCAGAGGCCAATCCAAACAGAGTGTTATGAGCAAAAAAGAAAAACCAGCAGGATGGCTGAGCAAACGACCGAAGAAACCCACAAATGTGAGATTTTTTTTTCGTTAAAACTATAATAACCATTATATTATCTTAGTTTAATGTTGTTTCAACGTATTATGGTTCTTTTTTTTCATAACAAGCATAAAAAAACGCTAGTAGAAGCTGACGTCTCAGTAGCTAGCTGGCTAAATGTCCTGTTACACTTTAAATGGTGCAGCAGTTACATTCTGGCACCTCAGACATCAGAACTGCTGCTCCATTTAAGGTGGAACAGGAACATTTGACCAAGAAGCTGGTGAATATCTGACTTCAGCTTCATATCACTGAAGAATTAGGGGTGGGTGGTAATAAATAACTGCCCCCCTCTTTGAAGGCATATGATGCCCTAAATGTAACTAAAGCCCAGCAGTGAGGAGCTGAACTTTACCCTCCTCTGCTGTCACTGCAGACTGGCAGCGTCGCCTACAGAGCAGCGCTAGCAGCTGTTAATGAAGTAATCCTCTTTTTATTTGAGGGTCCTGTTTCATAGGGAAGATTTCAACCACTATCCTGTAGCTCAGTTCCGAGGGGAAAGGTGAACTGCCTACAATCTTACAGTAAATTCATCAGTCCAGGAAGAGCAGTACCTGTGTTGGTGAAGATGAGGAGGGGCAGCGAGCTGATCTGGGGTCTGGAGCGGTTCTGGTAGCTCTTCTTCAGCGAGTAGTGCTGCAGATACACCACTGAACCCACCACCAGTCTGTGGTACCACTCCGGACACAGATCGTTCCACAGCACCATGGACATCACCCCGCTCTGATCCGCCACCTCAAAATATGCCTGAGAGAAAAGATGTTTTAAATTATTATTCATTTTATTATTATTGTTATGTTTATATTTTTACGTTTATATTTTTATACTTTTTCTTAAGAATGAACGTGATTCAATCCTGTAATAAACGCATCCTGGACTAGCGCTTACTCACACCATGTGGGCTTAAAGGAGTGAGTGGTTTTATGGACGTCTTTTAGATGAAGTGCTTCAATTAAAACGGCTCATTTTATAGTAATTTTTAAAGAAAAAATATCTGATGTTTCAATGTCTGTATGTTTTGGCTGCCAAATACTGTGAGGATTGATTTCATTTGGGTGAATTCTTGTGAAAATTAATATAGGTATATCTGATGAAGCTGACAGGTTTAATGCTGTCTGATAAAGACAAAGTAAGATCAGTAATTAGCAGAGATCTGAGCTTTAACAGTGTAGATGAATACTGGCTCACTATTTGGCAAGCAACAGGTCAGTCGGATACAGTGAAAATGAGGGTCACCCTCAGTGTACTCAGTTTAAATAAAGGCTGATTGAATTTATTTATTTGTTATACCTGCTTATTAATGACTTAAGATGTTTATGACCAATAACCATTAATAAGCTTTAAATGAGCTTATTAATGGTTATTGGTCATAAACATCTTAAGCCTATTCATAAACCTATTAGGGTAGTCTTACTGTACAGTGGTACGTGTTGCTTGAAAAGAAAACTGGTATCATGATGCGTCTGTTATTTTTATTATATTAACAAGTAGCATCTTTATTACAAGAACCGCAATCCACTGTTGATAAACATGTTCAAATGTAAATTTATTTATTAACGCTTTCAACAATTAAGCGATTAAATTTAGTCCAAGAATTAAATTTTGTATGATATGCAAAAAAGTCTCAGGACTTGTTCTAATGGATGTATGATATTTGTATGGTTATACTTTTGTATATATAATATTGTATACCAATTTTAAAGTTTTGATTACTGTTTTGATTACATGTAATTTTCATACTTTTACTTCCAATCAAACTTGAATTTTCTATGGTTTTGTTGGAAATCAGTGACCATAAGACTGAATATGATACAGAGAAGATACAAACTAAAGGAACAAAGTGTGTTGAATCAAACATCGTGTCACCATAACTGAACTTACCTTTGAGAGAGAAGAAAAATATTTCCTGAATTCATTTCTTTATATTGACTACAAATCGACTGAATTAAATTATCCAATGTCATCAAATTCATGATCAATTCCTGTTTACTGCGCGCACACACACACACACACACACACACACAGGATTGAACCACAGCTGTGCTGGTCCTGCAGCAGCTCTGAAACCTCACCTGAAACGGGAAGTCTATGTTCTGTCCAGGTTTTCCGTAGTACCGTAACCGGGATCTGTGCAGCACTCTGACCAGCAGAGGGAGAGGACGTCTGGAACTCGCGAAGAACACGTCGAGGTCGCCCAGCAGACAGATTTTAGACACTGCCAAGGAGAGAGAAAAGTACAGATCAAAAACAGATCAGCAGATCAAAGTAAAAAGGTCAATGTGTAATTAGAGCTAAAACACTGTTAATGCAGGACAACATCATTTACTTCAGTTTTACAAGCTATTCTAACCTACAGGACGTGTAGGGGGCGAAATGGCTTCTGCTGTTTCACTGTAAACGGCAGCGAGAATCTCATAGGTGCTCTATAAATAAACCCTCCATGCCTTTAACCTCTTATCCCCCTGGGAATATTTTGGATTTTCCGTCTGAATTTACATACCCACATCTTAAGGCAAATTATTCAGTAATGACATGAAAAAAATATTTATATAAAATGTTGGTGTTATTTGTAAAAGTTCCTAGTAATTCACATTTTGTGGTCCGTAGTCATGGGACATGGCTTATCAGAAGCCATATTTTCATTAGCTATCCTAAAACTTTACATTACTAATCTATTTTACTGGAAGGAAGAGAGTTACAGCTTTCATATCACATCCACCTTTTGAATGAAGCTTATGAAATATGAAAGTCATGAAGTAAAGAATATGACGAAGTGCATTCAGGAACCACCGGTGGTTCCACAAAGTTAAAGAGACTAAAAAGTTAAAGAGACTAAAATAACTAATAAAAAGTGTGCTTTTGTTGTCATAGCAACAATTAAGGTTTAATAAGAATCCAGTTAAAAAAAACTGGATTTAAAAAAAAACGTCCACCTGCTTAATTTGACTCTCCTCTTACCGTCAATCACTGTGTCTGGTGGAGGAGTATTGGGAATCCACACTCCACCGTGAGGATCTTCGTTATTCCATAATGACAAGTAATGTTTCCTGCTCTGCAGGGGAGCATCTGCCTGCCAAATCATGGAGTTTCTGATCCCGTCCCGCGTCCACCACTGAAGGGCATTCGGGGTTTTAATGGAGGAGAAAATACCAGCATCCTCAGCTTCGCATTCCAGCTCCTCTAAACACACGTAGCTTTGGCCGAACCTCCTCTCATCGTACACAAACGAGAGCTGTGTGACTGAAACACAGGAGCCACAGCGCAGCGCGTTCCTCTGGACCAGGCGATGAAGAGCAGAGCTGAGGTGACATTTCACTCTCCACGTCCCGTCGGTTATCGTAACGTCATAGTTGTAGCTGTCTGTCGCTCTCTCATCAGACAAATACCTGCAAGACAAAGACAAACAATGTTTATATGGAACGACTGATATGACAGTTTAGTCACCGACACTGATATCAAGGAGTTAAACATAATAATAACTGATATTGTTTAAAGGGGAGTTTCAGAGATATTCCAAAATTTCAGCATAATTAAATGGTTATAATGTAAACTGAGTCATTCAGAGTGGTTTGGTGTGAAACGCTCTATTCTAGAGACACTTAAGAGTCAGAATTGCTCACAGTGGTGGTGATAGGAACCAGACGTCCACCTCTAAAAGCTTCCTCACAGAAAGTTATAATATGAAGGTTTTGGCTCAGAAATGTACTTTTTAAGTCTATTCATAGTGGAGAACTACATGCATGGCATTCTAAGGCAAAAAACATCATCAATATTACATATAAAACTCAGAAGACGTGTAGGTTCACTGGTGATTTTGGAAAGTAAATAAAATAGCTGTATTTGTGTTGTACACATGCTGACCCCTGGTTCCCATCACCACCACTGTAAAGAAATCTGACTCTGCAAATGAACCACTTCACATCAAACCACTCTGAAATGACTTTGTTTACATCTCTACCATGAATTACACAGATTTTTGGAAAAATGGTGGAGTTTCCCTTTAAGTAGCTGGTCTAAGATAGTCAGGTTGGACCATCATGACCATCATATGGTATGTTTTCATTCGGAGGTCCAGCCAGTCAACCACCTTGACCATCTGGGACTAATATCAGTCCAGTTAATGACCATAAAAGACCATCTTAGACTATTTAAAAGCAACTAAGATCATTTGATCGATTAAATCTGTTAATGTTACGCATCCAACCGGGATGTTTTGAGTGAAGTGTTGATAATGTTCCTAAATTCAGTTATATTTTAATAAAGACTGATACTGAACCTGTCAAGCCCAATAACAGCCACACAGACGGGGGTCTCGGGTTTGAGGCGGAGGGTCCTGGAGGAGCAGAGCCGCTCCAGAGCAGACTGCAGCCCAGCTCCAGCTGATTCACTGCCTTCTGCCATTCAGGGCATTTCTGACCACAACAAACCCGAATAAATGAAACAGTGGACTCTCGCTCCGTTACTGCTGACGGCCAGCGGGGCTAATGCTGCTACAATGACCTGCTGACAGTTAGCACGGCTATCAGCGTTTAACCGCGCTTTAAGCATAAAAACAGGACGGTAAGGCTGTGATTAGTTAACGGTCCTCAGCTTTACTGCTCATTTTAAACTACAACACAAACATAAACAAACAGGCTAGGCTAAACGAGTTTCGATGGCGGGGAAAGATTCGTCTCTCCTTCGCGTATTAAGCGACTGAACTGAACAATAGCGCCACCCACAGACTCGGAGGAGCGGAGATAACGTCCCGCTGTGTAGCAGGAAGAGACGCTACACTAGAAAACTTCTCCAACTTCGACTTCTAACTTCTCTGATTTCTTCAACTTCTAACTTCTCCCACTGCTCTATAACATCTCCAACCTCTCCCACTGCTCTATAACATCTCCAACTTCTCCTACTTCTCTATAACATCTCCAACTTCTCCCACACATCTCCAACTTCTCCCACTGCTCTATAACATCTCCAACTTCTCCCACTTCTCTATAACATCTCCAACTTCTCCCACTTCTCTATAACATCTCCAACTTCTCCCACACGTCTCCAACTTCTCCCACTGCCCTATAACATCTCCAACTTCTCCCCTTTCTCTATAACATGTCTAACTTCTCCCACTGCTCTATAACATCTCCAACTTCTCCCAGTTCTCTATAACATCTCCAACTTCTCCCACTGCTCTACATCTCCAACTTCTCCCACTGCCCTATAACATCTCCAACTTCTCCCAGTTCTCTATAACATCTCCAACTTCTCCCACTGCTCTACATCTCCAACTTCTCCCACTGCCCTATAACATCTCCAACTTCTCCCAGTTCTCTATAACATCTCCAACTTCTCCCACTGCTCTACATCTCCAACTTCTCCCACTGCTCTATAACATCTCCAACTTCCCCACATCCCAACTCCCCGCTCTATAACATCTCCAACTTCTCCCACTGCTCTATAACATCTCCAACTTCTCCCCTTTCTCTATAACATCTCCAACTTCTCCCACTGCTCTATAAAATCTCCAACTTCTCCCACTGCTCTATAACATCTCCAACTTCTCCCCTTTCTCTATAACATTTCCAACTTCTCTATAACATCTCCAACATCTCCCCTTTCTCTATATCATCTCCAACTTCTCTAACATCTCCAACTACTCCCCTTTCTCTATAACATCTCCAACTTCTCCCACTGCTCTATAACATCTCCAACTTCTCCTACTTCTCTATAACATCTCCAACTTCTCCCACACATCTCCAACTTCTCCCACTGCTCTATAACATCTCCAACTTCTCCCACTTCTCTATAACATCTCCAACTTCTCCCACACGTCTCCAACTTCTCCCACTGCCCTATAACATCTCCAACTTCTCCCCTTTCTCTATAACATGTCTAACTTCTCCCACTGCTCTATAACATCTCCAACTTCTCCCAGTTCTCTATAACATCTCCAACTTCTCCCACTGCTCTACATCTCCAACTTCTCCCACTGCCCTATAACATCTCCAACTTCTCCCAGTTCTCTATAACATCTCCAACTTCTCCCACTGCTCTACATCTCCAACTTCTCCCACTGCCCTATAACATCTCCAACTTCTCCCAGTTCTCTATAACATCTCCAACTTCTCCCACTGCTCTACATCTCCAACTTCTCCCACTGCTCTATAACATCTCCAACTTCTCCCACACATCTCCAACTTCTCCCACTGCTCTATAACATCTCCAACTTCTCCCACTGCTCTATAACATCTCCAACTTCTCCCCTTTCTCTATAACATCTCCAACTTCTCCCACTGCTCTATAAAATCTCCAACTTCTCCCCTTTCTCTATAACATCTCCAACATCTCCCCTTTCTCTATATCATCTCCAACTTCTCTAACATCTCCAACTACTCCCCTTTCTCTATAACATCTCCAACTTCTCTATAACATCTCCAACTTCTCCCCTTTCTCTATATCATCTCCAACTTCTCTATAACATCTCTAACTTCTCCCCTTTCTCTATATCATCTCCAACTTCTCCCACTTCTCTATAACATCTCCAACATCTCCCCTTTCTCTATAACATGTCTAACTTCTCCCACCTCTCTATAACATCTCCAACTTCTCCCAGTTCTCTATAACATCTCCAACTTCTCCCACTGCTCTATAACATCTCCAACTTCTCCCACACGTCTCCAACTTCTCCCACTGCTCTATAACATCTCCAACTTCTCCCACTGCCCTATAACATCTCCAACTTCTCCCAGTTCTCTATAACATCTCCAACTTCTCCCACTGCTCTACATCTCCAACTTCTCCCACTGCTCTATAACATCTCCAACTTCTCCCACACATCTCCAACTTCTCCCACTGCTCTATAACATCTCCAACTTCTCCCACTGCTCTATAACATCTCCAACTTCTCCCCTTTCTCTATAACATCTCCAACTTCTCCCACTGCTCTATAAAATCTCCAACTTCTCCCACTGCTCTATAACATCTCCAACTTCTCCCCTTTCTCTATAACATCTCCAACATCTCCCCTTTCTCTATATCATCTCCAACTTCTCTAACATCTCCAACTACTCCCCTTTCTCTATAACATCTCCAACTTCTCTATAACATCTCCAACTTCTCCCCTTTCTCTATATCATCTCCAACTTCTCTATAACATCTCTAACTTCTCCCCTTTCTCTATATCATCTCCAACTTCTCCCACTTCTCTATAACATCTCCAACATCTCCCCTTTCTCTATAACATGTCTAACTTCTCCCACCTCTCTATAACATCTCCAACTTCTCCCAGTTCTCTATAACATCTCCAACTTCTCCCACTGCTCTATAACATCTCCAACTTCTCCCACACGTCTCCAACTTCTCCCACTGCTCTATAACATCTCCAACTTCTCCCACTGCTCTATAACATCTCCAACTTCTCCCCTTTCTCTATAACATCTCCAACTTCTCCCACTGCTCTATAAAATCTCCAACTTCTCCCACTGCTCTAACATCTCCAACTTCTCCCACTGCTCTATAACATCTCCAACTTCTCCCCTTTCTCTATAACATTTCCAACTTCTCTATAACATCTCCAACATCTCCCTTCTCTATATCATCTCCAACATCTCCAACTACCCCCTTTCTCTATAACATCTCCAACTTCTCTATAACATCTCCAACTTCTCCCCTTTCTCTATCATCTCCAACTTCTCTATAACATCTCTAACTTCTCCCCTTTCTCTATATCATCTCCAACTTCTCCCACTTCTCTATAACATCTCCAACATCTCCCTTCTCTATAACATGTCTAACTTCTCCCACCTCTCTATAACATGTCCAACTTCTCCCACTTCTCTGACATGTCCAACTTCTCTATGACATCTCCAAATTCTCCATCTTTACATCTAAAACTCCTCCCACTTCTCTAAGTTCTCCAACGTCTCCCACTTCACTGACATCTCTAAATTTTCCCTCTTAAGTTCTCCAACTTCTCATAGTTTGCTAACAACTTCTCCCACTTATCTCCCCATTATCTTTTACAAATATGCTAAATGCAAAAACATGTAAATCTGGACACATTTGGACTGATTAAACTTCACAGTACACAACCCACAACAGAACACATGTGATTTTAAAAAATATTTATTTTTATACCACATTATCCAGATCGAATAAAAATAATTCAATATCACTATGACAATTAATATCCAAGCTGTTTCAGAATGTAAACTTCTTTTTATTAATTTCTTTTAAAACAATATTAACAATATGTTAAAGCTTATTTCAATGGTATATATACAGAAAAAAAACAAGCCATACAATATAATAGACTGTGCAACACCACCCTGCTGAAATGAATAGAAAGCTTCCACCTCCCGATAAGACACTTCAATAATTATTCTGTTACAAAATACTTCTGTTTCTTTTACGTTTTTTTTTAAATCAAACAACGTATATAAATGTATTTCAATCTATTTGACATTTTATAAAATAAACAACTATATATATATTTTTCTAAACATTTTTTGTACATTCTATATTACAACATGTTCAGAGTGCGTTCTGCACCGTAAGAGGAGAAATGGCCGTTTTTGCACCAGAAGCAGTTTTTTTTTCTTAATATAATCCGTTCGACTGGTTTGATAAACACGTTTATGACTTATCACACCTGGCAACGACATACAGAGACCAATGCCCAGGGCAGAGAGAGAGAGAGAACGACATTGGAAGTCAGACCAAAAAGGCTTTACAGGAGAAATAAAACAGAGAAAGAAAAACAGAATGTACCATTTCATCTACTGAAAGACCACCATTCCACTTATTCAGTTTCCCCTCAAAATGTTGGAGTTTGGTGAAAAATCAAAATTACATGGTTTTCTACTTACCCACAATGCAGCTGATCAGCTAAAACATGTTTTATGTCCATGTTTTCCTTTGTTAGTTTATAACTGGCTAACGGTTCTAACAAACACTGGAAGTCAATAGTCACCCAAACTGTTTTATATACATACATATATATATATATATATATATATATATATATATATATATATATATATACATACATACATACATACATACATATATATATATATGTATATATATATATATATATATATATAATACATACATACATATATATATATTATATATATATATATATAAAATCATGGATACATTTTGTTTACTTGATTTTCACTATTATTATCTTATTTTCATTTATTTATTTTATTTTTTCCCGATTTATTTGTTATTATCCATTATCTTGTTTTAATTATGATTATTTAATTATTATTTAAATAATTTTAATTAATTTTGGTTTGCTTTTTTGATCTTATCCTCATTTTATCATTTTATTTATTTTATTAACTTTTACATTTTTGTTACACTTCAATTATTGTTTTATATTTTCTACTGTTTTTGTGTATTTTTATTATTAATGCTTCATTTATTTTTTGTATTTATTTACCTGAATTTAGTCATTTTTATTATTAAATTTACTTTTATTATTTGATGTGTTTTTAAACATTATGAGTCCCTTTTTCCTGAATCAACTCGGCAACACTGTAAATGATGGTCAGCCTCAATGTTCTCTGAGGTTAAATAAAGGCTGACCGATTGACTGATTGATTGGATAGACCTTATTTAATTCCACTATCTCGTCATTTATGTATTAGATCATCTGTATAACGTCCTGCCTTCTGATACTATTCCACCTTCAAACTCTAGAAGGCTTGAGCGCAAAACGTCACTATGTAGGTATGTAGCGTTAGCGGAGATTTAGTAGCTGCATATCAAATAATGATAAATCTATGAAACTGAGGTGTTGCTTATATTTAGCCAAAACAGAACAAAGGAATCTGCAGGTCTGGAACGTCACCACTGATTTAAACATATGCAAACTGTGGCTTCTGGCAACAAACCACAAACTAGCAACAGAGACGTTCAGTAAAGTTGCCTCGCAAAATTTCAGTTTATGTGAAGACTGCAAAGAAGATCTCCAGCCGGATATTCTACAACCTACAGCTGTACCGAATACACTTTTACAGATTACACCCCAAAGAATTGGATCTGCTTTAAGCGAGTTTAGAGGTGTTTTGGGGCCATAATTACAGAACAGGTTTGGGTGACTACTGACTTCCAGTGTTTGTTAGAAACGTAAGCATAGCACCCCCAGTCCTAAACTGAAGAAAGAAATTTTGACACCAAGCATGTCTTGGCTGAATAACTGCATTTGAGTTAAGTGGAAAACCATGTAAATGAGTTTTTTTACTGAACTGCTCCTTTAAATTCACTTTTCGGAGAACATTTGCATTAGAACACCAAAACTGGACAGCTGAGATTTGTTAGTTAGTTGGAATTGGTTGGACGGTGAGAAGCAGAACATGCTAAACCAGCTTCTAAGACTGAACTT